TTCACCCGCCTAACGATATTGGTTCGTCCTGAAATAGGGTCACGACGGGATGACCCGCAAAGCAAGGTATGATTTCGAGCGCTCTCATGATGAATAATCCTTCTTCAAAATTGTATTTAGAACACAATCAACCATGCCGTGCTAAGGAAAAACGCCGTATGAACCTTCAGGCGTTGCCAAATTTCCTCTAATAAAACACGAATTTCCTGGTAAACTTCTGAATATTTTCCTTCCAGTTTCTCAGATAATTTTGTTCGCAATTTCAGCTAAAGTCCCTGAAAATTTCAAGGAATTATATCCATAACTTGCCTCAAAAATAAACTTTTTATCGTTTTGTCTGAAGTTCCTGAAAAATCCCGGGAAAAATATCCACATCTTCACTCAAAAATAAACATTTTATCGCGGGTAATTTGGCAACTCTCGAATGTTCATACGACGTTTTTCCTTAGCACGGCAGTACTGCCGAGATTAGAGATGGAAAATTTCATGAAATTTATTCGAGTGAAATTTCACGAAATTTATTGAAACTCTTGGGGATAAATTCGGGAGGCTAAGAAACGCCTAAAAACAGTAATTCTAAATTTTTAAATTTTTTACCCCAAGCCTAAAACATTCGCGGGTTGCAAATGTTTTCGTTTAGTTTAGAGATTAGGTTGGGCTTTTTCTCTCTAAACTCCCCTTTTTGCCCCCTTTTTGTGTCCGTCACCTTCAGTGGAGTGGAATCATACCACAGCATTAACAGAAAGACCATCTGAAACGCTTTCAGACCTCCAAAGGTTTAATCAATAATTCTAAAAAAATTGATAAATTTCAACTTTTGTGAAATTTATTCAAGCCGAATGAAATTTCAAAACGTGAAATTTCACTTTCCATCTCTGGTCGTGATAGCAAAGAGAGCAGTGAGTGTTAAATTTTCGAAATCGAGTTTCCTTCGAAATTAGTCCAAACTCTTTCGAGTGAAATCACGGAAATTGCTAAAACAGCAAAATTCAGCTTGATTGTAAAACGAGACATACGAGAAAGCCGTAACAGCGCTAAAAATGACATAAGTTTAGGCAAGACAGCAGTAAGTGACAATATTCCTCGAGAAAGTCAATGAAAACAGTGCTTTCTTCAAGTAAAGTGCCGCCCTCTTCTGCCAATTTCTACCCTGAAAATATGTTTGTTGTGTGTCCAAAGCGCAACCACGAAAGCATGCAGAAGGTAGCACTTACGGCTGTCTTGCCTGACACAATAACCTGGTATGAAAATGAAAAATACCTTTTTTTGTAGGTACTTGAAATAAAATCGGTCGATTTTTAATCATCCAAACGATTTCTAGGAGTCTTTTGGACGATTAATGGCAATTTGACAAAGAACGGAGGCTTCTTTCATTAATATTTTCCGATCAGAAGCTTCCGAGCCCGTTTTCTTAAAACTTCATTTTAGTGCCTTACAGCTCTCTTCGCTATCATGGCAGAATGGACCACTAGACAAGGTGCGAATGGGTCCTTAAACAGAGAGGACGATCGGTTGTCCAAGCAGGTTTTCGATTGGGTTCCTTCCGGAAGGCGGCGGCGTGGACGTCCTAAGAAAGTTTGGCGTCAAGGGGTGGAGGAGGAGATCAGAAGGTGCTAGATGCCTGATGATCTCTTCTGGGGGGCAATGGCGATTGGGCGTCGCAGAGCGCGAGGCTGCGCTGTGAAAGCGGCTTAATGTATGTATGTAAACAGAGAGGAAGCAAGCCACATCAGCTATTGCCAAATTTAATTAATACAATTTAATTTTCAACGTGAACACGGTTGTGCGGATTTTCGTGCAAAATTCAGTGAATTTTCTCCATGGTACGAAGCAAATTCCTTTACATTTTCAAGGGAATCCGCACAAACGTTCTCTCGTAAAAAATTGAATTGCCAAATTAAATTTGGCAATAGCTGATGTGGCTTGCTTCCTTTCTGTTAAACACGGTCCATTTCACTGTCTGAAAGCACCAGGGGAGTAGATTACGTGGTGATTTATTGCATGTTTTTGGAGCCAGCCAGAATCCAGGACAAGCCCACTTTTCCCAGGTAGAAATTGGCGATAGGAGCTACGTTTCAAAATACCATAGGAGTTCTTACAGCCGACCGAAGAAGGCGATAGAAAATCATGTAGCTGGCTGTAGAAAGTGGAAAAAAATCATACGGCCGGGCTACACGAAGCGATAAAAATTATACAGCCGGGCTATAGTTCCTATCGCCGGGCTTTACACTTTATCGCCTGGCTGTTGTTTTTTCGCCATCGGCTATGAAAGGCTAAAAGAAATTGTGCAGAAATTCGTGTGCTTTGTAAATCCTTAAGTTTGTACGGAATCACCTTAATATTTACAAAACGCACATTATATTTTCCTTTACAACATATTTTTATTCATCAAATAAAATGAGAATAATCCATACAGAGTGTGCAAACATTTCAAAGTCATGAGTTGAAAACGCTGACTCCTCGAAATCAAATATAATAACACAAAGCGGAGCGGTGACGCATTGGCGCCTACAAACCTAACAGGGATACTTCACGCATTGCGCGGCGACGCACTAGCGCCTACAAACCTAACAGGGATACTTCACGCATTGCGCAATGCGTGAAGTATCTCTGTTAGGTTTGTAGGCGCCAATGCGCGTTTCGCGCAGGCTGCCCGCCCGCCGCGCCGCAGCGTACCACGGCGCTTGAAGCAACTATTTCACACCAGAGGTATCATACGAAATTGAAGGCTCTCCAACATATTAGGAATGGCAGGTATCCTTCAAAAGTGCGGAGCTTTCCTCGCAAAATAAATCAAGATACTACGGCCCAAAAAGAGAGCGGTAGTCCAAAAACTCACTAAGTCCTAGCATCCGTATAATCAGTAACGTTTAGCATACACTTCATTGCCAGGCTGTTGCTTAATCGCCATCGGCTATAAAAGGCTATAAGAAATTGTGTTGCCGGCTATAGAAGCTATTGGAAATCTTATAGCCGGCGATAGGTCTATAGTATTTTGGAACACAGATTCTACTGCCAATTTTTACCAGGGTTAAAAAGTACAAAGACTCGACGGAATTTCAAACGCACCGGAATGGCGGGAAAAAGGTTGAACTAATGTGCTGAGGCAGTCAAATCGCTATCTCTTCTCATTTTCCACTGAAGTTTGTTGAAGGAAAACGTATTTCAATGTGGAATTTTTGCTTCTTAACTTCGGATAACATGAATGAGATTCGATTCTTTGATGCTATAAAGAATGTTTCGACTTTCCTATTCCGTTATTTATTTCGTTTTTTGTTTTTCTTTGTTTATTACCTACTTGCCTGTTGTTACCTATTGTACACTAAAACGAGAATAAATTCATTCATTCATTGTTTTCATATTTGATGACCCAATCAAACCGCCCTGCTTGTACTTCTTGTCCAAATTCCCCCTTAACAGTAGAACTTGTTCTTATAAGTTGTTCACTTTATAAAGAAATCCGAAAACGTTTTTTTCCCTGCTCCTTATCCTCTCTTAAAAATTTCTACTTCTGAATACTCATCCTGTAAAACTTTTTGAATTTATGCGCTCCACTAAGCTCAAAATTTAACCTTTCCCCTCAACCCTTTTGTATTTTTACTGATGTAACCTTGATTTCCATGTAAACACACAGAGGTGTAAATGGCCTTAGATGCTAAAGCACCGCTTTAAAATAAACTTATATTACTACTACTACATTGTTTTCATGCACGAGGAGTAGAAAGACATTAAACGGAAGGCGTAGAAACCCGTGCTCACTTCTGATTGATACCGGATAACATCATTTGATTCGGCGCGAAACTGGGTCGTTTTAAATTTGAGGAAAAGTTGCGTTCTTTGAACTGCGCAATTTTCGGTTTAGTGCTCGGGTTACTTTTTCACGTTTTTGATCCTTCGGTTCGGTGTGAAACTGGGGCCAGGCGTTTCAAACTTCATGTGATTTTCATTTTAATTTTTTTTGGAGGGGGCGTACGCTCCCCCGCTCGCCTGAAAAAATGCGATATATTCCATGGTTAAGATGGGGCTATATCTTGTTGCGTCGACCTGACTTAGTTTCAATAATCCGGCCGCTGAAACACTGACAGCTTTCCTGAAAATTGCATGTAAATAATTTGGTATGTTTTGACTAATAATTAAATTTGAAAGGTACTTAACATTGAACCTTAGCAATTATGATAAATAATTGTACATTCTAAAATTGCCAATAAAATTCAGGCCCTTTGTTAGGTAGAGAATTTGAAATTCAATGTTTCTGAAGAGCTATTGCTGGGAGCTATTTACTCAACCCAGGCTAGAATTGAGGCGACAAGAGGATGTATTCGCGACAACTTTCTCGCCAACCAGTCACCGCTTTCTTGCTTTTCATATGCAGTAACATCACTATCAACTCCTTGATAAACTTTTCTTGATCACATTGAACTTTATTACTTAAGTTGTTTGGGACAAACAAAATTAATACATAGATTAGGTTTTAGGTTATATCATGTTTCCTCTGACTCCATATGATATTTTAACCTAAAATCATCGATTGGCTTCTCCCTAACCAAGAAGTACTTAGGTATATTTTAGTGAGGATCCAATAATCAAGACTCTTACTTGTCAGTAAACACTATATCAAACGAAGAGATGCTTGGATATCAGTGCAAGGGAAACTTTCTTGGACCTTTGGTTAGAACTATGGAGAAGGTACAGCAGTTGTTTACACTGTTCAAGTATATACCTAAGCAGTCTAGCCTAAGTAGCGGACTGTACCTGGGATTATTGAATGTAGCTTAACTCAGAGGAAATAGAAATAAGCACATCAATTAAAGCAAACGCATCTATACAATTGGGAAACAACGATCTATACCCTGAAGATTCCGTTCCAGGTCATCAGAATACTTACTTTACTGCGGTCTTTCCCTCATGTTACTTTCTTATAGCTAAAGGTAGAACTAAAGTGAGAGCCTGGCATGAACCATGGTTCGACCAGGCTGCGGAGGAGGATGAGAATTTCTTACCGATTGCATATCGCTGTTTGTCTAGAACAGGAGCCCACTTGCTTGCCATGGTTCGGCTGGTGCTACCGTCTATTAAACGTAGAGTTTACATCAAGGAAACACATTTAAGCACACAATAATAAGTAATAGAATTAATGAACAGAAACTTCGCACACTGATACTGCCCCTTGAACATCTCGACATAAAGGATAGATAAAGCGCTTGTGATACGAAGCGAGTCAGAAAACAACAAATTGTAGGGAGGCGGGTGGACGGAAAGGAAACTGACTCAACTCACACATACAAACACACGCACGTAAAATTTCACACATCAACACGATAAACACTGTTCAAACACGCACACGAGCATACAAGTACCGCTTGTTGCATTTCCGCAACAATCAACGTACGTACGCTCACCGAACATTGACGTATAATACAATCTAGACCGCGCATTGGGCCCAACTTTAGGCGGGGAAGGTAAGACAGCTAGGAGGGTAAAGACGCGCCTTCAGCCTAGTTGATACCGCCGGATATACGAGCTAAGTGTACCCGTATCAGGCAACGGCACTGGCAAGACTGGCATTTCCACGAATTCCACCATGAGCCTCTAGACAGGGTAAGAACTGGAGGCTCTAAGCACATGAATCTGCATCAGAATTTCGCGTAGAATTCAATGGTACAAACGGGAATTCATGAAACCAACTAATAAGCGAGATATTTGCGTAAATAGACTGCGCATTTTTGTAAATCCCGCTCGCCTAATATACGAATGACGTCACATTTGTAGCCAATAGGATTGTCGCAGCGCTGCGCAGCGCCGACTGAGCATCGGCCATCGAAAACGTCCAACGCTCCCAACGCCGGGCGGCCGGGATCGTAAACAAACGAAAATTGATAACAGGAAGGACCCATGCACCCAAGCAACTCGAAATCTTTTAATTTTCACTAATTACAGTCCATGTTCGACTTCAAGAAAGCATTTGACAACCATTTTCCTCGTATTTTATAACCTGGAGCCACAGCCTATCGGCTCATTGTAATGTGCACTCTGAGAATCAGTTCCACAAGTCCAAACCCTGACATTCTTTTCTTTGACCATTCTCTTTTCATTCTCGCCACAATTTAAGTGTTATGCAGTTTCTTTATCTAAAATATGTGGTCTTGAATTCATTCAGGAGTCAGAAGTTTACCTTTCTTTTAGTATTACAGCCCTTTGACCCCTCAAACTTCACCGATATGACCTCATGTAGTTCAAGGTTTCTCTGGCCCGAACCGAGTGATTACACATCTGAGGTGTGTCTCATGGTTCTTCAAATTAGCAGTTTAGAACTAAATTAGGGACTACAGTGACTCAATCCAGTTCTGCTTTCTTGTTCAATGTTTGTTATCAGTGTCTGTTCTTTTACGTGACCAATCTAGTGCATGCACTGTTACGCTATAAGTACAGGTATTATTGCTTTTTTCCTGCTGTCAGACCTTTTTCTTAAGCCTGCTGATTCACCACAGAATCTGCCCTAGTTGTGTAAATAATTTGGTGTGTAGTTATTGAGTTAATACCTCCTTGCGGTGATGCAAACTTTCTCAGATCCGTCATAAGTGGGTATTGCATTTAGACGATCACTCGGACCAGATGAAATCACTGCTCTATAGCAGCTTCAAATTTATACTTTGATCTCTGATTCACTAATAAATAACACTTTATGGTGTCATTTATATTTAATCAGTTCAAAGCTAATTCGACAATGAATCATCAATGGTCCGATCGAAAAAGGAATTTTCTGGTGCGTGCTACGGCTGAATCGACACTACATTCAATTTTCGAGAGCTTCAATCAGGACATGACCATCCGTCTTGAAGTGAAAATATTTTTCAACCATTCAAGTAGTTCAAAAGGTAAGATATGTGAAGTTACTAAGGTAACACCAGGGTACATACGGATCTGTTGTTGGACAGTTAGTGTGAGTATGCTTACGTTTGTGGATAATCATTCATGGCAAAAAGAGGATGTTAATAACAAGGCTAAACTGGGAAACCACTTACCTAAATTCACAAAGTTTCAGACTTCCTGTTCCTCTTAATTTCTCAATTAAAAAATCATTCAACAAAATCTCTGAAATGTGATATTTTTCCTCTACATGGGCAGAAAATTCAGTAATTAATTCAAACAATATGCTGACTTGCTTCCCTTTGAAAATCTGAACTGGATGTAGAAAGTTTGAGCAACGTATTCAGGATATGTAATTTACACGTTTTGCAAATGATACCTATGTTTGGCCATTAGATTGGTTTGAGAAGTAAATGTTACAAATGTCATCCCTGGTCAATCTGAACTGTTTTTCCCAACTTGTTTTCATGGTGGGATGTAATTCTATGACTTTTCAAGATCCTTTCATCTTTCGGTACCTGAAAAATTCAGTGAACCAAACGACTTTCAATAGGAATCGTTGGCAACTTTACCATTGAAATGATTCTTAGGTGATTTTGAATGGAACAATCTTACACAAACTTTTGTTGAGCAGGCTTTACTCGCCCTGAATTCTTAAAAGAGAGGAAAAATATTTTCTTAACGCTTGGAGGATGATCTAACTATGTTGCAGGTAAGTAGGTGTGATCACTTCATTTCATGAAATTCAGTAAGGCTCGTCGCTGCATGAAACACATAAAACATACTGATTAAGAAATGAATCCTCAAATAATTAGCAACTGTTTTGTGCAATATCTTTTGATTAGCATTTGATGATAACTAGAATACAAAAATTCTGAAATTAAGAAACCAGAAATAAATAACTACCAGAATGGTCTTATCAGATTTTCTCTGAGACAAATTTCCATATTCATTGATGAAGTGTAGCGTGCATTTGAATTCACAATGTTTGGAATTTCCAATAGCATTTAAGGCCTGAGGCACAATTCCTTATCTTTTAAGCAGGGAAGACACCATGGACCCTCCATCATTCGTAACTCACAGCTTTCAGATTGGTTCAGTCATGTCTTCGAGCAGAAAAGCCCTTTAAATGACCAATTTCCACAATTTTATAACTTCACCCACTTGAGATGTTGTACCTATTCCTCTTTAGATATATGGCAGGAGAGTACATTCTGAAATTTACAGGACACACATTTCTTCAGAAATAGGAGAGTGCTAACATAATTATTACTTACCAAGTACCAGTTCCTGATGAATTTTTTTAAGGTTCATGCTTTCGAAAGTTGAGTTGTAGGTAATGTCGATTCAGCCGTAGCACGCACCAGAAAATTCCTTTTTCGATCGGACCATTGATGATTCATTGTCGAATTAGCTTTGAACTGATTAAATATAAATGACACCATAAAGTGTTATTTATTAGTGAATCAGAGATCAAAGTATAAATTTGAAGCTGCTATAGAGCAGTGATTTCATCTGGTCCGAGTGATCGTCTAAATGCAATACCCACTTATGACGGATCTGAGAAAGTTTGCATCACCGCAAGGAGGTATTAACTCAATAACTACACACCAAATTATTTACACAACTAGGGCAGATTCTGTGGTGAATCAGCAGGCTTAAGAAAAAGGTCTGACAGCAGGAAAAAAGCAATAATACCTGTACTTATAGCGTAACAGTGCATGCACTAGATTGGTCACGTAAAAGAACAGACACTGATAACAAACATTGAACAAGAAAGCAGAACTGGATTGAGTCACTGTAGTCCCTAATTTAGTTCTAAACTGCTAATTTGAAGAACCATGAGACACACCTCAGATGTGTAATCACTCGGTTCGGGCCAGAGAAACCTTGAACTACATGAGGTCATATCGGTGAAGTTTGAGGGGTCAAAGGGCTGTAATACTAAAAGAAAGGTAAACTTCTGACTCCTGAATGAATTCAAGACCACATATTTTAGATAAAGAAACTGCATAACACTTAAATTGTGGCGAGAATGAAAAGAGAATGGTCAAAGAAAAGAATGTCAGGGTTTGGACTTGTGGAACTGATTCTCAGAGTGCACATTACAATGAGCCGATAGGCTGTGGCTCCAGGTTATAAAATACGAGGAAAATGGTTGTCAAATGCTTTCTTGAAGTCGAACATGGACTGTAATTAGTGAAAATTAAAAGATTTCGAGTTGCTTGGGTGCATGGGTCCTTCCTGTTATCAATTTTCGTTTGTTTACGATCCCGGCCGCCCGGCGTTGGGAGCGTTGGACGTTTTCGATGGCCGATGCTCAGTCGGCGCTGCGCAGCGCTGCGACAATCCTATTGGCTACAAATGTGACGTCATTCGTATATTAGGCGAGCGGGATTTACAAAAATGCGCAGTCTATTTACGCAAATATCTCGCTTATTAGTTGGTTTCATGAATTCCCGTTTGTACCATTGAATTCTACGCGAAATTCTGATGCAGATTCATGTGCTTAGAGCCTCCAGTTCTTACCCTGTCTAGAGGCTCATTGTCTCGCCGGTACACTTGCTGTGTGTTGCTGGGTTGCCTATCGTCTCGCTTGAATTTCGTAATGCGCGGTCTAGATTGTATTATACGTCAATGTCACCGAAGACCATACGCAACAAAAATATAACCTCAAAATCAATTTTTGTAAACAAACCGTTTTCAGTTTTTTTGGTTTTTCAGTGTGATTTTTTCACCTGAATTACTTTAGTGCAAGGCCCTCTCATGAAAGGAAGAGACTAGATTTAGCAAGTCGATCTCCTCTAAAGTGCTTTAAAAATGATTCATTTTTTCCTCGTGAGGAGAATTGCCTTTAAGGCAACTGTGCCTTCAACGCTTCGAAGTTATGAGTATTCTCTCAGTTCCTCTCTCCACGTATAGCTGCAAAGATATTTAGATTACTGTTAACGTATCTCAAAAATGGATCTATAGCAGTGCTCATTATATTTTTATCTAGAGCAGAAATCTATCATCATGGTAGTCCCAGAATTATTTTCTACCGCACTCCATCTATGCCAATATTTGTGGTAAGTTCTTGTTCGATCAAATTTGCCCCAACTCTTGCTGAAACAATCAAGCAAACTGAGCACAATCACCCTAACAATCTAATTCTATCTGTTGACTTCAAATGTGCACAAGTTTGTCTAGTGAGCTCAAGCAAGCAATTTTTTCAGAAGTCTGAAATAAAACTTTAGAATATTCTAATACTCTAATGACATGAACACTTCAGTGGAGCACCCCCAAACAAGCTACTCTCGGGTCTGTTATCTTCAGTGTTTTTGAGTTTGAGTGTAAATTAATTTGATCTTATAATAAATAAGTAAAGTTATATCGAACTATATTCCAGTAGGACTTAAGGGTAACTTGGCAAGCACTGCTTGCCCTAAATTCCTAAGGCAGCAAGGAGGATGTGAATACACAATGTTAGTAACTACCATTCCTTTTATAAGTGGAATGGTTTTTTCTCCGTCAGGTAATCTGTTTCCGTTGTATGAATAAAATTGCTAACCAAGATTTCAAATTTTGTCTGCAGGCTAAAGTGGAAGGATAGATGGTCATACCTGAAGTTGTGCATTTTATCTTTGTTCCACAACAAACACCTTGATGTTCATTATTTTTTGGATGTACTCCTGGGACCAATGTATTGGTTTGTTGATAACTTTACGAAGCGGCTCGGACCGGTAAGATATCTTCAATCCCTAATCCATTTTCCGGAGTATACCTCCAATGGAGAATCCTAAAGTATTGCCACAATGTTTTGCATTTTTCCATTTAGAACAACCTCACAAACTGTCTTACTAAGGAGGAGGTTTTCTCTGCCCTTTGAAAAGGCATTTATTCTGCATAAGTGGTTTTTCATAAGTGAATCCACTGTATTCTCCTTTGATGTCTCATTAAGAAGCAAAAACCATAAAAACCCTTATTGTACCTTAGTACTAATCAGAAAATGCTTAAACCAGCCTGTGCCATAATTTTTATCATTCATGTTCCTCAATTTTGACTTTTTTTTATGTAAGACGCTTGTTCAGTAAAAGTACACCTTACCAAGCAATAATGTAATTCATTTGGCTCTTAAAATTTTAACCATCAAACGAAGTAAGTAACTCTCCAAGCATGAAGCATGGAATTTCTTGAAAAAAATAAATCAACATTTTTCTTTAAAACAATAAAATAGATAGCTGAAGTTTGAATAATTCATTCTTGTTGAAAGTCGATTTCAATAGCAGATAATGAAGTACTTACACTCAAAACCTAGAGGACAGGCGACCGTCTTAGATTTTATAAGACTCCAAAAAGTCAAGGGATCTCCCCACGAACTAACAGAAATCCCTAACTTTTAGGTAATTTTTTAATTGTACCNGGGGGGGGGGGGGGGGGGGGGACACTGATCTTGGATTCCTAAATGAGCGTCTAGGCAAGGTTTGAAATGAAACTTTATTCAACATATCTCCTTTTAAAAATTTCAAGAAGAAAATGAGCCACACAGTGGAAGGCTGAGTCAACTGCAAAGCAAGATAGAAGTGATGAAAGTTAACATGGGGTAAACGGCAAAAATGCAAGTGACATCATTTTTATAATCTGTCATTATTTGATCTGCATTCAAAATACTTGTGAACATCTTGTTTAGGTGATGATTTCGAAACTTGCCTGTGTGCGAGTCCTTTTATACATAACATTTGGAGGAGAAAACCTATGATTTTTTTTGAAGTTCTGGCTTTGTCTAGTGGCCCATTGTTCATACATGAGACGATATGGCAAAATATTTGGAATGTCTGTTAATTTGATCACTACTAGCAAAGCTGTACTGATCTCAGTGAGGTATATATTTGATGACTGCTGTCTGTTTTCCAAACATTGACAGCCATCTCTTTATTACATTGAAAAAAATCCTGCTTCTGATACCAAGAAATTCTGTTTTAGGCATTTGTCACTGCTGTCTGCTGTCTAATGGCTGCTGTGATTGTTATTGCGCATTGGATTGGATTGCCGTATTGGTGGGAAAAAAGTCCATTCGCAGCGGTCCTACTTGTCATATTTGGTTACTGGCTGCTTGTCAATACCTTATTTCACTATTACATGGGTGTCACGGTAAACCCAGGAACTCCACCTGAGGTAAGCACCTAGTTTTTCGTTTAATGAATGTGTTTTAGATATAGATGTAGCAAAAGAAAAAAAAAATTAAGCTGTGACGAGTGGTCATTGCAATGTTTGGCCCAAAAAGAGAATAAGCTCAGAATAACGATGGTTGAGCAAAGGCAGTGTGAAATTAATACAAAGCAAGTGTTTTAAAGTGTCTTCAATCATCGTTTCTGATTCTTCCATCAAGCTCTAGTTTCAATTGAATGCCCTCATACCATCAATTTTATGGAAAATAAAATGAACAAATACAACAACAGAAGACACTTGATCAACCTCAGTTAGAATAATTTAGTACTCAGCATGGAAGTGTCCATTTTATCAAGTATCTCATCATTGACACATAAGTTCAAATAAGTTCAAAGTACAGAGTTAAGTTCAATTATGCTCTTTTTTTCCCTTGCTGATATGTTGCTAAGATACTGGAGATAAGCCACATTTTATCCATTTCGCTCAGCAAATGAGCCACTCTGAGACTTTACACTACTCTGCGATAAAACAAAAGTGTGAATATTCTGCAAAGGTATACATTGGAGGGTCCCTTCCTTTTTAAAATTTCCCCCTCAACCGGTGTGTCATCAATTTCCAAAATCGTTGATGAATCTAATGCTCACGTTCCTTCTGTATCTGTATGTGATTAGGGAGGACTAATACAGGAAGCAGTCAGCATTTGCAAAAAGTGCATCGCTCCAAAACCACCTCGCACTCACCATTGCTCTGTTTGCAATCGTTGCATTTTGAAGATGGATCATCATTGTCGTATCCTTTGAAACATCACACGTTGCAAGTTCTGATACACTGTTTATTTACCTGACATTACGGATTAAAAGCTGTAAGAATTTGTTAACTATAAACGAAAAATTTTTCACTAGGCTTTTACACTTTCCGTAGGAATGCTTACTCAGTTTTTTCTCATTTTATGTATAATTAAGAGGAGCAAGGGCTATGCGCCCTAATTCCTTCGCGCCTCAGGTGTCATTACCTTACCTGTTACTCTTATAACTCTATGTTTTAAAGTAAGATGAGCATTTTTCAGAGAACTCGTTAAATTTGTCTCTACTTTTACTGAGGAAACTAAAAATCTCTAATCAAGATCTCAAATGTTTCTAAAATTGCCTCCTTAACCCTACATTAGCTTGGCTGAACAATTGTGTTGGGCACCACAACCATCGTTACTTTTTTTCTTACATGATTTTTATCACCTTGGGCACATTCTATCTCATGCTGTTTGGATTCGAAATCGCATACCACGAGCTTTGGGAGGATTACTTCAGAAGTGAAGACTTGAATGATGAAAGTTTAGAAGGACATGCTGTCAGGATCAACAAATCGTTACCTGTCGTAAGTTCTCAATGAATTTCTAATGTGGTATGATTTCAACACGCTGAGTACTAGGTTTGGTATTTTTCTTTTGAGTCCCAACTGAATAATCGCATGAATTGATGTATTAATACTTTGGGGGAGATTCAGCACCCTTCTGTTCTTTCCTCCCCTGAAAAATAATTATTTATTTTATTAAGTTTATGTTTTTTTTCTTCTTCTTCTTTAAGACTTTCAACTTCATTTATTTACCAGAGTGTCTACAAGTCCGGAAATAGTACTGATTTTTAAGGGCGGTCCGGAAGTACTGAAAAAGTGCAGAAACTCCGTGGAAAGGTCCAGAATTTTTTCATTTCCTTGTCATTTTTGTTGCAATTTGAGCGAGAAATTAAAATTTTTGGAATTTCGTCAATCGCAGGTACTGAAAGAATACTGATTTTTTCTGTTGAGGAGGTACTGAATTTCTTGAGAATGTACGGAAAAAGTACTGAAGAATTACTTATTTTTGACCAGCCTGTTTTAGTAGACACCCTGATTTACAATCCTTCCTTTGAATTCACTTTTCTCTTTTTTTCTTGCTCATGGCCTGTAAAGAAGCCTTACTTCTGTCGTACAGTTGTTTCATTAGACTATACTTAAGATCAATAAGCAGTTCCTAATTTTGCACCGAAGCCTGGAGTGCTCAAGTTAATATTAAACTAGCCTGAATGATAGACCAAACAGAATAATAGAAAAGTACAAATATGGTCTAAAATAGGGGGCTTATCAAAGTGCTCTCTCGCCTGTGAGTGATGATAGAATGGTACCTTTACATTTTGATTGAATCTCATTAAAACTCTTCTCTTACTGCCCACTTCTTTTTTTAGGATGAATGGGTACTGGAGCCTGTTAATGGAGGTGACATTATTTACCCAGTGAATCATGGAAGAGATTGGAGAAGAAAAGCTATTCTTTTCATGGCATTCATCTGTAGCGGTGAGTCCTTTAATTCACTGTCAACAATATATCCAGAGAATGCCATCACTCATTGATCTGAATCTTTTTTCTGCCGTACTGTGCTCTTTGGAGATCTTTTTTTTTTAGGGTAAAGTATAATGGAAAGAGATTTCATCAAAATCAGGCTGGACGAAGTTGTTATTCAGAGCTGTAAATTACCTCTTGATATGGTGGAATATGTCATTACAGCCAAATCTAAGAATTACCCCATGCCATTTGGCATAAAAAGTTGGTATTGATGCAGAAGAACTTAATCTATGTAAAGCAGATGTCAATGGCCAAAGTGTGAAACTTGGTATCTCTGTTGCAGAGTTTCAAAATTCTTGCTCCTATTTTTTTTAAGTGACTAGTTTTCCAAAAAAAAATAAAGTATGACTGGAAGTTAGCGATGACGCAAACAGAGTTACAGCCATGGAGATTTCGCACTTTGATTATCTATACACTGCTTTGAAGTACATATCGACCGTGAGACTACCAGACCATGTATCTCATTTGCGGTGTCTAAAATATTCCGCTCTCATTTTATTTTTTTTGAAGGAGAACAATTCAATCTCATTCTTTGAAGTTTTCACAGAATTTTCCTCGCGCTGAGAAGAAAAATCACGGGAGTTTTCAAGTTTTGACGTCGAGTAGTCACCCATTTGAAAATTACAGTATGATAGGAAGTCTGCAACGTTGCAAAACGAGATACGTGGTCTGGTAGTTTCACCGTCAATATGTCAATATGTTGTCATATTTTGGTCAGATTTTTATTGAGTTTCATCTAGATTTTATATTCAAGACTATTCAAATAAAAGGAATGTCTTGTTTTTAATTTTATTTTGGTTTGTTGATTTATTGCTTTAATAGCTGTTTATTATCATATTTACTCTTCTTCATTACTTCAAACACTTTTCTCTCTTTATTAGGTGCCTTTGTAGCAATTGGAGCGCTTTTGATTTACCACTATCGCCTTATATCTGCTGGTGAAACAAGCATTGAGTATCATATAAACAAAGATCAGAGGAAAAAATTTGCTGCGTTGAACAAGGTAGGTAAATCAAAGCCTAACCATCAGCAATGGTTTTTTTAAGTACCATGGATTAGTTTTCTAGCCACTAGAATGATCACGGCTGTGTTATGATGATAGTTGGTAAAAAATTAAGATAAGGCCCCAAATGCAATTTGCTGTGTAAAAATCATGTGTTATTATGATAATTCCCTCAGAAAAAATTCAAAGTTTCTTTGAAACTAAAATTATTTTCCATCTCTACATTCCAAGTTTGCAACTTTGTTAGGAAGCCATCAAAGGAAAAGAAAGTAATCGCAAGTTCATGATTCCTATTAAAAGAATGGCAGCAAAGAATTGTAATAAAAACCATTTGCACTGCTGTTAGAGTAATCAGCAATTCTCCAAATTTCCAGAATATGTCTGGAGAATGTTCTAAGAATAATAGAAGGGTGTAATATTATGTCAGAGCATTTACAGAATACCAGAGCTTTCTTTGAGTGTATTAAGCAGAGTTTATTTCTATACTTTATCCTCTTTTATTATTGAAAAATGGAGTATTATCATCATGAAATTGAATTGTCCAAGATGAGATAGTGTCCTTCCTGCCAGAATTACATCATATTTTACCTCATAAACTCTGCACCTAGTGCCTCTCTCTAGAACTTAACCGATATTTTTCTTTACAGCCCAAGCCCCAAAATCTAAGGTTCAAGAAAAAATGAAAAACTATGCCATTTGGCGATCGCATAATCTTTTGAGCCTGAAACAGGTTACCTATTAAAATTGAGCTCAAAGGATTGGATGTACGCTGAATGGCACACTTTTTTCAGTTTTTCTCAAAACTTGGATTTTGCACTTGGGCTGTTTAGGAAATTAACAGATCAATTATCCCAAAGTCATCTATCAGTTTAATCAATGATCACACGGAATGAAGGAACCAGATATATCTAAAAAAAACTTGTAAAAAAAATGTGCCAGGAATCACTAAATGAAATACGTTTCTGCAGAACGGAAGCACTCTGATTGGCTACTAATGAGTGGTTGGCAAGATTTTTATTGAAATTCAAAGAAAGTCCGTTTTTTGAAGTTTATAAATCCAAAAAATATTCAGTTATAATTTCAATAAAAAGTACCAAAAGTTATTTACTAGCAATAAATATTTATGGGTGATAGAGACCCTGACTGAATGGGTGAGATGCAGAAAACCTTACTTGCATTTCAATGTTGCAAAATTTTTCTCAATAATTTATTCAATTACTCAAGAATGGCTGCAAAATTGCCTCAGGAAAGAATATTTCTAAAGTTTTTGATGTAAAACGTATGGATGGATGGTAAAATAAGTTGTCAGATGACACTTTAAAACAGTATTTCTTGATATCATCTTTTCAATTTTCAAAATTGGTTTAGAAAATTTCGAAAATGGCACAAGAAATAAGCACTTAAAGCAAACATGCAAGTTTCCAAAATGGACTATTTCTACGACTCTTGTGATTTTCTCTGTAAATTGTAGAAAATAACGCAATGTCAGATTCTCAGAATTTGTTTTCATCAAAATTAATTATTTTTTGCAGGAGTACAAAAATCCTTACAACTTTGGTCGAAAACGCAACTGGAGAATATTTTTTGGACTACAGAAAGACAGGTAGTTATATTTAATCGATATTCATCAGATACTTCAATTCAAAAAGGAAAAGTATTGATGGGAAGAATAAATTTTAGCTCACTTTTCAGGTGTCAAATGAACGACATGTCACTGTCAAAAAAACATCATAACCCTAGAATGAAATTTTGACCAACTTTCTATTCATCTTTAATTCAGTCAAGTTCATTAGTTACGAAGAATCCAAACCTCTACTGAAATACATTTTTAACAGTGGATGAAAGTAGCTTTTTTGCTTAAAATTGCCTAGGCCATAAAATGTCTCACTCAGCCATTTGCAACACTCTTTCCCTTGGAAACTAATGGACTTTATTTTGCAATTCGGAACTTTAATTTCTGGCTCATCTGTGAAAACACTAATGTGCAAAGGGCACCAACTGGTACGTTGTTTCTAAATTAAGCCAGAAATTGTCGTTCTAAATTTCAAAATACAGTCAAAATTATCAATGGCCCACTAGGCTGGGTAAAAAATTAAGCGCCATGGCCCATATCTGATCATCAAAATTTCATGTAGAATACGTTGGACATATTGGAAATTTTTAATATTAACTCATAAAAGGGGAATACATGTGTCCTATGCAATCCTTTTGCTTCTATGGACAAGGGACCCTTTTTTCTTGGGTGATCTTACTTGTCAACTTCATTCAACTCTGCCTTTCCGTTTTCTCAGATCGTGGCTTCACGTTTTCTTCCCGTCTGCACACAAACCCATCGGAGACGGTTTGCAGTGGCAAACAATCTACTCCGGGAACCCCTTAGAAGTTCATGCCAAAACCCCATAAGTATGAGATGGGAAGGACTCAATATCTTGACTTGCATTTTCATGTAAGAGAAAGAACTTTTAAACGCTTCATCAATGAAAGAACTATTACTGAGACTTGCTCAGAGTTTGTCTCAGAGGTACATTTTTGCAAAGTTAATTGTCCGAACAAGCTTAATCACAAAATCCTGTTATAATGCAGTTGAGAAAAAAGGAACAAAATAGATTTATGAATGGGTCACAAGACTCCAAATATATGTTGACAGCTGATAGCTACATTGCTTTGTGCAAAATCACCCCTTGAAACAACACTTAATGATAAAAAACAAGTTTTAAGAAAAGTGTTGATTAATCTTCTGGTGTGCCAAGAAAAAACGTCCATGAAACATTGAATGTTACCAAATCTCGTTCGATAAAATACAAATTTTTTCGAAAACTTGTAAAGAATCATCTCTAATTAATCGAATAATTTCATTTGCACTTTGAAATTGGAAATTACAATGTAAACTTTTTTTCATAACTTTTGATTTCTCAAGAATAAATATTTTATCGGAGGGAATTTGGCAACATTCAAATGTTCATTTGGCGTTTTTCCTCAGCACGGCAGTCTTGATCTATGCAGTACAATTTGACCACATTTTGTAATTAGGAACTACAATATCTGGCTTATTTTAGAAACAGTATTTGTGCTATTATTTTTCTTGTGCCGATAGGTGCTTTTATGGATGAGCTAGAAACTGTAGGTCCATATTGCAAAATGCAGTCTAATTAATTGTTGAAAAACAGATTCCCTGACAAAAGGGATCAAGACTTGGTGAGCTAGTCTTGCGGTCTCAGTTAGATTTGTGATATCATATCTTTCACGTTATTTTGATTTCGCTTGTCTTTCTTATAGAGTATCTTAGTTTTATAAAGTTTGTGATATTTTATTTTTAAGACGATTGTGTGATTTTTATCTTTAGTATATTGCACTTTGACGCAACATTCCACTTCCTTTTTGGTTCTTCTTTTTGTTTCTCAGGATGTTTACCTGTTTTTGTGTACAAAAGTTATTTCATTTTGTTCATCACAAAGAGAGCAATAAAGTAATGTTTATTTTGCCCTCACCTCTGAGTTATCATTAAGTAGCTATAACCAACGATCACCAAACAAATACCTTGTACTTTTCCCAATTTCTAGAAGGTGGACTCCATGATTTTACATCATCTGCACCCCTCAGATACAATAATAGTGACTGCTGAATCTGAACTATCCAACATTTTCATAGGGGACAATTCAAATCGGTACCCAGGAGGCTAAAGGTACCTAACTCGCATTTATGAAAAGATCAAGTTATATGATGGAATTTTTATAAATCTCTATTAACGGTTCCGTGTGTGTGGAAAATTTAGTAGCCCTTCTTGCCTTGGTTATGAGGTACGGAGTTTCAAAAATTGGGATTTACATTGGAATCTGTGGGGCTGACGCGCAGTTTTCCCCTGATATCTTGAAAATACTAGAATGGAGTTAGGGACCTTTTGGCTCTGGGGCACTGAAATAGATTTTAGGCAAAATCCACGATGACAGAGCGATTATTTTTTTCTCTTTTTTTTCGGTACAATGAAATAATGAGACAACCAGTTTTATAAGTATTGCCTGTATTTAACTACACCCCAGAAATATAACATTACAAAAACATCTATATTCGTCCAAAAATTATTAACAGAAACAATACAGCTAATCTATAGGAAATTTTGCGGACACTGGTTCAAACAGGAAACCAGCAATTCCATACTTTGTACAAGAATCTTAAGATGGTTACTGTGCCACCATCTTCGATTCCAGGACTAATCGAACACAGACTCATCACCCACGGTATTATTCACTCAGATCTTTTCACCCACAGCATTTAAACCCCTATGAACTTTTGTGTACAAGACTTTTTGCAAAGAAGGAGCTTTCACCTACGAGTAGTTTACACTGCCTAATGAGGTCGTAGGTGAGGTCGAGTTGAAGGCAAACTTGATTTCTAGCTACAGTTCCCCGGCATTAAAACGTGACCTTTGGAGCAGTGCTTAGTTCTAACTTTGGCAACTTATTTACCCGGATATCCCTATCTAAAATGTTTTCTACAGGGAGAATCGAGTATTAATTCCTGGACATTTCACTGGTCATTAAAAACACGAGGATTACAACAAAAGTCGCTCGTCCTTTAGACATCATGCTAAACTAAAATGCGCAATGCAACTATTTCAACTCCTGAATTGCTCAAATTGCATTCATCGAGTTGACAGCAAACTTGATGCCTGACTCCAGTTTCCACTTAATAAGAAGTGACCGCGAATAAGTACTCAATTTAATTTTCGCAACTTGATGAAAATGCTTGTAGGTAAACAAAAAGCTTGCAGGTTAAAAGGGTTGTGGGTGAACATTCGTGGGTTGATAGGTCTTTGGTGAAAACGTATGGATGAATAGTCCCTCAGGCGAAAAAACTGTGGGTGAGTAGTCCCGGCACCCCATCTTCTGTACTCTCTCTGGGGTACTTTTATATCGACGGTAGAGCTTCCAAACCATGTATCTTGTATGCAGTGTTTAAAGATCTCTGCTTCTATTTCCTTATTTTTACAGGAGAACAAATCAACATCATCCCTTGAAGTTAGCTCGAAATTTGGTTCTCACAGAGAAGAATAATCCCGGAAGTTTTTTTAAGAATTTATGTTGAGTGGTTTTCCGTTTAAAAAATAAAGTATGCCAGGAAGTCTACGATGTCGTTAACACGTGGTTTGGGAGTTTCACCGTAGAAATAGAGGGAGATCCTAATCTCCTTAAAGCCGGTAAAAATTCAAAAACGTGCATCTCGATTGTGATATACACCTGCTTTAGTGCTTTCAAAAGAAGCAGTATTGTCTACAATTTCTACATTATCTCTCACAGAAGAATGATCAGTAGAAATCTCAAAAAAAAAAAAAAAAAAAAAAAAAAAAAAAAAAAAACATTGATTAGCTGTTCCTTCGTAAAAATTTGAATTGGTTGGGAAATCTGTAACACCCAGATCTGAGATCCATCTTCTTGAACGATTCTCAACGATTTACTGAAGCTGGGTACCTGACATATTTTATAATATGGATGCATGTGAGATTCCCAGACGCCGGACAATGCTGATGTCAGTCCAAAGAGGAAAGTATAAATTGACATCAACAGTTTTCTAAATTACATATAATTCACACTTAAACAACAAGTAAATGTATAACTTGCGACTAAACTTAAAGGATTTAATCCTGCAGTCATTTTTAACAGTAAAAAAATATTGCATCAACATTAAGAGCATAAATTAGATTAAATTAAGATACTTATTAGGAATGATATAAAAAAGTATGCTTTGGATTACAACAATTTAGAAAAAAGGAAATACATAAAGCGAATTTTTGCATCCAATCCTACCAATTGTTTGACTCTGATGAAATTGCTAACATTAATGCCATTGTGACGTCAACAGACTCATCCATCAATGTGGGCCAATCACAGAGCTTTCCACTAGATTCACAAAGTCCTCAGTTTACGCAAGGTACAGGTTGAATTCCAACAATGATTCCGGTGAACATCAACCATCCCTTTGGTAAACTCAAGAAAGGAAGATCGGGTTCACGATGTAATAAGGATTCACGCAGTCCGTCCGATTCAACACAAAAATTCACTCATACAAATATTCGCAAGAAAATAAACACTCACCAACAATGAAGTGCACAGAAAAACATTTGCGACTGCATTACAGTGTCAATCGCGAGGAAAATGATACTAGAAAAAAACTAGAAGACAATTCTAGTTGGCGAAATTCTTTCCTGGGTAAAAAATGGACAAAATGGACCACTAGACCTAGTATCAATTAGGTACCACAATAAACAATCTTTGATAAAAACTTTACCTAGAATATTGCTGATAAATTGTGGAACTCTCTAGCAAAATTGGTCGAGTTTTGAAAGAAAATTAGATTTCAAGTACATCCATTTGACTTGACCGCCAAACAAAAGTTGATTTTGGTCAAATGCAGCACTTTAGTCAAAATAAAATAATGTGCTTCTATAAAAAGACAACAAACAACATGATTTTCTAACAAAGCTGAATTTTCTCTTTACAAGTTTACAAGTGCTGTGAATCAATGGAGGAAAAAATGTGTGAAAAATGGAACTTTTGGAGTTTCCGGCAGTCTGGAAAACTGAAAAGTCTGGGAAAGATCATGAGTTTACAGACACCTTGAAAAAGCAGAGAATTTCCTTTCGAAAGTTGCAATATTTCCTCACCGACATCAGCCATCGCTATTCAAGAGAAGTGCCTTTTTCCTTAATTGAATTAGGACGTGCGAAAACCGCTTATGTCCAACTATCCAGTCTTCAGTTTTTTTGAGTTGAGAGTACTTTTCGGAGTTGAGTGCAACCACGAAAGTGGCATTAAAACTCGTCTTCAGGTTTCCTTTATCCCAAAACAAGTCCTTTCATCACTTTTACGGTTGTATTAACTCTTCAAAAGTATTATCAAGTCAAAAAAACTGAAGACTGGAAAAATGGACATTAGCGGTTTTCGCACGTCCCGATTCAATTTGGATCTCTAAAAGTGGAGATTCTGTCCATAGTCCGTATTTTAGCAAAAGCTAGCGTAATGATAAAAAAAAAGTCTAGGTGGAAGTTTTGATCAAAGTCAGGGATTTTGGAAAGAATCAGAGAATTAACAAATTATAGAGACTTTGGAATATAGTCACTTGTCATTTGTTTGAGTTTATTTTTAGTGGCTAAAGGAACTACAATGATTTTAAATTTTCTGCAAATAAGGAGTTCGAATCCACTGATTCCAACCAGAGACTCAGAACTAGAGCCTCATATCTTTAACTTATGAATTAATTCTAAACATTTGTTTATGTTCCAAAAGTTTTGCATGAGATTTTGAGTCTAAATCAAATCTTGGAGTACTTTAATTTTTCCTATGTCTGGAGGTCCATTTTGAAGGCTAAGATATAAACCTGCCTGAAGAATTTTTACAAAAACTTCAAAAGAATTGCACATGGATTTCAAAAACTTAGGAAATTTTTCAATGACATTAAGTCTTCATGCGTTCAATGGACTAGTAGACTAAAATGGGATGTCGACAGACTTCAGAGAAGTAAATTAATGATTTTGCAGATTTAAAAGTTCCGGTGACAGATGAAGTGCCGAAATTTGTCTCCCGCACAAAGGAACATATCTAATCTGGGCTTTTTCATTTATGCGAATATTTTATTTTTATATAGAAGCGTAGCACAAATTAGTCTGAGAATTTTAGAGTCTATTCTCACAAGGGCAAAGAAAAATCAGTAGAAATTTCAGGAAAATTTATTTGACCGCTCTCCCGGAAACAAATAAGAGTAAGAAATACTGAAACAGTGCAATCCACGTACATACGTTCCTTCGTGCAAAAGATACCAAATTAAGGAGTCATTTAGTAAAGTTCTTGATTGAGATAACTTACACAGCAGCATAAAACACAAAATGGGTGATTTCAAAATCAACTCAAAAGCAAAAGCCTTTGTATTGAGAATGGTATAAAATGAAAGGAATGTTGTTTTTTTGACAATTCGCACTCCATTTGGATTACATTTTGTGTTAAAGAACCACTATTTCTGGCTCATTTTAGAAACAACATATATGCTATTGGTTTCCCTATGCAAAAAGGTGCTTTTATAGACGAGCCAGAGGTTCCTTATTGCAAAATGTAATCCATTTAACATGACTGAATACACCTCCGTATTTAAATATTGATCACCTAAAATTGTGTAAGAATTTTGTAAAACTGAAGAGAATTTTGACGAGGGAACTCACGATAGGTAATTAATGTTTAATTTCTGTCTACTAGTCCTTTCCACGTTAAAACAATTGATGGTCCCACAAATTATGTCGTACTTAGAAATACAACAATTACTATAATGTAACATAAAACTCTAACAATACAAATCAACACAGGAAATAAATCACGAATCTTAAAAAAGGAAAGCTAAAAATGCAGAGTGTTACAGAAAGATTTTAAAAACTGAAAGAATATAAACTAAAAAAATTAGATGATGATCTATATAAGGTACTTTATCACAAGGTTGGCCTAAACGGCTCAGACTGTTGGCCAGGGTGTCTACTAAAACAGGCTGGCCAAAAATCAGTACTTATACGTTACTTTTTCGGTACATTCCCAAGAAATTCAGTACCTCCTTAACAGAAAAATTCAATACTTTTTCAGTACCTCCTTAACAGAGAAATTCAGTACTTTTCAGTGCCTTTATTTGACAAAATTCGAAAAATTTAAAAAATTTGAATTTCTTGCTCAAATTGCAACAAGAATGACAGAAAAATTAAACAAATTCCAGACTTCCTTGTGGAATTTCCGCACTTTTTCAGTACTTCCTGACCACCCTTAAAAAATCAAAACTACTTCTGGAAATTCTGGACTTGTAGACACCATGACTGGCTGAAATTCATTTCAGTACAACACAAGTATTATATGATTTTATTTTTTAAAAATAATGTGACTGGATCTGTGAAACAGGATTTAGCACCTGAATATAAAAATTTTCAAGGAAATCATGATATCATGCACTTTAATGGCCTTCAAAAAAGAAAAGAAAAAAAAACCACCAATAACAGCACATTTTAAATGCATCTGTAAAATATCATGTTCGTATGTTCCTGTGAGCTTTTAAGCTTAAAATTTTTGGCAACATAAATATATATCCTTCTAGAGGGCAGACTTATTTTTTGAATTTTGAAACATATGTCTCTTTTCACAGATCCAAGAAATAATGAGGATGATACTCTTTGCAAGAGTAACCAATAAGAACCCAATGAGATCAAAAGTTCTTATTCTCTTAAAATTAGTTAAAATTACTATCTTCATATTAGACCAATGTTGCCATTTCAGGTAAAAATAGCCTCCTTTATTACTTCTAGTGGGAAAGCTGTAGAAATCTCCTGAAAAATGGCAAATCAGTATTAACCTACCAAGAGAGCTGTTTCCCTGGAGCTGCCGCAACTCCACGCAGTACAAGCGACATCCTGAATCAAATAAATTACATGCTTTGAGGCAAGACGGAATTAGTCGCTTTTTTTCGCATCAATAGTAGGAACTTCAGAAACAATTGACGTGTCCTCGTCAATTCTCGATTTGTCAACAGGGTACAGCCTACAAACATATAAAAAGAAAAACATTTAAAAAAGCTGCTGATGCAAAGGATTATTTTTAATTTACAAAGATCAAACAAAAAACTTGACACAATTTTTGATCCTAAGTCTTCGTACAGGGAGTTAAGTAGGTCCTCCTTAAAGACATAGATTGATCTGCAGCCCAATAGCAAGGGTTATAGGACTTTTGGTCCAATTTTTTTTGTCCACAAATTTTTTCGTCCAATTTATTTTGTCCACGACTTTTTGTCCTTGAAATCTGGTCCAAGTTAAATTCGTCCTGGTAAATAGTTAGTCCTACGCATTTGTTCGTCCAGTGGTATTAGGTCACATTTCTGTGGTCCAGTAAGGTAAAAAAGTTATGTCCAAAACTCACGTCCAATGAGGCCGTTTCAGCTACTTCCTTTCAGCTTTCAGCTACTTTCAGTCATCGTCTGAGTCTTCTTCGTCCGAGTCCGGTGGATCTGCGCGTGGCGTGTGAATCAATTGGCGTTAAGATCAATTTATTTCGTAGCTATGGAGACCCTTAAATTTAATCCCAACATCGAAAGAAAAAACATCGAAGAGGTTATTTTACCAACGAAATTACCAACATTACAAGGACACGAACTCACTTAAGAAGTACCTCCGAGCATGTGCGTACCACCTCAAGTTGCACACGCCACGCGCAGATCCACCGGACTCGGACGAAGAAGACTCAGACGATGACTGAAAGTAGCTGAAAGCTGAAAGGAAATAGCTGAAACGGCCTCATTGGACGTGAGTTTTGGACATAACTTTTTTACCTTACTGGACCACAGAAATGTGACCTAATACCACTGGACGAACAAATGCGTAGGACTAACTATTTACCAGGACGAATTTAACCTGGACCAGATTTCAAGGACAAAAAGTCGTGGACAAAATAAATTGGACGAAAAAATTTATGGACAAAAAAAATTGGACCAAAAGTCCTGTAACCAATAGCAAGTTACCATAGGACAATTGAAAAAGACTCGATGTCAGCCGCATGAGATCACTGCAGCACTGAAAGAGCACTTTAATGTGAGGCCCATGAGCCTGACTATCGATTAAGGTTTACAGACTTTAAAGATTAAATTTGACGATTCTAGTCAATCTAAAGAGCCTCCCAAAAAAGAGGCTGATTTTGGCCCCTTTCTAGGTATTCGATTCGACCATCGGACCAAGGTTTAAATGGAAGCTTATAGTAACAGAAAACTCAGGAAAAAATTTCAAGATGAGTATAGGAACCGTTTTCGAGTTACGGGGGGGCAAAGGGGTCACAATCTGGCCTAATTTTTTGCTGTTTTCTTGTAGAATTGATGTATCGGCGGGGTTCTTATCGTTGTTTACGCATGTGTAGCACATGGATTCCTACGTGTTTTTACACGTAGAATCGATTTTTAACGTTGCCGAATCGATATATTGATCAGTTAAATCGATTTTGAACGATTTTTTAAGGAAAATCGATGCTATTTCAGGATCGAAATTGTTTATTTTCGATTCATGAATGAATAAATGCACCTGAAATGACTGAAGCACATGTAACCCTATGTATTTTGACAGGGAGAATTGATTTTTAACATTGACGAGTCGATTTATCTACAGTTTGTATCGAATTTTTGCGACTTTTTACGGAAAATCGATGACTTAGCGGAATTAAAATCGGGTTTGCTCCATCCGAGATCGGAGATATGTACCCAACATGATTGGAGCACATCGACTCTTACGTATTTTTATACGTGGAATTGATATATAACCTCGATAAGTCGATATATCGATCAATTGTATTGAATTGATGCGATTTTTTGCGGAAAATCGATGGTTTATCGGGATTGAGATCGGCGTCTCTCCGTCCAAGATCGGAGAAATGTACCCTTCATGATTGGAGCACATCAATTCTTACGTAATTCTGCACGTAGAATCAATTTTAAACGTCGACACGTCGATATATCGATCTGACATACACAACTCTTGCGATTTTTTNACTTAAGAAGTACCTCCGAGCATGTGCGTACCACCTCAAGTTGCACACGCCACGCGCAGATCCACCGGACTCGGACGAAGAAGACTCAGACGATGACTGAAAGTAGCTGAAAGCTGAAAGGAAATAGCTGAAACGGCCTCATTGGACGTGAGTTTTGGACATAACTTTTTTACCTTACTGGACCACAGAAATGTGACCTAATACCACTGGACGAACAAATGCGTAGGACTAACTATTTACCAGGACGAATTTAACCTGGACCAGATTTCAAGGACAAAAAGTCGTGGACAAAATAAATTGGACGAAAAAATTTATGGACAAAAAAAATTGGACCAAAAGTCCTGTAACCAATAGCAAGTTACCATAGGACAATTGAAAAAGACTCGATGTCAGCCGCATGAGATCACTGCAGCACTGAAAGAGCACTTTAATGTGAGGCCCATGAGCCTGACTATCGATTAAGGTTTACAAACTTTAAAGATTAAATTTGACGATTCTAGTCAATCTAAATTTGATCAAGTTTCAAACAAATTTTCAGAGATTTTATCAAACTTAGAATACCTTGTTTACTGTATCGTATAAATTTGATTTTTTAGACCTGCTTTAGCCGACTGTTTCATAGACCTTGATTTTAAGGAAACCTTTCACTGAAAAAATTCAAGCATCAAATTATCATCCCCTCAAAATCTTACTTACAAAACGATTCACACATCAGAAAGTTCAAAAAGCAACTCCTGAACAAGTTATCAACAAGTGTTTTAACACAGATTAAAATATAAGTTACGTTATATAAACGATGTCATTCGTATTTTTGCCGTTTTATCAATGTTAACTGTAAACACCTGTGTATTGTTTGAGAGCTGATTTCCAGACTTCCTGTAATGAGATTCATTTTCCTCGTAAAACTTTGAGGAGTAGACATGTTGCATAGCACTTTGACTCATCCTTGTCCACAGACCTATTAATGAATGAATCATAAAGCCTAAATTGCAATACTGAACCATCCAAGAAAACTTACCATCGTTGATACAAATAAATAAGAAAGACTACATCATCACGGAAACATGCGAGGCGGTGAGCGGTGGGCATAGTGATAATAAAGGCAAAGACATCGTCTATAAACGTACTGAATGCCTGAAAAAGACATAAAATATCATTCATCAAATAAAATAAAGCAGCAAAGAGACATTTTGTGAGTAAGTACTTCCGTCAAATGGATTAAGAGGAATTACCTTTGCTTGGCTGGTGAAAAGGACATTGTTATGGACTTTGGTAATGAAAAGATGTCACTTAATTGAGACTAATAATGCAAAAAAGGACCTTATTCGACAAAGTCTCAAAATTTTATTGTTGGTATTAGAGCATTGAAAAATAACAGGAATATGTTGGGCAAAAAAATGCCAAATAAGCCCCAAAAAATCCCGAGCTATACTGCCATGTTAAGGAGGAACACCATATGAACCCTTGGGCATTGCCAAATTTCCTTTGGTGAATCACGAATTCTCAGGAAAATTTGTAAATATTTTTCTTCCAATTTTTCATGTAAATTTCAAAATTTCACGTAAAGTTTCTCAAAATTTCAAGGTAAAATATGCATTGCTTTCCTCAAAAATAAACATTTTACTGTAGGAAAATGGGCAACACTCGAATGTTCATACGGCGTTTTTTCTTAGCACGGCAGTATAGCAGTTAAAATATTTTAATACAAAAGTTGGGTTCGAGAAAAATCTGCTTAGAATCTTGATCTACCATGCTCGGGGCACCAACTTGCCAAATCATAATACAACCTTGCGCCGTCCATTGACGCAAAAAAGAACAGGACCAGTTGCAATTTATTACGTGGGACAAACTGAGTTTCCTGTTAAAATTCTGACAGGCCATTTTTCAACCCAAGTCGACAAGAGTCATTATATTGAAAAATTTTGCCTCCGTAGACTAACGGCCTTATCAGACAGACAGTTGCAATTCAATTTGAAATGGACCTCAAAGCTGTCAGTTTTCTATCACCAAGTTCAAATTTTCTGAAATTTTGTTCCAATGTCTTTGAAATTTCTTAGGTAGGAAAAAATCAATGAAGAGGTTGTAGTGCTGGGCTTTTTCATAAAACTCCCTGGCGCACACTAAACATGTTTCTCTTTTCCCCAATGTTCCAAGTTTTCCAGCCTATTCAGCAGCCTGTCAGCTTACTTACTTTATACATGAATGTTCTCCAAGGAAGATGCGCAACCGACTTCAGTCGATAGTTGACGAAAAGTTGGGGCAACATGAAAATGAAGCCAAAAGCGTAGACTCCATTTACCGTGCTCCTTATGATCCATGAATACCAACTGGAAAATAAAATCATTAAAAATTGAAGGGTCAGTAACAAAAAAACAATAGAAAAAAGGTAGTTAAACACGAAAAGCCATAAATCATACTTTTGATATAAAATCATAGGAGTACCTAACGCATAATGCCTGATGCGGGAAGCAATTCTGGGGGGGTCCTTGTGTTCGTCGATGTGTTTCTTCTGCGGGTATGCAAGAGAACCCTACATTCCCTGGCCACCCAGAAATTCACCACCACAGGTAATACAACAGGTTTTTGGTAAGTCCGCAGGGGACACCGACCAGACGAAAACAATTTTCTACTGTTATCTCTTAGAACTATATAAAAATTTGCAGTACAGGCTAGAACAATCATTCAGGTGTAATATTCATTATTCAAGGCATTAAACACAATGATTGATAAAATCTATGACAATATTAATAGCGATGGAACGTTCTCAGCAATGACAAAATAGTTTGTTAGCAATCTGAACAAATCTACGTATCAGAGCTGGTTCACAGCAAAACCCATCAAAATCACCACCGATAAAAGTGCGGCAAAACAAAAGGAGACAAACTATGATATAACAGCGAATGTCTCTAATTTTCACCAGAAAAGAGGTTTTTAATCACCTGCGATGTACTTCATTCACCAAAGAATAGACAGCAGCACCTATGATCAACGGGTACAGATAACAAAGATATTTCATGCTTTCTCGGTCGAACTCTTTGGTACGTTGCTCTTCACTGCTCACGAATGCTTTTTTGAACTTGAGATGTTTCCAATCAATCGGGATGACTTTGTGCACTTTCCAAACCTGAAAAATTAGTACAGAGAAATTTAACCCTTCTATGCAATGAATTTGAGATTTTGGCACGGAAGAGTTCACTTGCAGGCGTGAGGAATTTGGGATTAGATTTAACTTACTAATACGTTGAGGCCATAAAAAGGATGGAATATCAAATTGTGAGAAAGTTCACTTCTAGAATGAAGTGACATTCAGTATAAGGTGCAGTTCCTCAAAAAAACTGAATGGGGAAGCTCCTTCATCTAACCCAGAATTTCCAAAATTTCTTCATTTTCCGATCCTGTCACTTTTCCTGACTTTTTTGCTTTTCCCAAACTCCAAAAATTTCAAATCCCCTAACTTTCCCTGATTTTAGAACAAAATTTCCTTGTCGACTTCTTTCCTTCTAATTATGCTGACTTCTATTGAATGCTGTCTGCAAAATTTCCCTACTTTTCCTACTGATTCCCTCACTTTCCCAGGTCGCTGGAGGTTCCCTGACTTTCCAGGTTTTCCATACCATCAGCGACCCTTCCATCACATGTTCATACTTCCTTTATTCTCAAATTAAATTTGCCGAGAGGAAGTTCCTTTGTTGTTGGTCTTCATCAGAGGAACTGCATTACAAAATGACAGCTATTAGGGCGCCTGCATTAATTCACTAAACTAAGTGAGAGGATGAACTCAAAGATCATCCATATCAAATTGCATCTTTGCCACATGTGAATACTTCTTGAAGCAGCAAATGGCAATTTCTGAGGTAGATTGTGAGGTACGAGGTAAAAGTGAGACTCCGCCAAAGTACTCTTGATTTTAAAGCAATTTTCATCGAGGGACAACTTATTTTTTCTAAGCAACTGTTTGCGATAGGTCCATTCATACGAAGACTCCGATGCGTTTTACAAGTGAGGTCTAAGGAGAGGAGAGGGTTTTAAAAAAAAAATTGTGTTCCGTAATACTACAATAGCAGAAGGAAATCTCCATAAATCACGAACCTCAATCAATGCTCCAATGAACGAAGGAATTAAAATAAGAAGAGATGACTTTTCCTCAATTAGATACAGCAGGATGATGATATGACTGAAGGCGTGCCACAACACCGTATGTGCTGAGATGCCAGCGAGACTTTTCCTTGAGTGCCAAAAGCTAACGTCATTTTTGAAGGCCAGGAAATCAAAGAGCAGCTACAATGGACAGAAGATACCATCATTATTACGTATAGTATTAAACGTTCCGTAATATTACAATTTTGCGCGGAGCATTATAATTTCCAAAAACTAATCTGCAAGCCGAAAGTTGGTGCTTTCCTTGTCAAGGCAAATGTTCTACTGGTCAAAAAATTAAAGTATCGATACTTGAGTATTTCAATACTGAAATAATACTAATCTGCTTCATGATATAAAGATTTTTCTCTTGTTAAGTTCCGACTTGCAATGTTAGAAGAATGGAAATTTTTTAACAGATTCTGATAATTAATTGGTTGATTTCTGAAAATTTGGGAAACTAAATTAAGAGTTAAAGTTTGAAAACTTATCAAAATTTCTTAGAGAAGATTCTGTTTCATGATATATTTTTGAAATATATGTTCACAAGCGGGAACAAGCGTTTCTGAAGCATTGGATTCAGAGTACTCACATGAAAGCCTGATACAAAAATCGTTCCGAGGAGTAAATAAATATTTGTGTCTGCAAAGATACCCTTGACTTGGTCAATCTCTTTGACAGAGAATCCCAGAGTCTGAACAGAGCTCATAGAAGCTTCAACATGCAGCATTAGTCTGGGAAGAGAGATACGAAAACGGGATTAATACAATAACAGATACACTCTCATGGTGTAAGCACACTTTAAGAAATAATTCCTAGAAAATCATGCGTGGAGAATTAGTGTCCCTCAAACCTAAAGAAAACACAGAAATATTTGAGATGAGAGCATCAAGTCCAACAGCTTCGGCTCAACATTTTAAAAGCAATGATTAAAAACTTTGCTTGATTTCTGAATAAGAAATTTTACATGGGCAAGATTGGTGTTTGAAAGAAGCTTTCTAATTCATGAAATGTTACACTCAATTACAGAAATGAATGTAATGTGCAACTTTTTTTTAGCTTCTAGGCGGTGGGACACTTACACTGAGTGTTGAAAAAAATTATTCTAGGACCTAATTTTCAGGTTTCGAGTTTGGCAGAAGGTTTGTGAAAGGCTCTATGGCCGATACACAATACATAATAAATACATAATAGCACACAAATACATAAATACATAATTTTTTTGGCATAAGCACAATACATTAAGAGAGTCCAGTGAGGATGTAACACAAAGAGCTTATGTCTCCTTTCACAGTAGAGAGAAGTTACAATTTTTAAGCAATTTTATCATAGAAAGAGAAAGGAGATGACACAAAGTACAAAGCAATACTGCACAAGCTAAACTTTGATATTTTTTGAGATAATGTACTTCAAGACCTCTTGCGAATCGATTTTTAAAAAAATTGAATTTTGTGAAACCAATTTGAGAAAAATTAGGCTGAGAAGTTAATTTTTAAGCACTCTTTCATGCATTTCCGGGTGCGTACGTTGCAACACTACATTGCAGATTGAGAAGACAACTCCTTGCCTCGTAAGTAAGGGACACATTCTTGCATCTTTTGGCAGAAAAATACCAGGACCTCAGAAAAGAGGAAATCTCTGCATTAAGTTATAAATAAGAAAGGCTTGTCCAAAAATCTAACACAGCGACAGTGCAAAACGTTTTTGAAAAAAATCGATGTGAAAATACTGAAAAATTTTCAGCACAACCGTGATTTTTTGGAATTGGCACAGTTTGGACAAATTATTTCTACAAACCAGGGTTTCCCGGAATAAGTTATGGGTCAGTTATGACGAGCTCGCCCAAAGTTTTGCGAGTCGCATTTGTGTGGACAAGGCTTAAAGCTCACCAGGCTAGGAGGTTGTGAAGAATAGCATATCAAATAACATCAAAATTTAGTCTGTGCCTAAACGCTTGACTCAGTGTGCTATCTCCGTTTTGTCTAAAATTGAGTTTTCATCAGCTCTATAAAACCTGTTCTGAAAAAAAAATCAGTTTAGTTAACAAGAGGAAGATGATAAATACCTGAGCATTCCAAACGAGATCGGAGAATACTTCAGTTTCACTTGCATACTGGATACACCTTTTTTTATTTCTTGAAGGGATTGTAGGCGGTCATTCAAAAAATCATGCCGCACGATTGGCAAGAACTCACGATTTCTCGAGAACCTGAATGTGGACAGTAAACCATTAGGATTACAGAATTTTGATGTGAGTTCTATCACTTCAATGTTTGGTGGTCACATCAACTATCATCTTAACTCAAGAGAACTGAAGGGAAAATTGGCATACTCATTTGAGAAAGATCGCTGTCATAAAGATCCCACTGGCCCTTGCCCTCACTCTTGAATGGATCTGTTCAATTGAGTATTTAACTGACAGAAGTAATTTCATAAACTGATGCATCAATCAATTTACCTTGCTTTTATTTGCTGTGACTCGTCATAGTTTTGGGTACTTTCACCTTAAAATATAATCCACTCTAGAAATCCGCTTTCTGAGAGTCTAATTAGTAGAAAAGACATGAATGATTATCAAAATTAGTCACGGCTGGATAAAACTTGTTAATAAAATAAACGGCAAATTCAAATTTCCCGTTCACAAAAATTGTAATCAGTGTTGGCCAAAGTAGACATTAAAATCAACCTGTACATTAAGCGAATAACAAGAGTTCAGTTTCACATTTAATTCCTTCAGCTTTTGATGTAAATTGTCTTTAATTTGGAAAAAAAAAAAACAAATTTACACAGGAAAATTCTTTCACTGTATACCAAGATTACTTCAGTATACTCAAGTTGACTTCGGTATACTCAAGTTGACTCAGTCTCTGTGCGCGGGGAGTGTATGTTGAAAACCTGTTAATTTCTATGCTCTTTTATGGCATAGAAATGGTCTCCTGCTATTTTATATTCAACTTAGGTATGAGTTGAATTTGGAAAATTTTGAAGCATAAATTGTATTCTATATCAAATTTGATAAGGAAACAGATTTCATAGTGCTTCATTTTGTACCCTATCTAGTCGTTCATTTTTATAGTTTCTTCAGAGACTTGAATTTTTTGGATCTTTTCTCTGTTTTTCAGCTTACTAACAACATTTATGGCGGGTGCTCTGACCCTAGTAGAAAAAATAAGTAGAATATTACCTTAATAAAGCAGCAATTTCCCCAGGAATGCCATTCAGCGGCAAATACTGAACATTTGTCAACATGTTGATTCCGACTTCAGTCTTCAAATGAGTCACTGGCCTCTCCGGGGCCACATTCGAATTTTCCTGGAGGAGTTTGTACTTGGATGTTTCTGGGATCTGATACTGGGTCATTTCAATGAGGGTACTTGTTCGGTTCGGACTCCGCTGTACACTTTCCCACCTCACCTCATCCCCAATTAATGCATTCGGGAAGATGTGCACGTGGAAGAACAACGTGCCATTCCGACGAGTTTTATATGGGATTTCCACATCCAAATCACTGAAATACGTAAAAATGCAGAGGAACAAAACTGTAAAGATACCTAGCAAAATAAAGAGCTATTTGAAAGTGAAGAAATGCGCTTCACTAATCATCCACTTATGACCTACAATAGTGGTGTTTTGCTCATGAGCTTTGGTCTCTTCGTAAATAAATACATGAAGTGGCATTTTGATAAAGTAAACTCTACTTTTTTAATGATAAATTTTTGCACAACTCAAGAGCATCAGTTAAGAATTGCAAAAAAGAAGGTGTTGCGTGTTTACTAGGGTGGGACTTATTTTTTTAAATCGACAAAACCAAATGTTGCACGGTCTTAAATGGTTCTATGTGATAAAAAAACAGTGTAGCCAAGAGGATTTTGAGAAAAAAAAATTTTAACCCGGCGCGCACAGAGCCTAAACATCGAGATTTTTCTGGTTTTTTTGGCATTTTCGCCGTATATTTTTGATATTTTTGCCAGCAACACAGATTTGACGCTAGATGTCCAAAAATTGGTAAAAACCTAGCACATACCTTGCAAATTAAGGGAAAATTTTTGTTTTTCTCCTAGGTCACTTTCACTTCGCTTGGTAATGCCGAAACTCTCCGCTCGGCAGCTCTAAAAATCGAAATTTCGCCGTTTTTCAACGTATAATGAACTTTTTGAGCAACCTATAATGGTAGTAAAAATCCGAAAATTTGTGGAAAGCAAGTCCGTACCATCAGTATGGAAGGGCAAATGTCAGAAAACTCCTAGGTCTTTCATTTCCTGCTAAGCTATGCAGACAATGTTGGAAAAACCGTCAAAAATAGCTCAATTTTGACAGTTTTTTCGCGTTCGAAAATTTATTGGACGCCCTGTAATGACAATGAAGGTCCGAAATTTTGTGGAAAGTAAGTTCATACCGTTTGTATGGAATAAAAAATTTTACTCGGTCCTTACGTCTTATATTCTTCGTCCTGCGATACCCGAAATGGCAGCGAAAACGTCAAAAATACCTCAAATTGGCCGTTTTTGGAGAATTTTTTTGAACACCTTGTAGTGGCAGTGGAGGTCCGAAAATTTGTACAAAGCAAGTTCATACCGTCCGCAAGGAATAAAAAAATCTACTTGGTTCCTATGTCTTACATTCCTCGTTGTGCGGTGCCCGCAATCACTTCGAAAACGTCAAAAATACCTCAATTCGGCCGTTTCTTCAGAGGCGAAATTTATGAGACACCCTGTAATGACTCTGGAAGTTCGAAAATTGGGGGAAAGCAAGTCCGTACCACTAGTATGGAAGGGCAAATTTCAAAAGATCCATAGATGTTAGATTGTTTGTCGCACGGTGTCTTCAGATACACAAATAAGTGAAAAATACCTCCATTTTGACCGGTCTTTCGCTATCAAAATTTAATAGACACCCTGTAATGACAGTGGAGGTCGAAAACTTTGCTGAAAGTAAGTTCATTTCATCTTCATGCAATAAAAAATTCTGCCTCGTTCCTATGTTATGCATTCCTCGTTGTGCGGTGCCCGCAATCGTATCGGAAACGTCAAATATACCCGAATTCGGCCATTTTTTTTTACTGAATTACTTTTCAGACACCCTGTACTGACAGCGGAAGTCAGAAGCTATGTAAGAAGCTAGTGTTGAAAGAAAGCAATGGATAAATTTAGGTATTTTTGAAGTGTTCGTCTCACATTAGGGCGTCTAGCGACAACAATAAAAAATGCAAGGGTCTTAGAAAAATTGCCGTCCCATAGTGATGTACAACGTATATTTGCTTGCACTTATGAGAGTCCCCAATGTCATAACAGGGTGCCAAAAAAATTTCTCACACGAAAAATTGGCCGAATCCGGGTATACTTGACGTTTCCAATACGATTGCGGGCACCGCACAACGAGGAATGCATAACATAGGAACGAGGCAGAATTTTTTATTGCATGAAGATGAAATGAACTTACTTTCAGCAAAGTTTTCGACCTCCACTGTCATTACAGGGTGTCTATTAAATTTTGATAGCGAAAGACCGGTCAAAATGGAGGTATTTTTCACTTATTTGTGTATCTGAAGACACCGTGCGACAAACAATCTAACATCTATGGATCTTTTGAAATTTGCCCTTCCATACTAGTGGTACGGACTTGCTTTCCCCCAATTTTCGAACTTCCAGAGTCATTACAGGGTGTCTCATAAATTTCGCCTCTGAAGAAACGGCCGAATTGAGGTATTTTTGACGTTTTCGAAGTGATTGCGGGCACCGCACAACGAGGAATGTAAGACATAGGAACCAAGTAGATTTTTTTATTCCTTGCGGACGGTATGAACTTGCTTTGTACAAATTTTCGGACCTCCACTGCCACTACAAGGTGTTCAAAAAAATTCTCCAAAAACGGCCAATTTGAGGTATTTTTGACGTTTTCGCTGCCATTTCGGGTATCGCAGGACGAAGAATATAAGACGTAAGGACCGAGTAAAATTTTTTATTCCATACAAACGGTATGAACTTACTTTCCACAAAATTTCGAACCTTCATTGTCATTACAGGGCGTCCAATAAATTTTCGAACGCGAAAAAACTGTCAAAATTGAGCTATTTTTGACGGTTTTTCCAACATTGTCTGCATAGCTTAGCAGGAAATGAAAGACCTAGGAGTTTTCTGACATTTGCCCTTCCATACTGATGGTACGGACTTGCTTTCCACAAATTTTCGGATTTTTACTACCATTATAGGTTGCTCAAAAAGTTCATTATACGTTGAAAAACGGCGAAATTTCGATTTTTAGAGCTGCCGAGCGGAGAGTTTCGGCATTACCAAGCGAAGTGAAAGTGACCTAGGAGAAAAACAAAAATTTTCCCTTAATTTGCAAGGTATGTGCTAGGTTTTTACCAATTTTTGGACATCTAGCGTCAAATCTGTGTTGCTGGCAAAAATATCAAAAATATACGGCGAAAATGCCAAAAAAACCAGAAAAATCTCGATGTTTAGGCTCTGTGCGCGCCGGGTTAAAATTTTTTTTTCTCAAAATCCTCTTGGCTACACTGTTTTTTTATCACATAGAACCATTTAAGACCGTGCAACATTTGGTTTTGTCGATTTAAAAAAATAAGTCCCACCCTAGTGTTTACATCTCCTTGGGCTTAGAGATTTAACCTGTTTTCGGACAGTTACGGTAAACAGTCATACTTTGAAGCAGCAGGGTTGATGACAGTTTTTCAAAACTAAAAGAGAACGCTAAAGAATTTTTCAAGAAATCCTAATTAGGGGGTGCAAAGACTAATGAGGATCTTCCAAAAACTACCAAAACATTTTTCAAGCACTTTCAAGGATGTGTAAGAAGTTTATGAAAGCCTTATATACTGTCTTCATATTTGATGTTTCCTCTTCCAAACCCTTAAACTTTTGACTTTCCCAAAGTCAAAGAGTCCCGGTAAAAAAAGGCCAATTTTTCAAATGGTCATCCGCAAAATAACTCAGTAAGAAGAAATTCATGGACTTTCAAGATTATTTAGGTGATTGCCATAAATTTGAGGCTATTCAACGACTTTTTACAACGTGTGATGAAAGGGCATAGAAAAACTAAGAATATGGAAAAACTCATTTGAAACCTTAGGAAGGTTTTAAATCTTGCTCAAATTTTTAATATTCCCAGATAGAATACAATCAGGTTTTCAAGGTGCTTATTTGGAGCAGACATTCTATTTTCCTGTTTGACTTAGCAAAAATGAGTGTAAAATAGGCGATAAAATACACTTAGCATGTGGTGAAGGAAAACTACGCCTCTCTTGCAGTAGCACTGCATGTTGATGATTCAAAAGCAGAACTATTGATCTATAGAATTCAAGTTATAGAAATTCTAATGATAGTTACTTACTGTTCAAAAGGCTTTTGAAAATTAAAATCTTTGAAATAATGTACAAATTTCAGATCATCTTCTCGATATCCACTGACTGATGAAAATATGACCATCTGGAAAAGCGATAAAAGACAGACTATTATGCATAGAAGAGAAAACACAGCAAAATCGTTGAAAACTTGAAGAAAATAATTTCATTTTATAGTGCAACTAATGATGAAAGCGTTAGCCTCACTACTACAATATCACGCCGACAATTTCTGCAAATGGACAATATGAAGTGACAAAAAGGATAGAAATAGTTCTGGATTCATAATTTCCTCAAGCTCTTTGCACATCAGTTGTTCTAACATTGAAAATTTCATTTCAACAAGAGGATTAGGTTTACTTAACAGAAACGGACCAAGTTGCATTTTGGAAAATATGAGTAAGGAGTAGCTTTGAAGTCAGCTAGTTGTAAATATCTTTTTTGTCAAAACTTCAGTCCAGAAAAAAATGTTTGAACATTAAAACAATCTTAAGACTTCATCTTTAACACTGAGTTTTTTTGAGGTGTAAAATTTCAAACCTCTGTTTCTTAGTTAAAACTTGATGCGACTTGGTGAGTTTGTGTTCAGCACTGCCTAAATATTGCTTGGTAAATGGTTCCAAATCAGCCCGCTAAATCGGTCGTCTTTTGCAAAATATCTCAGAGATGAAAGAAACTCTGAATGTTCTCAATTTTTACTAACACACACAGAAGCACTACCACAATTCTCAAATTTTTACAGTAAGTTTTGTCACAACTTCCTCATCTCTTGGAGGAATATAGGGAGGAGGTGCAGAACAATCATAAGAGTGAAAACTGAGGGTGACAAATCTAGGAACCGACTCTTTATTCACCAGATCGTCACCTTCCGGCCAAAGTATCGCAATTGCCATGTAACATTTCCAGGTTTCTACTGATATCTTAATTTTATGAAGAGAAATTGGTCTACAAAGCTGTCCGAAAGTTTCACTGAATTTTCTCTGTGCAGCCGATAAAATTCAATGAAATTTTCAAACAGATCAACCAGCCATTTTTCTGTAAAAAAAGAAAATGGCAGCAAAAATTTTGAAACGTCGCATGGCGCTTGTGATACTTCGGCCGGAAGGTGACGATATATTATGGTATTTTTAAATCATGGAAAACTTTCATAAATTTCTTCAGATTTTCCTCTTTTCTCTAGGTAATTAAGTTACAGAATAAATTAGGAGACAATGCTTCCACTGTAGAGAGCATGAAATTTAGTCACAAAATCATGATTTCTTTTGGATTTTGTGGGAAATGGATAAACTTAAATGCATAGTACTTTGGGAACCCACTGAACAAAATAAGTTTGATTCATTCACATGCTATTGATGACCATCGTAAAGTCACTTACTTGCAATTTAGAGTGAGAGTTGAGAAAGGAATGAATACAGTTCATCCTATTCTGACATTCAGGAGCGATGAATAATTTGGCCATTGTCCACATGGAATGACCGATGTATGCAGTGAAGCACAGCGATAGGATGAGAGATAACGACGGAATATACATGATCAGCTGAAAAAAAAATGACAGGAGAGTACAATCAGAAATGATGTTACTTGCAATTAAGATATCATTTCTAATTAAAAGAAAGTTAAACTGACTAAAAGAGACGGCATGTATTTTTTTCTTCTCGATTTTTCTCCTGAATATCACAGTTGAACTGCGAGTTATCATCAGGCTTATCAGGTATGGGTCTGCTGTAAATACACCTCTGTAACTGACTTCTAAAGTGGAAGAAGGGAGCGGTAAAATTGCATTTTCAAGAAAATCATTGACACGTGACGAATAAGAGGATTACAAGCAAAAGGTTTTGGTTATCTTATGGTAGGTGAAAAGTTATGACTGACACAAAGAATAAAGCCAAATACCATTCATCTATCAGAGCCACACCTGCGATTAAATGTGACAGGAGTTTAGGGTGGAGAGGATATCAATGCGATAGAAAACCCTTGCCTCCAATTCACAAGCCTGACAGGAGCATCGGCTGCTGATGACACGACCGTAAGTGAATTTTTCATAAACCCATTCAGGCATAGAGACGCATTAAGTTTGTCCAGTATAACTGAGAGATCAAATTAGCTCAACCGAAGGGTGGCAGCCTCAAACATTACTTTAATGACTCCGTGACTTTTTATCATTGAATTCCATGATTTCATGTTTGATTATACTTAATTACCGATTGGGACCTCGCTGTGCTTACACCGAATTGATAAGTATCTGGTTCTAAGGTAAAAAGTAATATCCTTACCAAGTATGATGCTACGAAACAAGATCGGAGAGTCGTTCTGCAAAAAAAAATTGGTCTTACTTTATTTGTATGAAAGCATTTTTGACACAAATTGACACTTCACGTCAATCAAGACCCGGTGAAGGACCCCATTTGTTTACTTTAGGGTACAATGTTGCCTTTTTCTTCGAATTTCTTTAATCACCAGCGCCCTCTTTTTAGGTTAGGAGGAGGACCTTCTTTTCAATCACCTCTACTATTGGCTAGAGGATTGGCGGCGAAATCGGGACAAGTTTGAAATTCAAATGTAGGGCGGGAACTAAATAAAATTGCGGAAACAAAGTATTCTAGGTTGATTTTTGCCCAAATTCCCTTACCCACTCATATTTTATTGACTCGATCCACCGTGCGCGGGTCCGCTAGCCGGGATGACGGTGGTGGAGATAGGTCCCGGGCCAGGGGGCCTATCTGGCTGGTTGTTGTTTTTTTCTTCTATTTTTTTAAACCCTCTCGTTTCTTGATTCTGCATTCTTATCATCACGTATGTAGCAGTACCTTATCAGTTTTACGCTTTGAACTCAACTAGTTGACTACTGATCTCCGTTATGAGTACCTAATGTCTGAAGCGTTATTTTTCTTCCTGTTTTCAATCATCTTAATCAATCAAAATGTTACAGTTTCTGCTACTTTATATGCATTTATTTCCTCGGGTAAGTAAGCTCAATTTCAAATAACATGCATCCTTTGACATAGATGTGTAAATTTTTTTAAAGGAGTTTGTCTCTCGAAAAATGTTAATTGATTTAATAACAAAAAAAATTAGGTAGTGATGAAACTTGCGAGTGTAACTTAATACCTACTTCCTATTTACTTAAAAATGTCGGGTTTTCCATTAATTTCTTGGAAAATGGCGTTAGTCCAAAACTTCACACAAGACGCACTAAACTAGGTACCTAGGTAAACGATGCTACAAATTTTCCCACGGAAAAAATTATTTCAGAACATTTCAAATAAATTGAATCTTACCTCATCCTTTGAACTCTTTTTCGTCTCTCTAGAACTCTTATCAACTCTTTTAGAACTCTTGTCAACTCTTTTAGAAGTCTTATCAGTTTTATGCTTCTCCTTCGGCTTTGTTGACTTACGCACTTCTACCAGAAACCGAATCAATACTCTACTGCCGAGTTAACTGCAATTTGGTGGGAGAGGCTAGACCACGCTGTTTTAAATACAAAAAACAGGAAGTTATAATATACCCGGGGTCCACGCTATTCTGCGGGGAAATCAAGGTCAAAAAATTCCAAAAATTTCAATTGGCTAGAGAGAGTTTTGCAGTGATACATTCTCATTAAGAGCTCCAATCTTTGGCTCTGATTGGCATCTTTGGAATTTTTCTGCCCTGAATTTGCTGCAGAACCATCTTGTTAACTACAGTTCGGTTCACATTTTTAGGAATATTTCTTTATTTAGGTTACCACATACTGAGCACGAAAATTTGTTTTCACGAATTTCGACCGTGCATGATCAAATTTTGTACATAGACAAAAATTGGCTTCTTTTTTTTTGGGACCTGCCTCTCCCTGACTTTAAAACTATGATCGAAGAGGAATTAGGGGACTAAATTTCTCTCAATTTTTATTTTCCAGATATGTGGATTTTTAGTGCTGAACGAACCAAGTTCTGACTCAGACTCGCACTTGCAACCTCTCGTGCTAGTAAGTTCTATACTTGTACCCTCATTCAGCTCTACGACTTATTCTAATCGCAACGGGTAAATATGTAATTTAAGTGTACGGTATGTTTGGGAAAATACTATTAGAAACTAGGCCCCCCGTGACGCGTCAGTTCAGTCTATCAATAAAGAAGAAGAAGAAGAAGAAAAAAAGGACTCTCCAAAATTTCAGCCGAGAGGTCGCTCAATGCGAAGTTCGAAGTTCGCGGGAAAGTTCGTGGGAGCATATGTATTTTGAGGAGGACCAATGAATGTTCAACGAACTCCCGAGGTGGTTGCGCATGCGCAACACAGGCGCGAAGCGCACGTCTGGTGGGCGGAGCCCCCACCGGAAAAACAGTCTCTTGGATCCAGAGTCTAGAATCTCAGAAAGTTTGACAAGGAACATTTCTCTCGATTCAATCGGATTTTTGCTTGAATCGAGAGCCAACCTCTTGATTTTAGGGGGATTCCTTTTAATCCGAGCAACAGGAGTATTTTTTCCAGTCAAACTTTTTAAGAGTCTGGACCGTAGATCTAAAAGACTTTTTCTTTTCAGTGCGCCGATAAAACGCCGCTCCGCACCGCTGTATCTCATAGGTACCCAGTAGTAGCAGAAATAGCAATAAGTCGCGATAATCGTCAAATTCTGTATTGGAGCACGCTATGCGAATTGCCTATCCATCCATTTGAAGGCGCAAAAAGTATCACGATTTTAGAGCATGTTATGCAAATTGCCTATCCATCCATTTAAAGGCGCAAAAATTATCGCGATATGCCCCAACACGTACACGGAAATAACTAAATCGCCGATTTAATAATTTTGTAGTTGAAAAAAGTGACTGTCAATAAAAAATGCTAATTTAACCATCCCCGTGGTTAAATTAGCTCTCCACTATCGTAAAATATACATTTGAAACATATTGCAATAACTTTTTTTTAGCAATTGAATTGTCAAATCAGCAATCCACTTTTTCCGTGAGCATATTGGAGCAAAAGGGGTACGTATCAGTTGCAATGTAATTTCGACCGTGTAAGTCGGCAATCACATAACTCGGTTTATTACGACACGTCGCAGACTTCCTGTCGTACTTACTTTACTTTTTAAACGAAAAACTACTCAACGGAAATTCGTTAAAACTGCCGTAATTTTCCTTCTCCGTGCGAAGAAAATTCTGCAAAAACTTCAAGGAATGATGTCAGTTTGTTCTCCTTTAAAAAAAACATGGATGCGGCGATGGGAGATACTCAGACACCGCAAACGAGTAATGTGACTGCAGACTTACACCGTCTACAGTGGCGCCGCGTGCTTTGCGATATACGGAGTAATCGGTCATTTAAACCTACGGAAAAGTATCGATAAACAGGGTGTTCGCAGCGAACGCCTTAATAATCGATCATTTACCACAGCTTCAAATGGGGAAATATCGATAGATCACAAAGCACGCCACGCCACTGACCGTATACTTGTGTTGCAGGTGGCACGACCTGTAAATGGACCACTAGACAAGGTACGAATTTCAGATTCTGATACATGTTTCTTAATCAAAATTTCACGTAGAACACGATGCGTGCAACGAAAATTACCGAAATCAATACCTTACGAAGATATTTAATGATTCTTAATCCGCGAATTCAAACCATCCGCTCATGAAAACTCAAAGCTCTACGTGATTCACATCGCGCGCTAAACGTTATCATGAACGTCTCTGCGATAAAAAAAATCTGGCAACCTCAATCTTGACGCTTTGGCTCAGTTATAGCAAATTGCTTGTAGTTTGAACAACACGTGGTGGGAAATGAACATTGCTCGATTGAGAAGCTTGCTGAAACCATTGAAGTGCGCGATTTGACTCGCGTAGAGCTTTGAGTTTCTTGTGAGCGGGCAGTTCAAAGTCCTCGTAACCGGAATGTGTATAATAAAGACGTTAATATCTTCGTAAAAAGTTGGTTTCAGTAAGTTTCGTTGTGTGAATCGTGTTTTCCGTGAAATTCTGGTTAAGAATCTTGTATCAGATTTCTTAAATTCGTACTTTGTCTAGTGGTCAATTGTTCTCGTGATAGATTTTTTAAGGAAGGATGCACTGTCTGCAGCGCATAGTATTATTCCATTTCTTCGTCTTGCAGAGTGCCGTGAACGGGAGCGCGGTGAACGAGACCAACGACGGCCTCCCTCCGACGTACGAGCTGGTGGCCAAGCACGGCCTCAAACCCAACAAAAGACTAGGACAGCACTTCCTCTACGACCGGAACGTGATCGGGCGGATAGTGGAGGCCTCGGGTCCGCTGGCCGGGATGACGGTCGTGGAGATAGGCCCCGGGCCAGGGGGCCTGACGAGGGCCCTTCTCGCGGGTGGAGCTGCCCGCGTCGTCGCCATCGAGCGGGACCCACGGGCCCTGTCCCTCCTCCGCCAGCTCACAGACGTCTACCAGGAGCGCCTCACCGTGGTAGACGGCGACGCCCTGGGCTTCGACCCGCGACCCCTCATCGCCGGCGAACCCGCCCTCATCGTCGCCAACCTCCCCTACAACATCGGATCCGAGTTGCTCTACCGCTGGGTCAGCGCCGAGACCTGGCCGCCGTGGTGGCAGCGGGCCGTGCTCATGTTCCAGCGCGAGGTCGCTCTGAGGATAGTGGCGACGCCGGAGCAGAGGGCCGACTACGGGCGCCTCGCCGTCCTCTGCGGCTGGCGCACCCGAGCCGAGATCGTCCTCGATGTCCCGCCGGAGGTCTTCACGCCGCGGCCGGCGGTCAACTCCAGCGTCGTCCGCCTGGTGCCGCGCGCCGAGCCGCTCCCGTGCCGTGCCGGCGCCCTTGTCACCGTCGCCAAGGCCACGTTCACGCAGCGACGGAAGATGATGCGCAACTCCTTGGGGTCGCTCACGAACGACCCGGAGGCCTTGCTCCGAGCCGCTGGGCTCCAGGGGGACTGGCGACCGGAACAAGTCCCGGTTGATGGGTTCGTCCGCCTTGCCCTAGCCTACGACGAGTATAGAAGGACGGAAGCGTCTTCCTCCACACCCGGAACCGTGTAGGGCTGATATGGTTCCAAGTAGAGTCCCTTTATACTGAGAGTCAAGACAATGTGAATCCATTTCTGATTGGTTCCCGTATTTTAGGCCTTCACAGTGTCATAAACGGGAATAAAGATTACATTTTTACCGATTGCAAAGATTATAATCTGGAATGGACCAGGGAATTACGGGTTCGGCAAGGAACAAACGGAACGAGAGAAGGAACGGAGAAAGGAATTTAAGAATGGGCCGATCAAAGATTACAAAGAACGTTCAATTTCTGTAATCTTTATTCCCGTTTGTGACTCCATGAGGGGTGTTGTCTTGACTCTCAGTATAAAGGGACTCTAGTTCCAAGGAGAGGAGGAGAACCCCACGCGGGCTGATTGTTGAAATTTATAGACAAAGCAATAGACGAAGAAGACATAGGGAGAATGCAGCGATCCTACCCAAGTAGCAGTGATGGCGATAAATAGCCATTTTATAGGTTGGTTATCGCGATTATATCGGTGGCAATATATCGAGATATTATCGCATTAAAGATCGCAATTTACGGCGCTTGAATTGCTACACATCGCAATTTATGGTTCGATAAGATCGTGATCGCATTTTTCGTCAAGAAATAAAATCGAGATTAAATCGTCATTTATCGCGATATTTTTGAAATAAAAATCGCGATTAATGGCGATTTCATCTCGATTTTTTCGACGAAAATTGATCACAATTTTATCGAGCCAAAAATTGCGATGTTTAGCGATTTAATCGCCATATATATCGCGACTTTTAATGCGATAATATCTCGAGATATTGCCACCGACATAATCGCGATAACTAACCGATAAAATTGCTATTAATGGCGATCACTGCTACTTGGGTTGGGTATATTGGTTGAAATGGGTGGTTCCTAATGGACTAAAAGGGTAAATGGTGGACTATAGTAGGGTCTCTCGTGGGTTGCCTTTAGTTAGTCTGTTACCTACCTCTTTTGTCCATTGTAAACCACCCGCTTCCACCAAGAGGATCCCTCTGACTCCCTTTTGTCTTCTTTGTCTATAGCTTTGTCTATCAATTTCAACAATCAGCCCGCAGGCCCATATTTCGACGGTGAAACTACTGGACCACATATCTCTTTTGCAGTGTTTAAACATCTCCGCTCCCATTTGATTTTTTTGAGCGAGAGGAAATCAATATCATTCCTTGAAGTTTTTACAGAGTTTTCTTCGCAGGTGAAGAAAAACCGCGGAAGTTTTCGAAAATTGAATTTGAGGATAGTTCTCCATTGAAAAAATAAAGTAAGACAGGAAATCTGCAACATCGCAAACCAAGGTACATGGTCTGGTAGTTTCACCGTCGATTTTACGACGGTTCGCGGAGTTGCAGACTAAGCGCTGGTTCCTTTTTCCTAAATGCGCACCTCCCATTTTTCTAAATTTTGTTCTTAATAACCTGCTTCACAATTCAATTCGCAATTCAATATTTTATTAAATGCCTTCAATTTCGTATGATACTGTGCAACACCTCTGTTGCGAAATAGTCGCTTGAAGCGCCGCCGTGGTACGCCAGGACGCGCCGCGGCGGGTGAGGAGGGCGATCAGCGCGACGCGCGCATCATGTGCATTTTTTTTAATATTGCCTAACATTTTATTTCAAACATTTCTCCAATACATAGATGTATTACTGTTCTTGCATTCTGCACCTACCTGCAATTAATTTAATTTTTTTGTTGTGTTTTCTCCCCTGAATTGTGAAAAATCTTAAAATTGTATTGTGATGTTCAGCTCATCAGTGGAGTGAACCCCTCATTGTGCCGCATTTTTAGCTTCTTAAACTATTATATTTTTGCTGTATCATAGATTTTTTAAGTCATAATAATAAACCCTCTCCTCCAAAAGAAAATTCAGTGGTTCCTCTTTCTTACATTCCTGTGAATAAAACAATGCATATTTGCGAAGTAACTAATTTATCAACTCCTCTGAATCATATTATGATTATGCCAGGTTCACATTAGGTTCACATTATCTAACTCAAATTGTTTACTGAAACGAATATGCAATTGTAACAAAATACAACAATGCCTTTCGAAGTCCAACTTTCCAAATTTAGCGATAGAAATGAATTCTGCTCCAAAGTATTGTTTTTGTTACCTTTTCAACTTTTCCCACTCATTTTAAAAGAACATGCTCTGGAAGAGAATTCATCACTCGCTAAGTTTGGAAAGTTGGAATGAGTGGGGAGAACTAGAGTCCCTTTATACTGAGAGTCAAGACAATTTGAATCCATTTCTGATTGGTTCCCGTATTTTAGGCCTCCACAGTGTCACAAACGGGAATAAAGATTACATTTTCACCAATTGCAAAGATTATAATCTGGAATGGACCAGGGAATTACGGGTTCGGCAAGGAACAAACGGAATGAGAGGAGGAACGGAGAAAGGCATTTGAGAATGGGCCGATCAAAGATTACGAAAAACGTTCAATTTCTGTAATCTTTATTCCCGTTTGTGACATCCATGAGCTGAATTGTCTTGACTCTCAGAATAAAGGGACTCTAGGGAGAACAAGATCATTAATTTGAATTTGGCGGGCGAATCAAGCCAGGGAACCTGAGCTCGTGTCACGAGCGCACTCTACTGGCTTATGGTGCAACTACTTGTAAATTTAGTTCAAAAAACCGCTACAAGATCGCTGTACTGTCAGCCGTTCTCCTCAAAATCGAACAACCGCAAATTCTGAACCAGACGCTTTGATTGGTCCAGAGCGGTTCATTTCAATTATTCCGAGTTGAACCAAAACAAGCGGGAATTTCAAATAATTCCGGATATCCTGTCTACCCAATCGTTTCCGTTTCCGGTAAACAGTGTTGTCAGTTTTACGAGCATTTGATAAGTAAAACTGACAACACTGTTTACCGGAAACGGAAACTATTTAATAAACAGGATATCCGGAATTATTTGAAATTCCCGCTTATTTTGGTTCAACTCGGAATAAATGGAATGAACCGCTCTAGACCAATCAAAGCGTCTGGTTCAGAATTTGCGGTTAAGATTCCTTCTGTTCGAAAAGAGGAATAATTGGGAAAATGAAGCAATTCGAACCAATTTGCGCAATCTACATTTCCCTGACAACAACAACCCTAACCCTATTTTCCCTCGACCTCCTCGAAGTCCTCGATTCCGTGATCTACACTCGTTTCGTTGCAAATAGCCAGTAGTTTCATTATTTTTCAGCTTTTCCTCTTCATTTGTTTCCAAAATTTAGGAAGTAGAATCTGTATGGTTATCCACAATCAGTTTACTTGCTTCTCGGTCACCTTTTCTGCATTAAGCACTGAAATCCTACCTACTATGTTTATTGTTTAGGCATCTCATCGCTACTGCATAATTTTATCTCACGCTCACCGCGTTAAGTGTGGAATTCTCATCATCACTCCGTCCATCATGTCCTTGCGCTTGAATCTTAAATCTGCTTTTCTCCAACAAAAGTCCAACGTCAGCTTCTGCAAGAAATGCAGCATTAGCACCTATTCAGCCGTGCTCAACAAAATGAGGGAAGGAAGATTCTTGAACAAATTGATGGGGCATTCCAAGAAAAGGTAAAATCCAGCATTTTCTACTGTACCAAACTCGACCGACTTCATCGCTAGGTCCTTTATTTGAGCCTCCACAATGATCAAACTCGTCCGAAATGTAACAAACCAAACAAGTCAATGCACCTCCGCTTTCCCACTTTATAACGCTTTGGCCATGGTTCAGTTTTTTCTTGGCTCTTAGTATGAGATACTTACTTGACCTTTATGATCGAGAACTTGGCGCAGTAAGTGTAATTACTGAGAGTGAAGGATTTCTAAAGTCAGTGTGTTTATCAAGAAATTCAGTCCCATCATTGATATAGGCAGCCGGAACTTTTTCTAGCCTGATAACTGACGCTCTCTGTTTGCATTAGTTTGCCATCGAATGCAAGGGCAACATGCTTAGCAATTTTGTAGCCTTCAGACAATGTGGACTTCAATACTTTCTCCGTCCTACTTCAAGGTCAGCGCTGCGTAATTCAGCCTTTTCCCTCTCGTGTGTGCCCTTGCCCTTCCTTTTCAAGAAATTGTTCAAGTGGAATCCACCTGCTTAGAGCGCCTTTTAAATTTTGCCGCACATACCCATCATTCCTGCCTAAGTGTAGTTAATCCATTGACCCAAGGAAGATTTACACAGGTATGGAAAAGTTGAAAATTTCCCATGAGCCTCAGTACGTGTCACATGACTACGTGACGTAGGTTAAGGGGCCCGTTTTTTAATTAAATTACTATCAAATTAACATTCAAACGTTCGTGCGTTTAAACTTTAAAATTAATATCGCATTATCAAAATTGTGCAAAAAATCCCACAAAATTTTGACAAATGATAAACCGAACATAATAAATCAAAATAATCAAAACATTCAAAATGGCTGACGTTAAGGGGCCGCTGAAGAGCCAATCAGAGGCCAGTTGTTAAGTTCTGTCCATACCTGTGTAAATCTACCTTGCCATTGACCCATATTTTCTTCAAGACTAGAATCCACATGAAGGAAAGCTCAAAACCTTTTGACTCAACTGGTGGTCTGCTGACTGATATGTGGTGGTCGGCAGAGGCAGGCTAAAGTTTTTTCAACACTTCGGTCGAAGGGGACGGAAACTGAAAGAAGTAATTTTCATGGTGATTATGGAATTGGTTGCAGCTTATGATTGTAATGAACTCCAACCTCGATTGATGTAAAATATCTGTAAAATGTAAATTCAAAATGCAACAGTGGCTTGAATAATGCTCAAGGAAGGAATCATCTGAAGAAGGAAGAGAAAATTTCTCGACCATTGTCTCCAAGAGTTTCACAACCCCGAATTATTGGGAATGGGGACCCAGGAAAAGAGACCCCTCCCCCTCCCTTAAATGAAACATATACCAAAAGTCAAATTATAAAAGGATAAAACCAAAAACATAAAAGGTTTTTCGTTTTTATTGGTGATCCGCTGCCTCTTTTCTCGGTGAAAAGTGGCTCGCGGCTAATAAATGTTGAGAACTTCTGCTTTGATCTATCAGTCAATCTGTGTGATTGTGATGTTTACCAGCCCAAAACTTCTGTTTACTTTCATAGGCGGCGAACATGGCAGCCAGATGTTGCTCCTTCCAACAATGTGATGGGTGAAATGTTGAAACGTTCAGTAGGAAAGCAGCATATGCAAAGACTATCAGTGCTCAACCACATGTTCATGGAAAACATAACGGATTATTTGTCTTCATGTGAGCTGTCTGAGAAACTTGCTGAGTTCAATTTAGAAATATCTGAGGTGAGCTGTAAAAAATGTTGTTACAAGAAGTTATTTTCATCACGTGAAAAGAAACAATTAGTGGGCAGAAAGGCCTTGATGAAATTCTTTTACGCAACTTCTTGAGTTTCTTATATGAGCCCTAGCTGTAGGGTGTCCCTTATTTTTTAGATTTTTTAATTTCAAGTAGATCAACCTCTCAAAAGTTTCTATGTGGTGTAAAAACACACCTGCTTTTTTTAAAAAGATTTTTACCCGCCGCCCGAGGGGCGAAAAAGGTGCATGTTGAAAATAGGTTATTTCACAGTTTTGAGGAGTCATCTCTGACTGAAAATGTCGAGTTATGGTTCCTAGGGCAAAAGTTTCAACCATTTTGCCTAGAAATTTACTGTTTAGTAGATACAGAAGAAAATACCATGGGTGCGTGAGCGGGGGTGCGCAACCCCTCGCTGGCCCCGCGAAGGCCGCTAGTGCGTAGCCCTCGCTGTGGCTACAGTGGTCAGTTAACGACGTATGCGCTGATAGATTTTACAAAAGTAATGAAACACTTTAGCTTTCAGTAGTTCAATAAGTCAAGCTGCCAAAATGAAGTGGAAAAAGATTATGACACTTTATTACGCACACATAACACAAGAAAACTTAAGGTGAATCCAGGCTTGGAACTTCGCGATTTGGCCACCACGTCGCGCTGCTCAGAATAGCCGCATATATTTGCCAAAATAATAAAAACCGTAATACTTATTCAAGATTGGAGATCCAGGGGATATGGCAACATACTTGAGGAACGCTCAGTAAAAAAATCTTCTCAAAATCCCCAAAAATAAAGTCTTAACTATGGCGGAAAGTAATTCCCATTGCGGCAATGGGAGAGAGAGAGACAGAACATGAGGGATTCCGTTGCGCGCTCGGCCGCCGCCTCTGACCTGAAAGTTTCAGCCGTACTTTCTCTGCGCGTGTAATTATAATTGCCAATATTTTTGGCTCAAAAAATCAAGCAAAAATTAATTTACATCTTGTGGATCTACTTTTTGTAATTCGAGGAATATTATTTCAGTAATCGTCGAAGGAAAGTGACGTTCTCAGTGGTGACTGGTGGCGCTATCTCTAATCTTCAATTATCCCTAATCGAACCCTGGATTCACCTTAAGGAACTTAATGAAAAATTTCCGAACATCTGTTATGATTAATGTAATTTTCAGAGCAAGGAACAAATTCACCTGCTAAAGATTCAAATGAGTCCTGCTTGGGTTTTTTGGATCTCCCGACCTTTCACTTAAAATTAGAGGACTCTTGTAACAAATTCTGGAAGTCCTCCTCTTATTTTCTTACTTTTCGATTATACTCGCATGTTTTCAGTCGGAAATGAATCCTCAAAACTGTGAAATAATCTATTTTCAGCATGCTCCTTTTCGCCCCTTGGGCAGTGGGTAAAAATTTTTTTAAATTTTTTTTATAAAAAAGGGGTGTGTTTTTACACCACATAGAAACTTTTGAGAGGTTGACCTACTTGAGATTCGCAAATTTAAAAAATAAGAGACAGCATAAATAGCTGGCAGAGGTTGTTTTCTTGCTCAATTTTACAACACAAATGCGTATACCTATTACTGATAAATCACTGAATTTATCATTCTTTCAACTGAAAAGTGTCGTCTTCATTCTTTTTTAGGTAAAAATATCAGTCGATTTGAATTTTTTGAATGTTTATTGGAGCAGCACTGCCCGGGACAGTCATGATACAATTCAAGCAGAGCTAGAAAACATTGCTTTCCCACTAAGGAATGAATTGTCGCGGTTGCAAGTGATGGGATCTGTACCACGAATTATTTTTATAAGAGGTTAGACTTTCCACCTCTTTTTTACAATTTTTGCATTTTAAGATGAACGAAGAAAAGAATAAAAGAAAATTTTGCACATACCACATCTCCACCATTTGGACCGCGTTTAACAGAAAGGAACTAAGCCATATCAGATATTGCCAATTTAAATTGGGCAATTTAATTTTTTACGAGAAAATGTTTGTGCGGATCCTTTTGAAAATGTTAAGGAATTTGCTTTGTACTGTGGAGAAAATTCACTGAAATTTGCACAGAAAGCCGCACAACTGTTTTCATGTAAAAAATTAAATTAGCCAATTATATTCGGCAATAGCTGATGTTGTTTGGTTCCTTTCTGTTTCACGCGGTCCATTTAGAGTCTTCTCCCGTGAGGAAGGCTCGCAAAAGCCAGGGTTACTGATCGAAGGTGAAGCAGGTAATCAAAGTGATGCTCTGGAAAATCGAGTGCAAAGTGATAGGCAAAATTTTCAGGTTAGTTTCAGAAAAGAAATTTGAGTGCTTTGTATCAGGAATACATTAGCAGGTTTAAAATTTTTTTTGGGAATGCCTATATCTCTGCACCGTACCGATAATCGGCCATGGTATGTCTCTTTGTAAAAGTGTGAAGACGGTGAGATTTCTTCTCTGTATTCTGTAGCAGCGGTTGTATTTTGAAAGATTTTAATGTCTTTTCACATCCACTTTGTGTCCAAAAAACTTCGCAAGATTCTATAACTCTCCATCATTTAAAAAGATGTGGCCACATATTCATTGTTAACCAGAGAGGTTATGTGTTGTTCTTTCAATTTGTTGCCCAGAACGTGTAGCCCCTTCTGTTTGATTCTTTTATATATTCCCAACTCGTCTATTGATTAAGTTTTTTTTAAGAAAATAGCATTTCTCGAATTTTAATTTTTTCTCTTTTTTTCTAATTCTAGATGAGAAAAGTGACTCTATGGCTATAATAGACGACCTTCTAAGGAAAGCAGACTATGGTGAAGATTTTGTACCATCAGATGCAACTTTATTCCAAGGCATCGAACTCCCCAAATCTGCGGAGGTGAGATTAATACTGTTTTATGAGCGTTACTCAAACATCCAAGAACTGACCGAGTGTGAGGTCTCTTCCTTTAAGCCTAAATTATTCTTATTTTTTCCAGCCTATCCCACTGTGCTTGAGAGCTGATAACTCTTTTTATTTTCAACTTTAATTCTGTTTGTTCGGCTTCTGCAAGAAATAGAACTTGCAGAATTGCAGAAGTCTTATTTCCATCTTTGTCATGCTCCGCCACCATATTTGTTGTGTTCATCACATTTGAGACTAATTTCTAACCCCGCCCCAGTTTTAGTTTTTTTTTTTCTTAGTAATCACAGCATCTCTTGGTTCCGCTTATTTTATCTTTTTCTCTGTAAATTATTGTAACACAAAACTTTTATAGGTTTTAGAATTTGAAGCCTCTGAAGCAGGGAAGAAAGCTGCAGAAGAGCGTTTACAAGAATCTCGTCGAACTGAAGTGGACCGCCTCATGGCATTGCAGAAACACAATGTGTTTAACTTGGATCAGGGCGCTATTATGGGAAGAGTAAGTTATTGAAAATTTCTCCTTGTTTCTTAAGTACCTGTTAATGGATGAAGGTGCTCAACCGCAAAGTTTGAAAATATTACAAAAAGAAAGTAAACTACAAGAATGCTTAAGCTACATACGCACATACATACATACATAAACATCGCTCCTACAGTGCACTCAAGCGCTTTGCATCAACTAAATGCCACATGTGTCTTCCTACCCAATGATTATCGGGCAACTGACAACATAACATCTCTTTGCGGATGCCCAGCCGCTATTTCTTCATTGGACGTCCCAGTCGCCTTTTTCCAGGGATACCGGATCCAAAACCGAAGATTATAAAACCCCATAAAAATAAGGTGCTTCATGTCATGTTGAACGAGAATAGTTTCAAATCCATCTCTTGGTTTTAGCTCCTGAATATTTGGAGACTTCTGTTTTTTTATTTTTTATTTATTTATTTATTTATTCTTTTTTTGTGATGGAAGAATCTCCTAAGTCTAATTTTCTTTACCTGGAAATGCAGCAGTGCCCGGATTATCTGACCACCAATTATTTGACTGGTATGTTGGAATTTTTTAGCCAACAAGCGTTAAATTCAGGGTAAAGCAGAAATCTCACTGCAGAGGGAAAAAGCTCACACACAAGCTTAATTTTCCCTCAAAAAGATACGCTGTTTAGTGCAACACTAGTAACAACCATTCAGGAAGGCAACTTGAGAAGCGTTTCAGCCTTGTTAGGCCAATCCTCAGTGCAGTGCAGCCTCCTGAATTTTCTGCAACCAAGCTCGGAGAGGTCGTGAAAACCAGCCTGAGACTTGGGCAAGCGGATGCTGGCGGCAAGTAAACTTGTGCTATCTAGCGAGCGATTATCGAATTATTCGACCCTCTAGTTATCCGATTTAGTCAAAATTAAGTTTATGGTCAAGAACAAGTTAGCCGCATTGTAGAGAACTGGTTCTTTGGGCTGGATTGAAAAAATATGTAGTTTTTTGCCAATTAAATTATTGTTTAACAAACATTTCGGAAAAATAGCTTAGGCTTGGTTACTAACAGAACCTGAAATGACTTTTTTCAGTCTTTATTTGGTGGTTTTGATTATTTGACTTTTTCGATATTGGACACTTCTTTTGCCATGAATTTTCAGATAATCAGAGCATTACTGTAATTTTATGTAAAATTTTATAGTACATATTTGATTTTTAACAGGCAGAGAGTTCACCTTCTTAGTGAGCATTCAACTGTCATAATTAGATGAACTCATAGCCTCCTATATTCATTCATTTCTATGAGCATCAGGCAATGTCTGTTAACTCTCTTGTTACCCAAAAATTAAACAATTATTAAAGGAATAAACCTCCTAGGTTGATGCAATGGCCTCTGAATGAGTTTTTATGACGAATGGACTACTGTTTCAGAATGTTCAAATTTAAGAGCTCTAGTAATGACATAAGTTTCTATCATAATGTTTGTTGGAAAGGTAGGGATGGAGGAATGATTCAAATGAATGTTACATGTCCATGTGAGAGAATTCATAATACTAAGACCAAAAAAATTTGGGAAACTTCCTGTCTCTATCTTTTCCATTCTGCCCTGTTCCCGAATGGTCAAAAGAAAAAACCACAAGACAAAAGCCTAACTTTTTAATGGTTAAAAAGCATGTTGCCTCTTGACTAGAGTGGAGCATCCAAAGCCATGGCACTAATAAAGGTCTAAGGTGCTTTCTCTGTGTGTATTGGGGGAAAAAACAAAAAGAAAACAACAACAAAAATTCTGGAAAAGCTAAAGGTAAAATTAAAGTATTTTTCAAAATTATGACAATGAGGGAATTCTATGTCTGTTTCCAATCTATACCAGCAAAAATAAGTCATGAAGTGAATCATGTAGATCAGATTTTTTTCTAAATTTTTTGGTTCAGGAAAATTTTGGTAAACATTGGAAAAGTTAGGAAAGAGATCTGTTTCGCACAAGAAATACAGCCGACTGCTGTACTTTTAACAATCAGTCAAAAATAATCTTCAACATATCAGCAATGTCTGAAATGCACTCAAGAACGCACATTGAATATTGGATATCCCAAATTTTCAAATTTTATGCGTCTGTAAGCTCTTTGTTTTGTTGGGCTAGCAAGCAAGTACTCAGAGAGTAATGTAAGAATACCTAACCTAAATAAACAAGCAATCCTGCAAGCTGTCACCCGCCTTCCTCAACTATGGATCCATTTATTTCAAGTATTTATTTTTGTAACACTTAGAAACAAGGATAAAATAAATTCTAAAAATAGTTGAAAGCATACGTGACAACTAGTTGTTTGTTCATTTAGAAAAGGCTTTGTTATGTCTCTCTCTGCAAACTAATTGCCAGTAACTTAGAGAAAAGTGCCTGTCGTTTTGGAAAATTTTAAAATGTGTGATATAGAGCACGAAAACTGCATTAAAAAGTGGCTTTTAAACTTTTCTGGTATGTGCAACAGTCCGTTGTTTGTTCATCATTTAAGTGCATCTCTCTGTAGCGTATCAAGAAAAAAATGCAAGTCGTGCCTTGGTAGTCAAGTTTTTAAGATAGAGAGCAATGTTTCACAATCGAACCTCTGCAAACAAATAAATCAATTTTAATGAGTAACTGGCTCGGACACAGCTGGAAACAATTATTGATGAAAGATATGATGTTTTGACTGGTAGCCTTGTCATTATCATCCATGAATAATTGTGGAAAACTACAAAACTATCAGTCCATGTTTGCAAGGCAGAGACTAGACAACCAGCTGACCGAGGTATTGTTCCTTTGTTTGACAGGGTTGCCTCAGTCAGAGAATGTCGGAACGTTTAAGGGGATTTTAAAAAGTCAGGAAAATCTTGAAATGTAAGGGAAAATGACGGAATTTTCAGGAAAATATTGTCAAGTCACCTTTATTTGCTTTCCTGAATGGGTTTAGTGTTTCGAACAACAGATTTTGTGAGGAAACTATTTCAAAGTATGTCTTTTCAACCATCCGGCATTTCCTCAATTATCAGGGAATTTTACCAAAATGTGACTGAGAAATGTTGTGGAATTTTATGTTAATAAGTCTATGGCAGTCCTAGTTTGGAGCGAGCATATTCAATAATTATTTCATCATTTTTCTTTCAGATTAAAGCAGCTGTTGAAAAGTCGAGAGCTCCGCATCGTAAACATCTGACTTACGGAGAAATTCCCACAGAGCCCAAACCTGAGGAATCCTTGGCTGAAATCACCGCGAAAATAAAAGCCTTGACGTCAACAGAGGTTAAAGATTTCATGACTGAGCGAAGGAAGGCAGCATTGAAAGACCAACGATTACTGATGCGAGAGGAGATGAGAACTCCTGATCAAAGGATCAAAGAGTCTGACCTAGATGAACGAATCCGGGAAGAGTTCGCCGATGACTATAGTAATTATGATTTTAGAGATTCAGATGATCATCGCTGAAATGATGCCCATCCAAAGTCATCAAAGAAGTTTACAGCAATGCAAAGCAAGTACACTTGTCTGCTTAGTCGAAATCCCACTTCCGGAAATTCGCCTCTTGTGTGATGGAGCGAAACAATGAAATGTTTGAGAAATAGTTGGACTGCCAAATCACTCCTATCAACCACTCAGTTTAGGTGAATATTAATACCCTGTTTGACAGTTTCTTTTAGATCAAAATCTCAAGTTAAAACGAGTTGGTGAAACGAAACTGTTTAATTACATTATCTGAGAGGTGCAAATTAGCAAAGTCATGGGAACTTCTTCAATTTTTATTTAAGTATATATTCTCTCTGTCGTAATTCTCTTTTAAGGAGTTTCATTTTGCCTGCTTTCTCTTAGACTTGAAAACTGCACGGTCTTTTCTAATTAGGTCTCGTCCTCTATAAGAAGTCTCATCAGTGATTAATGCTTACTTCCAAAAGGGTATGATTTTCTTAACTCACTCTCTTTTCCAAAAAAGACGTAGGTTCTCTGCCACCAATTATTTTGTCATTGCAGCTTGTCGTATCATTTTTTCAAAAATCCATTGATGCCTCTCAATCTTTTTTTGCAAATGGGTGGCAAGGAGAGTACTGTTTTGAATAGAACATATGCGTCAAGGGCGCACTGAGAAAAAGGAAAGGTATTGCAGAAGCATGAGTGGGAAGAAAAAAAATTGTACCTTAAACGAAGCTACTGCGTCCTTATTTCAAATGTTGAAATGATTTCGTAGTGAATATGAGGATCAGATCTTAAAACTGCACTTCATCAGTATGACTCAAAGAACCATTATAGCACATAAGCTTGTTGGGAGCGGAAAATGAAAAAATAAAAATCACATATAACCATAAAATATACTGACCAAAACTCAGCAAAAACATAAAACCAGATAAAGGCAAAAAAAAAAAAAAACAGTGATTCCAAAGCTGGATTAGGGTGCCAACCGCAGGGTATTTAGACTTTAAATTATATTGGTTTCGAGAAGTGGGGCCTGTAATCAACCCAAAAAATTAGTTAATTTCGGTATTTATAAATTTGGTACTTTCACCTTGAAATGGTCATCTCCTTCCAGTATTCAGTTCGCAACTGAACTGTTTTCACTGTCACTGATGAAACTTCCAGGCATTGCTGAGTGACCTTTAAGTTATGTATAAGCGTGAGTTTCAAATGCTGTTCCATGAAGCCCTCAACCTAAAGTCAGTGGGTTGCCAATTGGAAACCAAAAGTTTAAGTCAGCGGTACCCATTCAAGGTTATCCATCCAATATTTTGAGGGATCTGAAACGCAGGTAGTTTCCTTCAACCCACGGTCACTAAATTAATTTAGTATTTTGTGTGGAAAATAATGTGCCCAATGTTATAAAGTTTGTTATGTGATCAAGGAATGATTAAGTAAATGGAGATTAAAAACTATATCATCTTTTCATTTCATCCAATCCCAGTTATTCTGAGGTAGGGGAGTTTGATCGATACAGCCTATCTAATTTTTTACCGTTTTTCTGCATGTATGAAAGTCCTTTATTAGGAGTACCTCAAAAGTGCATTTTCACGTGCTCATGGAACTTTTCAAGTTGTCTCTCTTTACGTAGATTCGCAGACCAAATGAGGGGCTTGGCAGACATAATGCATAAGTGGAGGTTTTACTATTTCGAGAAATGCATGTTTGAAGTTTGGAAATTGCATGGGTCCTTATGGTGGGAAGAAATTTCAAACCGTTTTTTTTATGCTTAAAAAGTGGAATTTGGGAGCAAATTTTTCTCAGAATACGCATTAAAATTAGATTCGCTCATAATCATTAATATCTCAATTTTTTCAAAAACTGCACTTATGGGCCTTTCTCTCCAAGCCCTACAAATAATGAATAAGTATCACTTATATCTGATTCTTTATTGAAAAGGTCATTCTCAGATTTGGTCCACTCACAAAATAATGCTTTTCAATTCCCACAAATTGTTCAAACAATAATGGGAGTATTTGTGTATGTATAGTGTGTTGAATGATATCATAAATATATTTCTATCTCCAATCATAATTTTTTCAGATTGATATTTAAAGAGCCGCACCATCAAAAAATTAGTACTTTTGCTGTGCAAGTTTCAAAATTTTTCATTTTTGTGAAAGCAAAGAGGAAAAGTTTATTTTTAGCAGTAAGAAAAATAAAACAAATGTATTAGAACCAATGAACATGCAGTTGTCAACTTGCTCAGCTTCATCGTGGGTTAAAACAAATGGAAAATTGCAGAATTTTATTACAGCCATCGCAAGAAACTGAAATTATTAATTATTAATAGTATAGCAGAATTTGTGATCAGTATATCAAAATCAAAGGGGTTGTCTCCTCAAAAAAATAAAAAGTTGAAAAATTAAAAATAAAGGAAAAAAATAAATAAGTAAAAATAATACTAACAACCCAATTTAAGAAATTCTTACAATCGTTGAAGGAAGATGCAGTTTTTTTTTCAAAGGAAAATTGTGAAAAATGATGAAAAAGAAAAAAAAATAAAGTTTTTTTCATAGCTTCCGAAAGCCCAGTAATAATCTATGAAAAAATAATTTAATATCTTTCTGAGGAAAATTAGAGGATTCCGTAAAGGTAAAACATTTCAGTAGTCATGCTAGAATAGTATAGCGTTGTGTCTGTTTCTTATGTTTGCTCTTGTTTTTTTAGCACCCATTTCATTGTTTCTCATCTTCAAGTGACCAGTTAGACCACCACCTGCCAGCTACCCACCAGAGGTTTCTGATAAGTAGTCTTTCGCAAGGATTTGGGCTCTTAAAATTTGCCATAAGCTGTTGGACCAGGTCCATAAAGGCACAGAATATATAGGCTACACTACACCAACCCTGGCGTTACCCTATATATTCTGAGATTAAGGGGAGCCATACCTAGCCCCCCCCCCTTCTACCCCCATCAAATAGGTAAACCAAAGTGTTCTTAAATCAGATTTGAAGTTTTTTTTTTTTCTGCTCTCTTTTGAAACATTAATTTTCTCCCGAAGTAAAACTCCAAATTTTATCAGAAAATTCACAAGATTTCTTCTTGGGTATTCGGTAGGTGACTTCGTGGAGTGACTAATTGAGAAAGCAGTAATCATTGAGTTACAGTATCAAATTATATTTAATTGTCCAAGGGGAGAGGTAACCTGCTTCAGGATATCAGTATGTTCTAGTGACATGCCCGTAAGTGCTTGCCATCACTCTTTCATTGGAAAGTAAAAATCGTAAACTCGCTAATATTCGTCGAACAACTACTTACGCCGGACCCTTGGAAAGAATCTCCCAATTTAAAGTTTCCCGGGCTTTTTCAAATTTCGTTACTCGTAGAGTCAACGGTGCATATCGGCTGATGATTTTTCGGCCCTCACCACACCAATATATCTAACCTAAAAACCAGTGTTGTTATCATCTCCCCGCCTGGCAATTTTGCAATTTTCACGCTTTTCTCATGTGATTTAATCCTCTTTTTATTTAATTTTCACCACCTATGTTTTGTTTTAGTTTATAGTGTTATCGATTTGTGCACCTCAACTCTAATGACAGTCTAGCCCTCTTGTCTTACGTCGCAATTATGGCGTCCCTTCTAAGAACATCCCTCAACCCGAGGAATGTCTTGCGGCTTGGAAGTAATATCGAACCCCAATTTTCCCCTGCTACTACTCCATGGACACAAACCGTACGGTGGAGGAGGGACAGGAAACCTATGTGGCTAGGACCCAGCAAATCAAAGAGGTATTGGGTTCCTCCTCGGCCCAATCAACCGCTAGAGGAAAAGGTAGAGCTGCGGAGGCTCTTCACACGATACAAAACTGAAGTTAGCGCATTGCAGTAAGTATCTAAAAGGTGTATTCTTGACATGTCACCTTTGATCATTTAGACACTGTAACGTTATCTTGCCACTCAAGTCTAATTGAAGGTTCTTCGGTCATCTCCAGAATACAAGCTGTTGAATGCATAACATAACAATCTATTGCCGGCCTAAAGTGCGAAACCTGTCTCTTCGTTTGCAACATTGCAGACCTCCTGCTGTACCTTATTTTTTCATGATAGAACTACTTAACCTTATTTCCTGAAAACTTCCTTAATTTTTCTTCTTTGTCAGTAGAATATTCCGTAGAAATTTCAAGCTGGAGCTTGCGCATAGTGTAGTGAGATATCGACGGTGAAAGTCGGCAATCACATAACCCGGTTTGCGACGTCGCAGACTTCCTGTTATACTTTATTTTTTAAACGGAAAACTACTCAACGGTAATTCTTTAGAACTGCCAGGATTTTTCTTCTATGTGCGAGGAAAATTCTGCAAAAACTTCAAGGAATCATGTCCATTTGTTCTCCTTTAAAAAATAACATAGTTGCGGAGATTTTCAGACACCGCAAACGAGTTATGTGATTGCCGACTTGCACCGTCGATATCTGTCAAAGTATTGTTTATGTCACCATTCACCAGTGGGGCCATCTGACTGCATGCATTAAGGTGATTCGATGGACGCCATATTTTGTGTCAGAACGGCATGCGATACGTTGCATCAATTGGTTCCATTTTTTTAGCTACTTGTCATTTTTCTTGAATTTTGAGATCACAATTCTTTTGTCAGGAGACGAAAGCACTCAATTACTAATTTTAACGAAGAAATTCAACGTTATAACGACGTGGTTTTTTTAGAGAGAAAACATCACATTCGATACTGATATCAAAACTGCACTCGAATGTGATATTTTCTCTCTGAAAAAACCACGCCTTCATTAAGTACGTTGAATTCGTTTGTAAAAATTGGTAAGTGAGAGCTTTAGTCTCCTGACAACAAAATTGCCATCTCAAAATTCGAGAAAAATGATGACCTAGAAGCTGAAAAAATTGAGCCAATCGATGCGATATATCGCACGTCGTCCTGACACAAAATATGGCGTCCATCCAATCACCTTAACCTGTTGATTCAGAACTAATCAGAGATTGATGTTTGTCTCAACATACGATGCCCGAGCTCTTTGTAATAAATTGGCTTATTTTCCTTTGAGAGCATAAAATAGGAGCAGAGATTTTGAAACACCGCAATTGAGAAACGTTGTTTTGCTCTCTAGTCATTGAAATAGTCGTTACAAGAACGATATATAAAAATACAAAAAGGTTCACCAAAAAATTTCCAAGAGCAATAGCTGATTACATCATGACAATTATTTTATGATGATTTTACTCTTGTAAATATCCTGAAATTTTGCGCCTCTTGTCACGACCGGCATATTCGTGGCTGACTGATTTTTGGATGCTTAGATCATTGAGCTCTTTTTAACCTTTTACTTTTCATTTAGCCAGGAGTCAATCATTTATTACATGTTCATCCGTAAGTGTTTCTCTAATCTAGTCTTTGGCAATTTCAGTGACCTGATCAAAGAAAACATGAAAGAGGTGCAGGAGAAACAGAAACAAGCCCTTCAGTTTCAGTCAAAAGAGGAAGAAGAGGCCGAGTGGGTAGAGTGTATGGCCATTAATGATGACTGGAACGCGGAGTCTGCTGCGCTCAGGGAGCAGAGGATAGCACGCGAGTTGGAAGCGGTCGAAGAACGCGCTTTGCAGTTAAAACTTGCTCGAGATGAGGAGAAGCGGAAACTGGCAGCGGAGTTAAATGCTAAAGTTAGAGCAGAAAAGGTAGGTTCGGAATATTATTTATGCACTAATCGTTTACGAGGGTGATTATATATGAACAAGTACCGAACTTATTTTTCTCAAATAATGGTTTATTTAAAAAAAACTTGAATCTTTGAAAGTACCACCATTACTCACGGCTAGAATTGCAGCTGTCTATTCTCAAAAAATCTCTTTTAGAAACCTCAAATTAAAGCTTAGAATATCTGAGTGCTTAATATTGCATTTGATCAGGTAATGAAATCTCCCTGATTTTCTTCTATTTGAATACGGTTGGCTTTAATTTCGGTTTATAGCAGTTTCTTCAATAAGTCGGCCTCCTGTAGCGTAGTGGTTGTAGCGTTGGCCCTATGACCAAGAGGTCCTGGGTTCGATTCCCGGCCGGGTGATCTGAGTTTGATGATCTCAGGCAATGGTCACCTAGGGCTGGGGTACTAAGCGTGGGATTAGCTGATAGACTATTTGAAATTGGTAAAAAAAAAATAAAAATAAAAAAAATAAATAAATAAATTAAACTTGATTGGAAGTGCTTCTAAATGTACTTGTTCCATCTTTTGCCAAAAATTTGAAGCGAAAGCAGTATTTTCAATAAATGGACTCAGTATCTTAATGTGTGATAGTTTTCAATATATCGACGGTGAAACTCCCAAACTCTGTATCTCGGTCTAAAACGTTGCAGACCTCCTGTCTCACTTTATTTTTTAAATGGAAAAAGACTCTCCGTCAATGTTGAAAAACTTCCATGAATTTTTTTTTTCGGTGCAAGGTAATTTCTGTAAAAATTTCAAGGAATAACGTTAATTTGTTATCGTTAAGAAAAAAAAAAATAGGAGTGATCCATTAGAGTCATAACAGGAATGGTGTATCCTTAAACTTCGATGAAAATAACTGTTTCCTGATCAAATTCAATCAATGCATTACTGCAAGATAAGTGTATGCAATGCATTGAAGTAAAATTATTCCCCTGTAATAATACCCTGCCACAAACCATAAAACTTTAATTGAAAACGACATGCAATGTGTACATCAAATGTATCACACTCAATGAAAATATACGTCTAATTTCATACTCAAAAGCGAAGCTCAATCCCTTAATCGGATGTATTCAAGCCCAAAAAGTCTGATCATTGAAATTGATAGGCAAAGCAATAGACAAAGAAGACAAAAGGGAAATAAAGCAATCCCATTGGTGGAAGCGGGTGGTTGCAATGGACAGAAGAGGTAAGTAAGAAACAATTTAACAGTAACCCTCGAGAGACCCTACTGTTAGTCCATCATTTTCTCCTTTGGTCTGTAGGAACCACCACTTTCAACCAATAGGATCGATCCATACTCCCTATGTCTTCTTTGTCTATCAATTTCAATAATCAGCCTGCAGGCAAATGATTGAACTGTATTAAAGACCGAACCTGGGATCTCTTATGATGTTCTTTTCTTTATTGTTTTCAGGAGAGATCCAAAACGTACATAACTCCAGAAAACATAGATGAGGCAATAGAGCAAGCTTTAAACTCAGTCGTAGATTTTAACTACTCCATAGATCTTCGAGGAAATAAGTATATTGGCAGGAGGACTAAACCTGAATCCCAAAATGCGAAGAGGATCAGTGATAGTCACGAACCGATAAAGAGAGAAATTGCTGCTTAGTGCAAAATCACTCTGTAGAGGTAACTCTTATTTTGTTCTATTTTAATAATTATTAATTCTATAAGTTAAGATTTTGTCAAACGCTTGTCAAAAGTCCTGTATATAAATTGAGCATGTTTTCATTTTCAATTCAGTCGTTTTTTTTCCAATCATGAGCAGTCAGCCTATCGGCAGTTAAAAACCCCACGAGCCATCTGGGGCTATGAATTTTTATTCAGGAAGTATTTCAAACTAATTTGTTTTCCCCTCAGAAAAAGGAGCTGGACCATCATTTCAATGTAAATATCGACTAGATAATGTCAATTTATTTATCAGCCTCTTAAGAAGCACACTTGATGCCTCCTGAGAACTGGTGAGGGCAATCAAAACAATTTCTCCCTTTACATCATAGAGTTAGTGTCACATTGTTAGCCCCTGAGAGTTGTCCCACCCTAGAAATGGACCATTAGACAAGGTACGAATTTAAGCGATCTGATACATGCTTCATAACCAGAATTTAGCGTAGAAAACGATTCACACAACGAAAATTACGGAAACCAACTCCTAACAAAGATATTAACGTTTTTATTTCACATTGGTTACGAGGAATTTGAACTGCCCGCTCACAAGAAACTCAAAACTCTACGTGAGTCAAATCGCCCACTACAACGGTTTCAGCAAGTTTCTCAATCGAGCAATGTTCATTTCCCATCATGTGTTGTTCAAACTATTAGCAATTTGCTATAACTGAGCCAAAGCGTCAAGATTGAGGTTGCCAGATTTTTATATCGCAGAGACTGTCATGATAACGTTTAGCGCGCGATGTGAATCACGTAGAGCATTGAGTTTTCATGAGTGGGTGGTTTGAATTCACGCATTTAGAATCATTAAATATCTTCGTAAGGAGTTAATTTCGGTAATTTTCGTTGTGAGCATCGTGTTTTACGTAAAATTTTGGTTAAGAAACATGTATCAGAATGCTGAAATTCGTACCGTATCTAGTGGTCCATTGTTCATAGAGGAATGACTCCTAAATTTTGAGTTACTGAAATTTTTAAAATTCCAAACCTCTGGTTCATCGAGCCGGAGGTATTATTTTTGACCTACCCTCCAATGTGTTTTTATGAAAGCTCTGTGGCATGGGTAATATTCAAATTCCATCCATCTGACAACTAAATCTTTCGCCAATAATTAATGAGACAGAATCTTCAGAGACGTTTCAAACCTTAAAATCAAATTCGCTTGCTTTTGCTTTCTGGAAACGTCTGCTCAGTAAGTTTAAGAAAGTTTTTTTTTAACATTTCACGATTCCTCTTTAACATCGTTAAAATGTTTTGAAACAAGATCCTCAAAGATGTCAAATTTTAAGATAAATTTTTCCAATATGTTCCCTGGAGGAAAGCAAATATGGCTCAAATGCCAGAGACAGCTGTTGAAATTGTTCGGCTTCCACAGCAAGGCTTGAGGAAGATTTATCACCTTCAATTCTCGTCTCTGAAATATTAAGTCCAATTTCTTATCATAATCTTGTGATCAGGTGAAAAAGAGAAGATGTGTTACTTTTCTTGTTTTCTTTTTTATTTCACTTCATTTTTCAAAATTATAATTCAAAAATATCACATGTTCAATCTCTACGCAAATGAATTTATAAATCGTGTTGTGCGATGTTACGCACTTATCGGGCTCCCATTTCATAATCTAGGTATGGAGTTAGTTTTTGGTTGTATCTTTCTTTTTAGCTACAATGAGTTTCTCCTGTTGTAGTTGAAAATCAATGGAATTCTGAAATATTTAGTAGAGAGGTTTTTGAGACTAGCAACTTTGCAACACAAGATACATATGTTTTCTACTGTCACCATTATTTCGCCATTTTGGTAGAATTCTTCTCCTAGAACTTCATTTATGAGACCATAAATGGACCGCGTGAAACAGAAAGGAACCAAGCCACATCAGCTATTGCCAAATCAAATTGGGCAATTAAATTTTTTACCGAAAAACGGTTGTGCGGATTTTTCTTCAAATTTCAGTGAATTTTCTGCGTAGTACGAAGCAAATTCCTCAAAAATGTCAAAGGAATCTGCAAAAACGTTCTCTTGTAAAAAATTAAATTGCTCTATTGAATTTGGCAATAGCTGATGTGGCTTGGTTCCTTTCTGCTGAATGTGGTCCAAACGCTCTCTTTGTTTAGTCATCCATTAGAGTTTGATTTTTCTCCGATAGAAATCCAGCACTTCTTCAGATGAAACTCCGCATAGTCTAGCGCTTCAACTGGTGAACACTCCCATTTCTTTTTGGGCCTGAGCAATCCAAGGCAGGTAGCTTGTAAGGCGAGTGTACACTCCAGGTTTTCCTTTTGCTGCGCAACCAACTCCCCAAGACACAACACCAATTGATGTCCATCTTCCATCAGTACGCTGGAAAAAGAGAGGACCACCCGAGTCTCCCTGCGATAAAAAAATTATGACTGTATTATCATGAAAACCTAGAAGAGTAGGGGAATTTTCGGTCTCCGAAAGCAATCGTTAAACAGTCATGGAATTTCATCTAAAGTGGAGAGAAAGATGCAAATTTTAATTGTGCTGATTGTACCATCTAATCAAACAAAATAATTTCTGTACTCCATTTTCAAGACAGTCCCCACCAGACATTAAACTTAGCGCTCTATCGGGTCGTTCAGTAAGGCTCGCGTAACTAATCCTGTGGTATTGATTGTTGTGTCTGGTTCCTCTTAGAAAACTGGTGGTGTTTTAACTATTTCGTTGATGTGCTCATATTTCTTGCATTATTTCTCAAAAAATCCTTGGAATTAAATGGACTATGTTAAGCAGAAAGGAACCAAGTCACAAAGGCTACTGTTGCCAACTTTAATTTGGCAATTTAATTTTTTACGCAAAAACGGTCGTGCGGATTTTTGGGCAAGTTTCACTGAATTTTTTGCGTAGTAAGAAGCAAATTTCCTAAAATTTTCAAAGGAATCTGCATGAACGTTCTCTTGTATAAATGTGAATTTCTCTGTTAAACTTTGCAATAGCTGTTGTGGCTTGGTTCCTCTCTGTTCAATGCGGTCCAAATAAAGTTATGACTTGATGCAGAGGCTAGAAAACTTTTTTTAGTCGCGAAGGGTTAACTCTTACAAACTACATGTTCCGTTTCACTCCTGTGGTTCGCCAAAAACATTACCATCCATAAACCATGGTTTTTTCCTTGAAGTTCCATTTTTTTCAAATCAAGAAAATTCAAGGGTCAGTTTTAAAAATCAAAAGAAAGCTTGCCTAATTTCACTGTATTTTGCTCGCTTAGGCTGCTTGATTTGATTTCAAAATCGTCCTCAACTTGCTTGTTGAAGCACATCAGTTTTAACCACCTTCGAAAAGCTTTCCTGTGTGGATGTTCCTTAGAACGCTAGAAGAAAGTCCGAAATTATTGCTCCAAATGTAGCGAAGTGACATATAACTCATCGCCAAGATTTCTTGCAATTAATGCCTACAACTCTATGCGAGGAAGACATCTTGGTCTCAACTCAAATTTTTTACCTGACAAGCATCCCTGCCTCCTTCATAGGCACTCGCACATATAGTTGTATCGTGGATCACTTGCGTCAACTGGCCTTTGCAGAATTCATGCTCCCAAATAGGAACACTTACTTCTAGCAGGGTGCTGCTGGCTGGTCCCCCGAAAGATGTGGCACCCCAACCTGGAAAACGTGAAGTAAAATTCAGGAAAGTTAACAACTGTTGTCAAAATTCTGTCCTGCCCTAGAGTCTCTCTGCATTTACTTCTGAGGAAAAGTTAACATATCCTCTGTTAGAAATTCAAACTATACTAACATCCATTATGAAAGTTCATTATAAATCATATACATTTATCATAGATTATCACTGATCTCAGCTGAAAGGTAATTCTTCAAAGAAATTTTCTTTTTAACCTTTTTTTTTAACTTTTGATGTATAATATGGTTTACTGCAAGTACATTTCTATTTTTCTTGTGACGCTGGTGACAGTAATTGTCACTAGTGTGGGATACCAAAATACTGAAAACCCTTTTTCCATCATAAATTCAAACAATTTCTCTCCAGGCATTTCATAAAATACTTGATTTGACTAATTTGCGAAGTATATATATATAACAGCTGCTTTTACAATGCAGTTTTGCGCTCTGCGACATCCAATCGCCCTTGACTCATATTCTGCCCCAGATCATAGGTAGTTGACACCTCCTGATCACCTCCTCCACTCCTTGTTACTAACCTTTCACAGGACTTTCGCGCCCAATCTTTTGTATTGAGTGTGGAATTTAGAATTTTTATATACACACCTGCGACAACAGCAGTTCGATTGACGAGCGTGGTAACATCTTCCGACTGAGGGCTCGGCAGGCAAACTGGCCGCACCATCTTGTTGAACTTGACCGGACGTTCCAAGCTTAGTATAATTAAGTCATTCTCATTTGTAGCTTTATCGTAATCTTCATGGATTTTCGCCGCTCTTACCTTGTAGTCAGTGTAAGGGAATTCATTTGCCTTTTTGAAATTGTAAGCCCCTATTCGTACCATAATGTCCTGCCATTTCAGTCTGAAAATGTTTGCAGGGTTGAGTTTTGCTCAAGGAATCACTGTTATGCTGCTGTGCTAAGAAAAACGTTGTATGAACATTCAGGCATTACCAAATTACCTAATTCCATAAATCCTTATTTCCTCTTACCATATTCTTTAATGCAAAATATGGTCCAATTATAGGTTCCGCAAAAATTCGCAGCCAACTGCGCACCTCTGGCGATTGAGCACAGGGGAGAATTTCATGAGCACCGCCGTCTGCGGCGCACTATGGTCCAAAACTCAAGAATAGGAAGAAATAAGTCGGATAATGACTGAAAGATCATGAAAACAGATGTGTCTTGAGTCGCTAATTTCGAATTTGACGTCAAATTGCCTACGAATTTTATGGCACGCTGCGGCGCGGCGCGACGTTCTGCTAGCTCGCAACGCCCACTGACGCCTACAAACCTAAGGGGATACTTCACGCATTGCGCAATGCTTGAAGTATCCCCTTAGGTTTGTAGGCGTCCGGAGCGCGGTTCGCGCTGGCTGCACGCCGGCGGGCGGGCGGTGACCGATTTCAGGCGGGGAGAGCTTCCTGGCAGAGAACCTCGTGTATCGTGTAAAGTTTTTTCTTTGTTTAATTGTTTATAATTTTCGACTTTTAAAATTACATACTGATCGTGTGAAGTAATCAGTGAACTCTCAACGCTAGATGATGCGTTATTATGGAGGCGCGGGTCGTGCGCCATGCGCGCTGCGGACGGAAAAATGGAGAAAATGGAATGAAAGGGAGATGTTGCATGTGTGAGGGATTTGCGATTTGACCATTGATTCTTATGTAAAAGTTCGCGAGAAACACGATGGTGCCACTGGTTTTCTCTGAAATCAACTCTGAAGCTCAAAAACAGCTCTCAAGTTGAGGCCAAAATGGAGGGGATATCCCACCCTACTCTGAGAGTCCACCTCTACATCAAGACAAACTCTCCATGCAAAGATTGGAAGCAAATACATTAGCAGTGATGCCGTGTTTTCAGTTTTGGAGTCCCCAAATAAAGTGGCAGCCCTGTCAATGTATTTGCCCCCTATCTTTGCATGGAGAGATTGTCTTGATGTAGAGGTGGACTCTCAGGATAGCGTGGGATATCCCCTCGATTTTGGCCTCAACTTGAGAGTTTTTTTGAGCTTGGGAGTTGATTTCAGAGAAAACCAGTGGCACCATCTTGTTTTTCGCGAACTTTTACAGAAGAATCAACAGTCAAATCGCAAATTCCTCACACACGCAACATCTCCATTCTCCCCTGTGCTCTGTCGCACCTCTGGACGAGGCCCGTCAAATTGAATTTCCCGCCACTCTTTCAAACACGTAGCTCCGCCTTGCTCTCGCGGCTGCTTTACCGCCCTGCGATTGGTAGTCTTCCAACCAATCCCTAACAGCGATGACCTACCCGTATTTACCGCAAGCTCTTAGCCAGAGTTGCAATTTTTCATGAAAAAGAAACCTAGAACCGTGTGAAATATTTCGTGAAATTTCAGATAAATATTTTTCGAAATTAAATGCAAAATTAAATAAAAGGCGACTGGTTTTTGCTTTTTGGTTTTTTTAGTGCGTGTTGCATACCCAGCTCCTGAGCATATGTTTCATATTTTTCACAATTTTGTGGAATTTCATGAAATATTTTACGGAAATTTTCAATACTTCGTATTTTTCATTTCACCCGTGCAACCCTGCTCTTGGCTCTCCAACACTCTAAATTTTCATTTTTTTCTCACAGTTCGTTCGACTGATGGATTAATTTTCACGACTTTTGCGGCTATTGACACGCGATAGCCCCTAAATCAGCCCGCTCTATTCGTCAGATTTTGAAAATATTACCAAGGCTTTTTTATTTTATGTTACGTGATAAAGTTAGTTGTAGTTCTTCCATTTTAACAATGTACGTAAAAGTTCACATTTTGTTCTAAAGATCTACCCAAGTAGCAGTGTATTGCTATAAGTTGCGATTTGATCGGAGAACGTATTGCGATTTTATCGATCGTCGATTCATCGAGAACTGCGATTTCATCGCATTTTGCAATAAAATCGCGATTTTATCGACGGCAACTTATCGCAATACCATCGAGCAAAAAATCGTGATAAATCGAGATATAATTTGGATAAATGCAATTGTAGAGACATAAAATTGCCCCAAGATTGAGGATTGTCACTTACTTAGATGTTGATGATCCTAGCGATTTAACCGCCAAAAATTCGTAAAAAAAAAAATCGCAACTTAATTTCAAAATATCATGCATGATTTTTCCGTTGAAAATGCTACTTTGCGTACCGGGCCGATTTTCATAATTTTTTATTCTTACAGGAGAAGCTATTCCTCAGATGAGCTCGCTGTATTTCAATTGGACTACATTTTACAATTCGGAACTATAATACCTGGCTTATCTGTAAAAAGACGTAAGTGCATAAAGAAAACTGATAGTGCATACGTTGTTTCTAAACTGAGCCAGAAATTATAGTTCCTAATTGCAAAATGTAGTCCAATTGACCTACGGGAGGGCAAGAAGTGCCCTTTGGGGGATGTAGTGCTGTTGATTTTTTCCCCAAGAATCGATTTAACCGAAAATATCGATTTTCCCCCAAAATCGATTGAATCGAAATTTTGATTTTCCCATCAAAAATCGATTAAATCGAAGATACCGATTTCGTCAAAACATCGATTATTCGCAGAAAAATTAGGACCGAAAAAGCTATTTTCAAGAAAATCGATCGTACTGTAAAAAAATCGATTTCCAGAAAAAGTATTGTGCCGTTCGTTTTTCCTAAAGTCTCGCCTCACTAAGCGTTAAGTTTTATTGTCCCTTGAACCGGAGCAATGTCAACGACTTCCTTTAGTTTTAAAGAATAATGTAGACTTACTAGCTGCCTCCCTAATTATTCAGGAGTAAAATTTATGTTCGTAAAAAATTGAAAAATGTCTTTTTGTGAGTAAAAAATCGATTCGATTCAATCGATTATTTTGTGCAGAAGATCGCGATCTCTTCCAAATATCGAAAAAAAAAATCAACAACACTACTACCGTGCTAAGGAAGAACGCCATATGAACATTCGAGAGTTGTCAAATTTCCTTCGATGAAATGTTCCTTTTTGAGGAAAGTTATGAGTATTTTCCCTTTTTATGACAGTTATGACATTTTCTGAACTTTTCGGTCGAATTGCGAGCAAAATTAACTGAAAAATTGGCAGAAAAATAGTTTGCCATATAGATAGAAGTTTGCCAGGAAATTCGTGTTTAATCAAAGGAAATTTGGCAACGCCTGAAGGTTCAAACGGCGTTCTTCCCTAGTAGAGTCCCTTTATACCCAGAGTTAAGACAACTCGATTATCAGCTGACTGGCAGCCGGCCTTGGCTGGCCATGGAGGCCGAAACGAGTGCACCCAAACGAACGATATTGAGGGATAAGGATCAGGAATCCTGCGATGTCTGTCACACAAAAACAACAACATCAACAAATTGATCAATTAAAAAGAAAATGAGATTGGTTTGTGAATAATTTCTTATTCTCTTTTCATTTTGGACCGATGGAAATGACAATTTAATCTTGATAAACCACAATTAGGTGATATTTTCATTATTCTTGTTCACATTCGAGGTACCGCCATCTTGGTGCACTCGTTTCGGCCTCCATGAGCGAGAACCAATCAGAATTGGATTTTTTTTAGGCCACTTTCAGCCGAACCAAAAGTGAGTTGTCTTAACTCTGGGTATAAAGGGACTCTATTCCCTAGTGAGGCAGACTAGGGGTTGGGTCGCGTGGCGGCCAAGGGCCGTTCCGCGTATACCCCGTTGCATACCACCAACTTACGTATTGAAGCAGTGTGCAGCACTGATGACGTGTGTTTCTGTGATGAGGACGGCGCCACAGAAGTGAACCCACGACCTCTTGAATTTCTTGTACTGCATGAGGGCGACCATCCATGGCCAGTCGTTGTAGTTAGCCTCTCCTGCATTTATTCTGTCTGTTTTTTTCCCATTGCTACCACAAACTGTAACACCAAACCCAACGAGTTGAGTGAAAAGATACCAACAGAGGTTAACGTTATTTCACCACAGGGTATCTACAAGTCCGGAAAGTCCGGAATGGTACTGATTTTTAATGGCAGTCCGGCAGTACTGAAAAAGTGCGGAAATTCCGCAAGAAGGTCCGGATTTTTTTTCATCTATGTCATTTTGGTCATCTCATCTTGGTACTGTGACAGCGCCCTGGTAAAAATTGGCAATAGAATCTGTGTTCCAAAATACCATAGACGCACAGCAGGCTGTAAGATTTCCAATAGCTTCTTTAGCCGGCTACACAATTGCTTATAGCCTTTTATAGCCGATGGCGATTAATCAACAGCCAGGCGATAAAGTGTATGCTAAACGTTACTAATTACGGATGCTAGGTCTTAGTGAGTTTTTGGAATAAGTACTGCTCTCTTTTTGGGCCGTAGTATCTTGATTTATTTTGCGAGGAAAGCTCCGTACTTTTGATGGATGCCTGCCATTCCTAATATATTAGAGCGCCTTCAGTTTCGTATAATACTGTGCAATACCTCTGGTGTGAAATAGTTGCTTCAAGCGCCGTGGCACGCTGCGTTGCGGCAGGCGAGCAGCCAGCGCGAAACGCGCATTGGCGCCTACAAACCTAACAGGGATACTTCACGCGTTGCGCAATGCGTGAAGTATCCCTGTTAGGTTTGTAGGCGCCAGTGCGTCGCCGCTCCGCTTTGTGTTAGGCTCTAATATTTAATCTGGCGGAGTCAGCGTTATTCAACTCACGATTTTGAAATGTTTGCACAACCTGTATGGATTATTCTCATTTTAATTGATGAAAAAAAAATATGTGTTAAAGGGAAATATAATGTGTGTTTTGTAAATATTAAGGTGGTTCCGTATCAAACTTAATCATTTCCAAAGCACACGAATTTCTACACAATTTCTCATAGCCTTTCATAATCGATTGCGAAAAAGCAACAGCCAGGCGATAAAGTGTAAAGCCCGGCGATAGGAACTATAGCCCGGCTGCATGATTTTTTATCGCTTCGTATAGCCCGGCCTAATGATTTTCTCCGCATTCTACAGCCAGCCATATGATTTTCTGTAGCCTTCTTTAGCCGGCTATAAGAATTCCTATGGTATTTTGAAACGCAGCTCTCATCGCCAATTTTTACCAGGGCGTCGCACTATACCGAACACAGCCGGGCCTGACAACGTATTATTTCTGAAACACAATTGCTCGAATCAGGCGATCCGGTCGCTACGGAACTCTTTATTTTATGGCCTCTGGGAAACGTCTTAGAACAACAGCGATCCAGTCCAGAGTTCTTCATGAAATTCAGATCCAGATATTATCGACGCATCGAAGGGCTCGCGATTTAAGGCAATCTTAGCCCGGAATTATACTGCCGTGCCGAACGCCGTATGAACCCTTAGACGTTGCCAAGTTTCATCTGGTAAAATACGAATTTTCCGGGAAGTATGACAACATTTTTCCTCCAAATTTTCAGAGAATTCTACTAGCAGTCTGATATAAACTGTCTGAAAATTGCAAGAGAAAATATTCACAACTTTCCTCCAAAAAGAAACATTCTGAGGGGGCAATTTGGCAACTATCGAATGTTCGTACGGCGTTCTTTCTTAGCACGGCAGTATACGCGACAGCGGTTTTCTGCACGCGTGTTTAGTGCGATTTCATAGGTGGAATGAATTGGGAGCTGTGTCTACTCATATCGGGCGCCTTAATTCCTTCTTTTGTGACGTCTTTAGGAGTTTTCAAGGGACAATACTCGGGGACGAGGATAGCCAGGCAGCCAAGTCTTCAAGATGTAAAGCCGTTCGACGAGGAGTTCGAATTGTTTGATCAGTTCGACTTGAGTTTGGACAGGGTGGTTAGTTCTTAAAAAGTCAAGACTAAACCTAGAAAAGTCAGGAAATTTGGCTGCGGAACCTTTTGAAAATAATTTTTATAGCCCCCCGAAAAATAAATTGAAGGCAGAGAAAAGTCAGGAAGTTTTATCTTCAAGAACCTTGAAAAGTCTAAGGGAATTTTGAAAGCGGAGAAACTTCGATCATACAAGAGTCCTATTCACTATTACTATTACTACTATTACTACTACTGCTACTACTACTACTACTACTACTACTACTACTACTACTACTACTACTACTACTACTACACGGAAAAAAAAGGTTGTCTCGTGCAGCCATGAAGATGGTCGATTCGACCATCTTCGAAAGCTGAAAACCGCGCCAACCAAATTGTTGGCTAGATCGACAACCAGCAGGTAGTGACGCTGCCTTCATGCCGCGCGGCTGGGTCAGCCCTGCGGAGATGGTTAGATCAACCCGAGCGCTCGGCCGCAGCGCTCAGCAATTATGTCAAAGTGACCCATTTTGAGGGCTACCATGCCCGCTTAGTTTTGCCAAAATGGACAGCGGTCATTGCCACAATTTTTCGGGGCTTTTAATGGAAAATAGGGGGCCAGGAGCCCCGTAAAATAAATATCTGAGAACGCTAAATTGTAAAAATGAAAAATATGAAATTTGTTAATTTACTCAACTTATTTTACTACGATAGAATTTTTTCAACCCATTATTTGGGATTGAACCTGGACCTACCTAATCCTAACCTAACACCCTAACGATTGAGCTATGACGACCGATGATGAAGGAGCACAAAAAATCTATATTTAACCGTCAACGTCGATCTGCTTGAGTTTGATAACTGAATTCGAATCTAGATTTGTATTTGTGATCATTTGTTTCATTTCTTTAAATCGCACAGCCTGTTTTTTTCTTTATTATACTTTTTATTTCTACTACACACGCTACAAAAAAAAAATGATCGGATTTACCAGTGTTTGGTTATTATTAACCGTGCTGTCTTCTTGCTTTTTTTCCGATGAAGCTGCGCAGTTTAGTTAGTTACCAATATACCAGTATTGTAAATTACACGATACGGCTGACACCATGCTAGTGTGGCGTTTCCGACTGCGTAGTATGGTAATTTCAAGCTTCCCGAATTCCATATGCTCCGACGAACTTTATGGATTCTAACATCCACTCAACATATATTTTTAAATATTAACTCAAATTATCAGAAACAAATTTGATATGAAAGTAGTAGATATTTTACTTACTTTTTGATTAAAAATTCCGGTGCACATACAATTACTGGCAGTTAAAGCAAATTTGACGAGAAATAGCAGATAATTGCTTCACCGATTTCAAGTAAATGATACCAAAACGAAACTTGTTTTTACCGTCAAAGAATCATTTACAGACTAAATCAGTTTCACAAAAAGTTTGATTTCATAATAAGTAGATAGATAGTTCAAAAAAAACCTAAAAGATAAACTACACGCAGTACCAATTGCCACAGTTCACGGTGGGACAGAAACTGTCAAATTTTTATTAAAGCTTATATTCAACAAATATCCCAGGAAAATTTTACTCTGCATCAGAGTATTTTGATTCTCTAAAATTTTAACACAAATATATATACGAACGAAGTATTCAATAATCACTGGTCTATCATTTTCAAGGGACTTCCGTATCTTCCCGCTTTCGCAATGACTTTATACAGAACCGACACTCACTAAATAAGAGAACAATTTTGCGAAACGCCCTTCAAGTTTTCAGAATTCACACATTTTGTTAGCCAGATTCATCGCAGCATCTCTTATAACCTCCAAAAAGTGGTCGATACAGGTAACTAGGAAATCTCGGAAAATATGCGTGGAAAGTTAAAACAGATAGATTTAAAGAGAAGACGGTAGCTGTAGAAACGATTCGAACACGAATTTGGGCAAATTACGCGTAAATTCACATGGATTAATATAGATAAATAAAGCCAAGCGCACAGACTCCGAACAACAACGTGATGAACTCGTAACTGTGTGACAAAAGAAAAATGGCGGACCGCAGCTTAGCCAGGCGGGAACTCTCACCGCGCTGACAGTACCTGATGGTTGGGTCGCCTTTGTGATGGCCAGTTCAGCTTTGTCAAGATGGTTAATCCGTCCATCTCAGCCACAGTGACATCCGCCGTAAGATTCTTGCTGGCTTGGCCTACTTGTGAGGGTATGATAACATACATTGCTGGTTGCACCACTAAAAGATGCAACAGTCGGATTTAATTTAGGCGTATAGGTAAATTGGATTCGTGCTTGGTCACATCGGTCAACGTGGCTGGTGAATCCAACTATTTTTGTTGGTTCTCACGGCTTTTTACTTTTCAACCATACCGCATTAGCTGTTAGAGACAACCTATTTTTTTCCGTGTACTACTACTACTACTACTACTACTACTACTACTACCACTACTGCGTGTCGCTCTTAAAGCGCTTCTGTGCACTCTGCGACACCCAACCGCAACCCACTTAGGTTTGTTGGACCAGACTTTATTTTTCTTTCTTTTTTAGCAATTTTCTGTTATAATATATAATTGATGGTTGAATAAAATTATTCCCAATGATCAATGTAGGTATGAGGCAAATTTGGGACTTTTTCGCGAGACTGTTCAACATCCAACCGAACTTTGTTTGTCAAACTGATTGCCGAATATGCTTCTCACTGATCATAGTGTTAGTCTTCTAAAAGTAACTTGCAAACTATACTCACGATTCGATTGGGCGAGATTTGATTGCGCGCTGTTGACGATCCTCGAATCGATTGGGCTCTCCCGTGATAAAATCTGGCGAGTCGATAAAGTCTTTGATGCCGTGTCGTCTGGGCAACACACGCCAGCGTAGAGAGCATTTCTAGAAAAGGAAGGAGTAATCATGAAATTAACGCAAGTAGCATTTCTCAACGGAAAAATCGCTATATCGTCACCTTCCAGGCAAAGTATCACGAGCGCCATGCGACGTTCAAAAATTTCCGCCGCCATTTTATTTTTTTACAGAGAAATTGTTCAACGAAGCTGTCCGAAAATTTCACTGAATTTTCTTTGTGCTGCCGATAAAATTTAGTGAAATTTCCAAACAGATTCAACCAACAATTTCTCAGTAAAGAAATAAAATGGCGGCGGAAATTTTTAAACGTCGCATGGCGCTTGTGATACTGTGCCTGGAAGGTGACGATATATTGCGATTTGATCGGCGATAAAATCGCCAGGATCATCGACATCTGAGCTATTATCGCAAAAAAATCGCGCTTTTATCGCCCGACAATTTATCGCGATATTGCCGAAACAAAAATCGCGATAAATGGCGATTTAGGTAATCTCGATTTTATCGACGGAAATTGATCGCGATTTTATCAAACAAAAAATTGCGATGTGTAGCGATTTTATCGCCGTATATCGCAATTTTTAATGCGATAATTTCTCGATATATTGCCACCGATAAAATCGCTATTCATCGCGATCACTGCAACTTGGGAAATGAAAATAATGGCAGGAGTGCCACAGTCAGGGAATACCGGGAAATGTCCAGTGCGGCGTGGCGTTCTTTGCGATATATCGATTGTTATGTCATTTAAACCTATGGAAAAGGATCGATGAACAGGGTGTTCGCAGCGAACACCTTAATAATCGATTCTCCAACATACGTTTGAATGGCAAAACAATCGATACATCGCAATTCATGCCACGCCACTGGAAATGTCAGGGAATTTCAAAAAGTCAGAGAAAATGACGAAAGTGTCAGGGACAAGTGACAAGTCACCTTTCTTCGCTTACTGTAATGGGTTTGACTTTTCGAACAAAAAATTTCCCCGAAAACTATTTCAAATTATGTTTTTGTACCATCTGGTATATCTGCAATTATTGGAGATGTTTACCAAAATGTGTCAAGGAAATTCATTTTTTAAATTCTGTGGCAACCCTGTGATGAAGTTATGAGGGAAGTAAGATTTTGGATCCCTATTTCATCGGAAAATTCAGGAGTGAAATACGGATTATATCGACGGTGTAAGTTCGCCACTACGTATCTTGGTTTGCGACGTCGCAGATTTCCTATCACACTTCATTTTTCAAATTGAAAAGTACTCAACAGCAATTCCGAAAAACGACCGTGATTTTTCTTCTCGTCGCGAAGAAAATTCTGCGAAAATTTCAAGGGACGATATCGATTCGCTCTCTTTTAAAAATAAAAAAGGAATAAAATAGGAATGGAGATTTTCAAACACCGCAAAAGAGATACGTGGTTAAGGACTTACCTACACCGTCGATATCCATCAATTTGGCGTGGAGTATAATCTATTCCGTCCCACGCCGTAGAAGGTATTACCCTAGAAGCAATGACTTAAAAAAAAAAAAATTGAAAAAAATTGAAAAACCTCTAAATTTCAAAAACACGATTCCCCAAAAAACTGTATTAATTTAAAATTGCTCGATTTAAGAAAATCATTTTTGGAATTTCAACTCAGCGGACGAACTCATTGCGCTTCGCGAGAAAACACTTCGTTACGCTTGACGGTTTCGGCTGCAATGAAATTGTTAAAAAAATTCTCGGAATATCAGCTGCAGTTTTTCTACACAACGCCGCAGGGGCCGTAGGCCTGAATGAAATGCTGCGTTCAACTGAAATTTTAAGTTTGTTTCTGTACAGGGCCGGATTTACCTAGGTACTTGCCGCCCATAATGGGCCGCCTGTATTTTGCCGCCCCCTTCTCATTCGTTTTGAAACATCAATAAAAACCGGGAGGCTGTAAACTGCCACCCATTTCCTGGAAACATGGACAACTGCCCCCCGTATATATTTGAAAACTGCCACCCGACTTGACAACTGCCCCCCGTGTAAATTTGACAACTGCNAGTGACAAGTCACCTTTCTTCGCTTACTGTAATGGGTTTGACTTTTCGAACAAAAAATTTCCCCGAAAACTATTTCAAATTATGTTTTTGCACCATCTGGTATATCTGGAATTATTGGAGATTTTCACCAAAATGTGTCAAGGAAATTCATTTTTTAAATTCTGTGGCAACCCTGTGATGAAGTTATGAGGGAAGTAAGATTTTGGATCCCTATTTCATCGGAAAATGCGGGAGTGAAATACGAATTATATCGACGGTGTAAGTCCGCCACTACGTATCTTGGTTTGCAACGTAGCAGATTTCCTATCACACTTCATTTTTCAAATTGAAAAGTACTCAACAGCAATTCTGAAAAACGCCCGTGATTTTTCTTCTCGTTGCGAAGAAAATTCTGCGAACATTTCCAGGGACGATGTCGATTTGCTCTCTTTTAAAAATAAAAAAGGAATAAAATAGGAATGGAGATTTTCAAACACCGCAAACGAGATACGTGGTTAAGGACTTACCTACACCGTCGATATCCATCAATTTGGCGTGGAGTATAATCTATTCCGCCCCACGCCGTAGAAGGTATTACCCTAGAAGCAATGACTTAAAATAAAAAAAAAAATTGAAAAATTGAAAACCTCTAAATTTCAAAAACACGACTCCCAAAAAAACTGTATTAATTTAAAATTGCTCGATTTAAGAAAATCATGTTTGGGATTCCAACTCAGCGGGCGAACTCATTGCGCTTCGCGAGAAATACCTTCGTTACGCTTGACGCTTTCGGCTGCACTGTAATTGTTAAAAAAATTCNCTACTTCTCCTGGCTTGAGATTCACAATCAGTCTTCCCATAATACCGCTTCGACCCTCTGTGCGCCGAAATTCATGTGGGTGGCAGTTGTCAAATTTACACGGGTGGCAGTTTTCACTACCGGTGGCAGTTTTCAAATTTATACGGGTGGCAGTTTTCATACAAATTTCTTGAAAACTGCCACCCGGGTGGCAGTTTGCCGTCGCCCATAAAAACCATCAAGTAAACGTGCCGGAGGGGGGGAGGGGTGCATAAGGCGCGTTTACTCGTGCTGGACACATTTTTTGAGAAAGCCTTGTTAACACCATTAGCAAAAGTTCATGGAACTTTGCGCGAAAGTGAAGTTCCGTAAACCTATCTCTGTGTGGTCAAAGCCTTCCATTTATCAGAAATGAACGAAAAAATTATGAAAGAACAAACATAAATGTGGTTTAATGATTTTAACTTCCACCACCGCGCCGCGCAGACCACACTGTGTTCGCCGCAATGCGTGAAGTATTCCTACAGTGTTGTAGGCGCTGTGCGTTTCGAGCCGACCGCTGCTGAGCGTTTCACGCCGACCGCTGCTGAGCGCAGTGTGTTTGACGCAATGCGTGAAGTATTCACGCAGGCTTGTAGGCGCTATGCGTTTCACGCTGACCGCAGTGACCGCACTGTGTTTGTCGCCATGCGTGAAGTATTCAGGCAGTCTTGTAGGCGCTAATATGTGTTCCATGCCGACCGCCGCGCCGCGCCGAGGGCTTCTGCTTTTCATCTCAAGTCCTCGTCATCATTTCTTTCTAAGCCAAATTGCGTGTTCGGTTTCTCTCTTAACTCGACTAATTAAAGGTGCTGTCTCTTGTATTACTGAAAGACGACAAAATTAGAAATTACGACACTCTCAGGAAATGAGAGATTTTGTCGCCTTTTCTCGTTTGTAATTTTTTTTTTTCTATATCCGATTTTTTTAATGCCTACATTACAAACATTGCCGCCCCGTAGATTACCCGCCATGGGCCGCGGCCCATGTGGCCACCCCCTAAATCCGGCCCTGTTTCTGTATAAACTTCCATTTTAGTAACATTAGCATTACATTTCGCAATGAGGAACCACTATTTCTGGCCCTTTTTAGAAACAACATACATGCAATTGGTGTCCCTATGCAGATATGTGTTTTTATGGAAGAGCTAGAGATAGTGGTTCCTTATTGCAAAAATGTAATCCATTTCATCGACCTGCTCACGTATTCAATACTGCCGTGCTTAGGAAGAACGCCTTATGACCATTCGAGAGTTGCTGAATTTCCTCAGATAAAACATGTGTTTGCGAGAAAAGTGTTGCATAGTTTCCCTTCAAATTTTCAGATATTTTAGATAAAATTGAGAACAAAATTGTCGGAAATTTTTTTTTTTAAAAAAAAGGTTCACAATTCTTCGGGTAAATTTGGCTTTTATTGAAGGAAATATGGCAACATCTGAAGGCTCATATCGACGGTGAAACTACCAAACCACGTATCTCGGTTTGCGACGTCGCAGACTTCCTGTCATACTTTATTTTTTAAATAGAAAACTACTCAACGTCAATTCGTGAAAACTTCCGTGATTTTTCCTCTTTGTGCGGAGAAAAATCTGTGAAAATTGTAAGGAATGATATTGATTTGGTCTCCTTCAAAAAAATAAAATGTGAGTGGAGATTTTTAAACACCGCAAACGAGATACGTGGTCTGGTAGTTTCACCGTCGATATGGCGTTTTTCCTTAGCACGGCAGAATGAAGGGCGAAAAAACCCCCGATTTAGCGGAGGTTTTTTCTGCTTAGAGGTCGAAGGCAGAATTCGTCAATGATTTCCTTGCGAGAAATTAAGTGTTCGCGGATTTTCTAAGCCACCACAATCAATATTTGAGCGTATTTTAGGATTTTCAAAAACCGATTCGCAAGAATACCTCGCCACGCTTTTCGCAGGTGTGCTTACTTGACATCGATGACGCAAAAATGTTTGATGTTTTCTCTATATGTCTCTGTGTACTCCGGTATCAGGCAATCCTCCAGGTGACGGCAGTGCCCAGTTCTATTATTTGGAGCCGCGCATTCTTGAAAGTCAATAGCCTGTAAAAAAAAGAAAAAGGTTTCAAATATGATTTTCCTTTTTTCTTCCAAAAATGCTCAATAAACATTTCGTACAAACATGTCCAGTAAAATTTCGGTGGGGAGGAGGGATTAATAGTAAGTGAAATATATATAGATGGAAACAAAAATGTTAGAACGCCGTGACTGAGGTATGCCATGTCATGGCAAGGTAAGTATTTTCGAAGTTTGGCCGCAGGCATGCAGCGGCAAATTTAGTTTTCCAGCACTAAAATTGTGTAATTTTTCATCAAAATGTTTCCAAATTTAAACGATAAACGGCTTCCCGCGAATTCGAATTTTCGACTAATTTAACGTCTAAAGCCTGTGTCTTATTATCAAAATACCTACTCCATCAAAATGTCAAGGTAAAATGTTGTGATTGGTCCGAGTCATCTAATAAGCCAATCTTAACATCGGACCTTGATATTGATGGCTAGCTTTGATAGTGTGACACAGGCTTGAGGTATCTCAAAAAGTCAACGCTTTGCATAACTAGGAGTGCTGAGGAGCGCGCGATGTGAATCACGTAGAGCATTGAGTTTCCATGAGCGGATGGTTTGTATTCACGCATCAGGAATCATTTAATATCTTTGTAAGAAGTTGATTTTGGTAATTTTTGTTGTGCGCATCGTGTTCTACGTGAAATTTTGGTGAAGAAACATAAATCAGAATGCTGAAACTCGTACCTTGTCTAGTGGTCCGTTCTGTAGGATCGCAGTGCCACTATTATTACCTCCTTTGTTCATTGCAATCACCCGCTTAATTCCGTACCAATAGAATTGCTCCGATTCCCTTTGCCTCCTTTGTCTATCGCTTTGTCTATCAATTTCAATAATCAGCCCGAAACTTGATAATTCTTATATGCGCTCTAAGGGGAGTGAACCAAGTCCCGCCACGGCGAGGAGTCAGATTAATCCGCGACTACTTTTCTATCCATGCGTTAAGGTCTCCCGATATATCCCCAGAACCAGTGGCGATTCTTGAAAGTTGGGAACACCGTATTTTCTCCATTTAAGTGTATGTGAAGCAATCGATTCTGCCTCACCGAAAATCGATATTTTTAGTGGATTTAAATGGAGAAAAACAGTGTTGCCAACTTGCAAAATCGCCACTGTCCGTATAATCAATGAGGAAGGGTGTAAAAAAAAAAAAATGTCAAACTTATTTTTTATTAGATACATTGTGGTCATCGCTCTGAAATTATTTCATAATCATATCTTCTATCTTATTTTCTTTTTTGAAACATCAAAGTACCCCCCTCTCTCTCTCTCTCTTCCTTCTCGATTTTGAAAAATATTCCTCACCTGCGCTTGACGTTTTCTGACGTCACCGCGGACGCTGTCTCTCGCTGTCTCTTCGTCACCAAGCTCTTCGATTTTAACTGCGGAAAACAATTTTTTGAAATATTTTATCATGGAACAAATAACAACAAAAACAAACTTCCAATAAAAGGGACACCATGTACAAGTATCACACGCCGTGGCGATACTTGAATGTTGGCATCACTGTTTTTCTTCCATTTATATGTATGTAAAATAATCGATTCTTGACGAGGCAGCTTGCCGCATGTAAAATCGATATTTTTGATGGATTTAAATGAAGGAAAAACAGTGCTGCCAACTTGCAAAGTTGTCACATATCAATTTTTCTTCTTTAAAAGCAAATCTTCTTTAAAGCTTGTCATCTTTTAACCAGCCGTGCCTTTTTCCATAATTTGATCTTTAGGCAGGGAAATTTTTCAATTTGAATAATAGAGAATTTGCAGGTGTCTTAAATTCTTGAATTTCATGTCTAAAATGGAACTGCTAAGAAAACTGAGCACGACGACATCCTTGGCTTCTAAATTGAACACCTATTGGAGGAAACATGACAAAATAACTTAATCTACCAAAATATATGAGCTTCAGTGGAAAATGCCGCCAAATGACATAATAAGGCGGCACATTCTCTCACTTTTAAAACTATTTTTCTCAGATTTCCCATTTCACAAAAAAATTATGAAAAATACTGCGCGAACCTAGCTCATTAACCACTCTCAAATGAAGCAATGAAAGGATGTGTCCCATTAAGGAGGGTATTTTGGCCCTATAACTTCGGTCGAAAATTGAAACAGCTTAGAATAATGTCATGTATGGTCAAATCGACTCTTAATCATCTACCTTGTGAGAACTTGTCCTTATTTCAGGTGGTTTTCAAAGGTTTCTGCCTGATTTACCAGCGCAAAGTAGTGAAGTTTTGCAGTTTTCTCGAATAATTGCTCATTTTCGGTCCTAAATTAGATTGTTTATGTATGAATACGAGGGACTACCACTCTCTCCTTTGAATATGTTGTAATGGGTGTACTGAAGATTAACATATTCCAATAGGAAAGTGGTAGTCTCTCGTATTCATACATAAACAATCTAATTTAGGACCGAAAATGAGCAATTATTCGAGAAAACTCCAAAACTTCACTACTTTGCGCTGGTCAATCAGGCAGAAACCTTTGAAAACCACCTGAAATAAGGACAAGTTCGCACAGGGTAGATGATTAAGAGTCGATTTGACCATACATGACATTATTCTAAGCTATTTCAATTTTCGAGCAAAGTTAGGGCCAAAATACCCTCCATAATGGGACACATCCTTTTTGTGTGCAAACTTTCCATTCGCGAAAACTCATTTTATTTGAACGTATACTTTTTTTAATTTTTTGTTTATTTTTAAAAGAAAAAATCGGAAAGCTGCAGGAAAACTTACAGTTTTGCGATGGGCGTGTCGGCGGGAGGGTGGCGGAGAGGAGGGGCAAGAAACAGAGCCCAAAAAGGAGATGCATGACACCTGGATCTCGGCGCTCGAGACCCGCGTGGACTGATGGACTGGTTGTTCGCACCGCGGAATCACAGCTATCAGCAGCACAATACCCGGCCGACTGATTCAGGACTGATTACCCGGTTTACCTTCACCATGCTCCCTCCCTCGCCCTCGATGAGCCTCGCGACCTATCGAGTATCGAAATCGACCCTCGGCCTACGCTGCGCTATCCCGGGGGTCGAAACTAGAATTTCGAGAGGTCGATGTATCTGCAGCTCCGTCGCAGGATTACAATGTTCTGATGTGTCACGGATGAGGCAGTCTTCGAAGCTTTTTCTCTAATCATTTTTCGTGGCTCCAAAAGCGCCTCGATAGTTTCACGTCTTACTAGGGTCGTGGAATATTGTTAGAATTAATTTTAAAATTTTGCACGAGAGCATTTGTAGGTGTACGCCGTTCCTCGAAAGGGGACCATGGGCGTACGAAGGGGGGCTTGCCCCCCTAGAATTGATAATAGTATAATCTGCCCCCCCCCCCCGAAATTGTGGATGATGGGAAAAAAACTTCATCGAGGGTGATTACCTCTCGTAATATTGAGTCTTACATGAAAACACTGTGTTCATTCAATTATTATTTTCTCAAATTTTCATCACGAAAGCCTCAAAATGCGTCCAGATAGATTTAAAATTCCAAAATTTTTCCAGTTGTTTTGAATGCAACAATTTGAAAGTATTTTGAGCTGATATTAAAACAAAGCGTCATTATTCTGCAGAAATTGATGGAAAAACTCCGTCGTGGAAGCATCAAAATGCGTCCAATTAAATAGAATTACAATTTTATAAAATTTCCCAGGGAATACCCCTCCCCCTCCCCCAGCAAAATGACCTAGATACGTCTATGAAGGGAACCAAGTGTAATCAGCTGCCTTAAAATTACATTAGAATTTTATCCTCTACTACAAAATACTCTAGTCTTCATACAAAAGAAAAGCTAAAAAGGTTTTTTTTAAAAAGACATTTTGGGAATTTGCTTTATTCTGCATACCGCAGAGAAAATTCACTGGATCCTGCAAACGATTCGGTAAGACCGTTCCTTGTAGATGAATAAATTGTCAAATAAAATTTGGAATTTGCGATGTCACTTGGTTCCACTGAGAGAGACACTGCTCTAATGTTCATTAACTTATTCATTCAATAACTTATTTGCAATAAATGTTCCTACTAGTACTCTTCAGCTGCAGGTAATTTCAGGAAACAGGGTATTTTTATCGTCTCCAAATAATCAAGTATGCAATTTTCCAAAGTGATGAAAGAATATACACGCTTATGCCATTTTCAAGGTATGAGAATATGAGCAAAACAAAAAAAAATAAAAAAAATTCGTCCGTGTTAAAGAGATCTCTTGGGCATGGATAGTTGCTCTAAAAATCATGCTCAGGATACAACAGATACTCACATCCTACGCCTGTATGCAATTTTTCAGCCACAGAGATATCTTTGTAGTATAAACGAAGAATTGAAAGCACTCTGCCGTTTGAGATCCTCTTAGAAAAGCCCACCGTTGTTGCGTTGGCGCCGCACTGCGCGCCGGAACAGACAAAACGCCTTCAGTCCCGTGCGTATGCAACACGGACATCCATAGAGCCCGAATAGTTGCATCCGGAAGTTAATCTAGGTGTTCGTATATCATTCGATTGACATTTACTGAGGAGCTTGGAAGAAAAGGCGCGTAAGTGCAGTTTTAAACAAAAATTGACTTGCAGTGATTTCAAATAAATTCAGGTTTGAAATAAAATCTGTGAAAACTTCCCCGGTTTAATTCAATTTTTAAACATGAAATTGTGAGTTTGAACTCTCTCTACGCTATAAGGCTTCGTATAATTTAGAAACTTTAAACACGTTTTTCTCGAAATAGCAATTACTGCACTTATGCGCCTTGTCCTCCAAGCTCCTCAACTGAGGGCGCCTCGCTTGTTTTTCATGCACCGTAACTTAATTCCAGCGTTACCCATTATGCCGATGATGTAAATTACTAATTTTTATCGCGACATTGTCAAATTTCCGAAAAATACTTCGATTATTTAAATATGTTACAACGTTGCCATCTTTAAAATATGAGCTGCGCCCTTACCTTCTCTGACCAAAGAGATTCGACGAATGCAGCACAGTCGTTTCACGGTCGCTTCAGGCAAATTCCAGTGTGCATTTCAACATATTTGTAGTTTTTTTTAGCTGAAAAGTTGGGAAAAGCCCGGTCAGAAATGTTAATCAACCTGCAGTTGATACAGAGCCTCGTGAGGTAGGACCCAAAGCTTGTAGATAATATAGACTGCGCTAAGCAGAAAGGAACCAAGCCACATCAGCCATGGCCAAATTTAATTTGGCGATTTAACTTTTTACACGAATACGATTTTGCGGATTTTTTGGGCAATTTTCAGTGAATTTTCTGCATTGTTCGAAGCAAATTCCTTCTTAAAATTTCCAAAAGAATTCGCTTGAATGTTCTCTCCCAAAAGAATTAAATTGCCTACTTAAATTTGGCAATAGCTGATGTGGCTTGGTTCCTTTCTGCTAAACGCGGTCCATATGTCTTACGTTACTGATTGCTTCAGGATCATCGAATCGGAACTCATAAAAAAGAGGGGCCCATGTGGACCGCGTTTGTAGCAGAAAGAAACTAAGCAACGTCAGCTATTGCGCCAAAATTAATGGAACAATTGAATTTTTCATGAGAAAACTTTGTGCGGATTCGTTTAAAATTGTTAAGGAGTTCGCTTGGTACAATGCAGAAAATTCACTCCAATTTTCAAAAAAAAAAAAAAATCCCGCACAACCGTGTTTATGTTAGAAATGAAATTGTCCAATTTTTGATAACTAGGTTTACACCTCGGCAGGCGCAGTATAGGCAGTATTGGCACAGCGGATCGTGTGTGGTTTGTCAAAAGTGTAGTGTTTGAAGTATTATCACGCTCTTGAAGGCGCTATCAATGGTGCACCGGACAAGCCTTTCATTCCGCGATAATTCGAATTCGGGGCGTCGGCAAATAAAATTGTAGCAGAAAGGAACCAAGCCGTATCATCTATTGCCAAATTTGACCGGGCAATTTCATTTTTTACAAGAGAACGTTTGTGCGAATGCCTTTGAAAATATCAAGGAATTTGCTTCGTACTATGCAGAAAATTCACTGAAATTCGATCGCAAAACAATAAATCCGCACAACCGTTTTCATGTAAGACACGAAATTGCCCAATACCATTTATGAAAACATCTGATATGGCTTGGTTCCTTTCTGCTTAACGCGGTCCATGTGTCTGGCGCTCAAGAGGCACCGATGTGAGACTATGTGAGACTACACTTTCACAGATAAAACCGCTCAAAATCATGATGGGCAAGTATGCGTTTGAATATTGATGCAGCATATCCAGCGTCTGGATTCTTGAATTGTTATCAAATGACCTCATTGATTGATAAAAAGAACGCACTATTCTACTGCCGTGCTAAGATAAAACGCCGTATGAGCCATCAGGCATTGCCAAATTCCTTTTCGTAAATCACGAATTTACGGGAAAATTTGTGAATATTTTCCTTCCAATTTTTCAGATAATTGTATTCGCAACTTCACCGAAAGTTCCTGAAAATTTCTAGGAAAAATATGCATGGCTTTCCTCAAAAATAAACATTTTATCCTCAGCACGGCAGTCTAAGTCGCAGTCTTCTTACTCCAGCGTTGAAGTCTCCGTATGCAACGGCCGAAAATTAATAGCCATTCGTGACAACAGTTACCACTAAATGTTCTAACACAAAATAATATTCACGTATTCAGTCTTTTTATATAAACGGCGATAGCCAATTAATCAGTTAGCCATAAGCTGATAACGGAACAGTTTGAAATGAACCTATTTTTCATAAAAGTCGGAATTTAATGGACACTTTTTACGTAAAATTTCACCTTTTTAAATTTCACGAAATTTTGCCACCTTGCGTCGCCGACTAATGTTCTATCTGATAATTTCTAAATATTCTTCTAACTTTTACTCTGTGCTCAGCCCCCCCCCCCNCGTGGCTGTTGAGAAAAGTTGTAAAAAACTCGTAAATTTTAAGAGATCTCTTAAAATTTACTTTAAAACCACTTGAAAATTACGTAAAAAAACTCTTGAAATATTCGTACGAGGAAACCCTCTTTGGAGCTTTTTTACATAAATCCGAAGAAAAATTTTAAGTAAATTTTAAGTACATTTTTTAACTTTTTTTTTAACTTCCTGCGGGCAAAAACGAGGAAAAAAATTGTGAACAGAAAAGTATAAAAAGAAAAGTTGCAGCCCATAAAAATTGAGGATATAGTTAATTGATTCTTACCTAAATTTTACGTTTTCTTTTAATTAAAATAACACTATTTTTTACTTAATAGAATTCCCGAAAAGGGTTGCCTAAAACGAGTATTTTAAGAGTTCCTTTACTTAAAATGTACAAACTCTTCAAATTTACAAGTTTTTTACATTTTTTTGGACAACTTTTTGCAGAACTTTTTTTAAGAGCCATTGCTACTAGGGATACCAGGAAAGAAGAACCGTTGCTCGTACACATGTTGACATTTACGTGGTAGTATCGATGGCTAAAGTTCAAAACCGCGTGCCTCCATTGGGCGGCTCCAAAACGTCCGCTCTATTTTATTGTTTCAAAGAGAAACAAACCAACTTACTTCATTACTTGGAATTTTTTCGGAATATTCTGCTGATGGAGAAGAAAAATCAAGGAGGTTTTCAAAGAATTACGTTGACTGGTCTTTCAAAGAAAAAATGAAGTGTGGCAGAAAGTCTAAAACGTCGCAAACGGAGATACGCGGTTCCGAACTTTGCAATATATCGATTGATCTGCCATTGAAACCCATGGGAAAGGATCGATAGACAGGGTGCTCGCAGCGAACACCTTAATAATCGATTCTTTACCATAGCTTCAAATGGAGAAATATCTATAATCGATCATTCACGCCTCGCCAATGTTCAGCCGTGCTAAGGAAGAACGCCGTATGAACATTCAAGAGTTGCCAAATTTCCTCCGATAAAATGTTTATTTTTGAGGAACGCTATGGATATTTTGCCTTTAAATTTTCAGAAACTTTTGGTGAAATTGTAAACAAAATTAGCTGAAAAATTGGAAAGAAAATATCCACAAGTTTACCAGGAAATTCGTGTTTTATCGAAGGAAATTTGGCAACGTCTGAAGGTTTATACGGCGTTTTTCCTTAGCACGGCAGTGTTGGCCATCGATATGTTTCATTCACCAGCATGGTTTTTCGCAACGTTAGCTCTGCTGCAGTCTGCAGTGGTATCGGGAATAGTTATAATACATATTTGTTTTTATACTGCTAATAAAACCATAATTTTAGGGAAATTTTTGCAACATCCCCGTGATAACCCCCTCCACATTTTAGACGAATTTTTATCTTTTTACTTTTACTCGAGCTCCATGGCAATGTTTTAAAATATGCGTTACAGACTTATGTGATAAGAACTGGCACTGTGCGGCCTTACATTGCAGACGCCTTCAAATGAGTACACACGCAACAAGTTCTACAGATCTCATTTAAGTGGGCTATTCGGACGAGTAATCCCAATTCCCAATGCTGTCAAGTGTTCCTCGATGAAAATCGAGGCAAGTTACGAATGATTTTCTTTGTTTAACTTTTTAAATACTTCATATCTAATTGAGATTAAAATGCTCAAATAAATTAGAAGGAAACGACTCATGTGTCAAGAACGATTTGTGTTTCATCAGAGATAGTTCATGCAACCTCAAACATAAAATATCAGGCACCCTTCCAGCACTTTCCAAGGCCGCGCAAACCATGCAGAGGAAATTTATTAATGGATGAAGGACAATAGAGTGATCTTTTTTGAAGAATTGTAATGGACCACTAGACAAGGTACGAATTCAAGCATTCTGATACATGTTTCTTAACCAGAATTTCACGTAGAACACGATTTGCGCAACGAAAACTAATGAAACAAACTCCAAACGAAAATATTAACGTTTTTATGTCACATTGGTTACGAGGGATTTGAACTGCCCGCTCACAAGAAACTCAAAGCTCTACTTGAGTCAAATCGCGCACTACAACGGTTTCAACAAGCTTCTCAATCGAGTAATGTTCATTTCCCATCATGTGTTGTTCAAACTATAAGCAATTTGCTACAGCTGAACCAAAGCGTCAAGATTGAGGTTGTCAGATTTTTACATCGCAGAGACTGTCATGATAACGTTTAGCGCGCGATGTGAATCACGCAGAGCATTGAGTTTTCATGAGTGGGTGGTTTGAATTCACGCATCAATAATCATTAAATATCTTAGTTAGGAGTTGATTTCGGTAATTTTCGTTATGCGCGTCGTATTCTACGTGAAATTTTGGTTAAGAATCATGTATCAGAATGCTGAAATTCGTACCTTGTCTAGTGGTCCATTGTGGCTGTATGAGCTTGTTAAGTCCTTGACTACAGTCCAAAATAAAAACCCAGAACCTTTCTGGGGGTTCTCATCAGTACTGGCTGCACTGGCCGTCTGGACATTATAAAATAGAAACTCACAAGACAGATTTCCCTAAAAAAAGGTTGCATACAAAATGCGTATAACACAGTGGCAAGGTGTGAAATCAACTATCAATATTTCCTCATTTGAAACTATGGTGAATAATAGATTATTAATGTGTGTGAAAACACCCTGTTTATCGATTCTTTTCCATAGGTTCAAATAACAGATAAATCTGTAATAACAGAACAGTGCAACAAAAAAATGAATATGAAATTACAATTTCATTCAATCAAACTGCAATTTCACCAAAACGATCGATCGTTTTCATTACGGGACTAAAGTTATGGGACTAAAAAGTATACAGTTTCACCATTCGCATGTTTCCGGACATTAGCCAAAGCTTTTTACAGTTTAACGTAGCAGCTTCAGAGGATGAAGACCCGCAAAGAAAAGAAGAAAAAAAGCTTACACTAATTTAACAAGTAATAAAAATTTATTTAGACCATTATGTACTTTTCAGCTCATAGGGAGGGGGAGATAGATTTTATAAAAAATGCTTGATGAGGGATACAAAGAACATGTGATCAGTAATAACCCAGTTACATATAATGACTCCTGTCATTCTGCGGGTAGAAAAAAAGCAAATGCATACATAAAGGTAAAAGTTAAAACTAAACTACAAACTACAGGAATTGATGTTCAGTATTTAGTAATTAACACAGGTACTACATCTTTTTCGGGGTGTAGAAGGAGGAAGTCCCTGCTGGGATGGACAGATGGAGAGGTGTAATTGTAAAACCTAAAAAAACGATAATTTACAATTTTTACTTCAAATTAAAATAGCAGATTGCTGTGAAGAGTCTTGACACGCTGATGGGACTACCTAATATATAGTTGTTTGAACAGGTAATTGGCGCATTAGTGGGACTGGGTATACAGTTGATAAGATAACAGCCTCTCGTTTCTTGCTGAAGTTCAGGCCTTATCAGCAGTATGATAGTTGAACTTTACATTCACCGATAAAAGACTACTAAATGCTCTTTTCACTGGGGCAGATAAAAATTGAGATGTTCTTTGTAACAATAAAAACAAACGAGACTAAAGAGGGAAAGTAATAAAGTAGGTACTTCAGAAAACTGTAGAGTATTGACTTGTTTTAAACCGTTAATAGTATGAGGTGCATCTAATCTGCACTAGGTAAAACAAGAGATTATCACAGAAATTTTGAGACCGGTTCAGTTTTTTTAAAATTCTTTTGTAGTTCAAAGGGGAAAAATCAGGGGATTCTAGGGATTACTGACCTAACTCCGAAGAAGTTACACTCGATTTACCAATCTAACTAATTACAATATTAAGAAAAGGACAAGCAAGTAAATTATTTTTTTATGGGACGATCTCAACATTACATGTAGTCGAACATCTCAACATGGAACTAATCACAAACTGTGTGTCATTTAATGAGCAATATAACAGATTTACGCGAGGGCGCTCAGTGATATTGGGAGTAATGAATATAGGACTATTACAAAAAAAATCAATTGAGAAAAAGAAAACTATAGACAACTTAAACCCTTAATTTTTAACCCTACTTGCTTTTCTTTGACAGCACTAGAGGGCCTACGTTATCACCAGTTTCTTTGTTGTGAGGTCCGTGAGCACCATCGCATAGGGGGAATTTCTTACTACGCCAACATCGGCAAAATGCAGTTTGTTCTCCAAGGTCTTCTATGTTAAGACAGTCAACTACTTTTGATGAGTCTTTCTTTATACTGGGATTAATTGTCTGAAACAAAATAATTTAGGCATTAGATTGATGATTTTACAGCCATTGTTAGGAGACTCCTTGATTTATAACAACAACAAAAAAACATCTTATTTTCTATCTTAACTCAGAGAGTCCCGCAAATATTTTTAGTCAAACGGCATGCAGAATAAAACCTTCTTTTGAGGGTAATGCATTCGAGTTTAAAATACCCTAACACCGTTGGTGAATAATTTTTACGAACACTGTGAACAAAGGTTCCACGTATTACCTTCGAGAGGGCTGGAAAATGTATCAAATTCCTATTTTTAAACCTCAATTAAGGGGCTTGGAGGACAAAACACATAAAGTAAAGTTTTTTTTAAAAAATTGAGATATTAATGATTTCGAGTAAAACTAGGCTTAATGAGAAAATTTCGCTCCCAAATTTAAATTTTTAGGGCATCAAAAAGTCAGTTTGAACTTTCTTTTAGCCATAAGGATCCATGTAATTTCGAAAATTTAAACATGTATTTCTGAAAGTAGCAAAAATTGCACTCATGCGCCTTGTCTTCCAAGCCCCTCAATTGGAATGTTCATTGTAAATGACACAGAACGATGGAATAAAGAGGGAATAAAACAGAAATGCAACATTTCAAAGTGCAGATTCTTCTACTTTATATGGCACTCTTGCCTTGCAGCAAAATTTCAGATCTACCTAACAAAAGAAAATTCCCGTTAAAAAATCCCTATTGAAATCTGCTCCACTGCCACTGCCCTACGTTTGCAGAGAACTGCAAATTGCCAGGTCATGCCTTTTTGTTTGCCCTCGACGGATTGTAAGACTCAAAATATACATCTCAATAGTGGCGTTTTAATTATAATGACACATATTTTACGATGGAAATCTGCTGAAGCTTCATGATGACCTCCTAAGTAAACACAACTGACTTTTAAACGCTGGTACCAATTTCTCCAAAAAAGCACATAGAAAGATTTAATTTGGAGCCTAGGTCTTAAAAAACATCATACCTAAGAAGAACAATCTTTTATTGATATGTTCCTTGTAGATTTTATGATATCTTTTGAAGTTAAGCTTCTGAATTCATACTCAGGAAAACGGATCAAACTGTGTGGTTTAAAATTTTCATGCAGAGAAGTAAGCTCAAAAAAGTTGCCATGAATTAAAACTCATTAGTTTAGAGGCAGAGTCCACGCAGAATGAGTTCAGGAGAAGATTATGTGAAGTCAATTTAGTATGAAAAATAACTGGAAGATTCAAGATGATCTGTTGCAGTCTAAAAGTTCGTTAACTTAATTGGACCATGTTTAGCAGAAAGGAACCAAGCCACATCAGCAATTTACTTTTTTACAAGGGAACGTTTGTAAGGTTGCCTTTGACAATTTTGAGGAATTCGCTTTAAGGAATGCAAAAAACTCACTAAAATGGCACAACCATTTTCATGTAAAAAATTAAAATTTCCAATTAAATTTGGCAATAGCTACTGTGGCTTGGTTCCTTCCTGTTTAACGCGGTCCAATTGGCAAGGACTCTCAATTTTTGTCATCACGGATTGAAATATAAATTCAAACAACAAAACTGCTGTCTCTGTTTGAGTATTAATCCTGGTGCGAGCTCTAACTCAAGAGCTTTTTCTGTGAAAATCAGCGAGTAAGAAGGCGTATCTCAACTACATAGAGCCCTGGAAAAGAGGTACTCAAAAAATCAAGACTTACAGAGTTTGGCTTCAGAAGTTTGTAGGCAGCATAGGAGCTACCTCCGACAAAGGCGAAGAAAGGTATCAATTTACCCCAGTCCTTAACTGCAAGAAAAATATAGGCAGATTAGTATTGAGCATGAAAGAAAGAGTGGTAAAAAAACACAGGGGTAGTTACTTCCATCTTAGTCAAACACAGCTTTTCAACATGTGCTAGGTTACATAACTTTTTAAGCAGTAAGTAAATCAGGATAAGATCTGATATGGCGATGGATGGGAGGATCTAAGAATTGTTGCTAATTCGGAAACATTCAGCGATAAATATGTAGAAACAGGAGGGAGAATAAGTATGTATTATTTCAGCCAAGATATAGTTTAGTAAGTTTCTGTTTCGAGCACTTGTCATAGAAACAGAGAAATTTTCAGCAGGTTTGGAATTTCACGCCTGTTGGGTCACAAGAGGCATGACTGTGCTTGCAAAGGATGATGAATCCAATACCACCCATTCTAGGTAAATGGTGGAATTGTAACGCTACATGGCGGGCACATTGTAATGACGCAACCTTAGAAAACTACGAAGCCCAAGACTTGAAAATCTGAAATGTGGATGTTATTCATGGTTAGGAGTTTCAAGTCCGTACAAAATTTCCCAACACACTGCGATATTCGGTGGAAAAGGATGAATTCTGATCAATAACAATGAAGTAGAGAAGCAAGAAGTGTGACCTCAATGCTGAATTGATACTCACTCCCTAGATAGAACCAGCCTCCAAGAGTTGACGGTATTGGCAAATCAACCAGGTAATTTGGGATGGAAACTTTCACTATGTGCGCGACCGGTTGCATGATGGAAAATTAATATTAATCTCGGAAACTAAAATTGTCACGGCACTTCACTTGGACGATGTGACTCCAAAATTTTGAGGTTAGAGGATAGAAAAGCAAAAGCTCAAAGAGCTGATAAGGCGACGGACGAGTTGCGTATCTCCGTGCTCCTGGAACTTATGCAATCCAGTACATTTTTCTGAACAGGACGGAGGGGAAAGGTTGTTGATGGCGTTGATCATTTCCGTCATACTTAGTATAATTGCTATTTAAATTTTTTGTAGGATCATGGCGATCTATAGTTTCAATTTTTCCATGATGTGAAGGAATAAAATTATGGAGAATTACCTAAATTTTGAGGCAAAGCGTATTAGCTACGTAAGCTGGTGCTACTACCTAACGGTGATTGAACGAACTAATGTACATTCACAAAAATGGCGCATGCGCAGTAGCGCTTACCGTAGCTTACGAAATCCACCACCAGTCCTTCGGCGCTGCTGTTGCAACATCTTGCTCCCACAATTCAGTGCAATTTTCGCTTGCAGAGGAAGCACGCGTGCCGCGTTCGTGAATCGGGCAAATTTTGTGTTTTCCATCTCTGTAATGAGTGTTGTTATTATCGACATGTTTTGCAAATTATGAAATTTTTTGTGCCAAATTCGAGCGTGGTGAATGAAAGTGCGTGCTTATCGTGGGGCTTTGCGTCGACATGGCGTAAAGGCGATGTGTGTTGTTTATTATTGTAGTGTTTTCAAGTGTTGTTCATGACCTGTGGTCTGTGAAACATACTACTTTCTCTGCCTTCGGCTGGATGCTTCTTTTCCCTTTGGATTTCACAAGCTTGCTTCTGGCCCTCTTTTGATCTGCGTTTCAAAAATACACTCCAAATATGAGCACAATGATTAAGACCATTCCTGCGGATAAGGTAAAAGATACTTACGATCAGATGTTACACCCTTTGCCTAACCATATTTTCTTCCTGAAGACAGGTTTCATCCTGCCTCATTTCTGGTCTCATTTATCCTCCGTGAATCACTCGCACTCGCCTCAACTGTGATCAAGTCCTGTGCAATATTCTCGTCTGCCAAAATATTCATTTTTAAATCAGATTCATGGATTTTATATTTGAATGTGTTAGGACTGCAGTTCAATAACAACATAATTATGCACATGCACTTAGATTTACTCACCTTGTAGTCTGATGCAACGATTCCAAGGCCTGTATTTGTTCACCAATTGCAAGCATGTCTTTAAACTGCCTCTGCTGCCCTTCATATTACAATAGGACAACTTACTTACGGCTGCTAATAAGCGGATTGTAAAATCATTTCTCTCTACCTTGCGGGTATTGTGATAATGTTGAGATTTGTCAGTCCCTTATTGTGTAGAATGTGAGTAAACTCTGCCGGATCTCAATCTACTGAACTAGACGTTATGGTTTCTCCAACACATAGTAAATTCAAAGAAAGCTCTATTCCTTTCAATGTGATAAGATTAGCACAGAGGTGAAATAGCTGGTCGAGAAAACCTCTTAACTTACCATTCTTACTGCCCCCAAGCACATAAACATTAAGTATGATCCATTCTGTATGTTTTGATCCCGAAGACTAATGCATGGTGCCGAGATTATTAAAGGGTATTTTTCTTAGGATAGGACTGTGGAGGATTGTAATTGAATCAACAAGCTTCACTTTTTTACAGTCATGTGCAGTCCTAACCTCAGCTGCAATGGTGAGAGGCCAATTCATTGCGTTCCTTGCATTCTGTTGATGAAAAGGATCTCCTATCCATGAGAACCAACTCTCTCTTCCTGACCATTTTGTTTTGAGGAGCTAGCATAATAAGATACAATCCAGTATCACGGATGCAGTCTGAATAATTTCAGCTATTCCTTCATGAACATCCCCTAAATACAAGCTTTCAAAGAAATTACTTCTTTAATCAATTTAAGTTTGTTTAAATAGCATTCATTTTCAAATACCACTCATGAGAATTCTGCGCCAGAACCAAAGATGTTTAACTCCGCCTCATCATACCCTCAGGCTTTCCCATACTATTCTTTTTTTTAAGCTGCTGTGTTCTAAGGCCAGCACTTGTTTAAAAAGGCAACTACGTCATTTACCTTTTGCTGGGTCAGGCGTAGCATTCCTACATTATTTAATCTTGCTTACTTTGCTACATGAACTCAATTGTTTTAATAGTCATTTCTTACAAAGGATCAGTTGTCCAAGTTTTCTTGATCAGGGTTCACTTCATTTAATGCCTGCTGTTGTCCCTTAGTGCTGCTGAGATTGTGGGTGCTTTGAATACATCAAATTATAATTCAAGGAATGTTGCAGTTTTTCGTGTGAATCGTGAGCATTGACTTGCCAGTTTAAAATGGCCCATCTTGAATACTGTTGTTGTGCTAGGGTGTGGCTGTGGCTGTGGCATCCAAAGCAGCCACAGCTTAAATTTTTTTTCTTGATTAAATGCGAAATCATTGCTCTTACCTACAATGGTTGGTGAAGTAGGCAATATTCTTCTCATTTTGAATAAATTTTAGACTCTGAGTATGGTTTACAGTATGTTGGATTTGACTGCTTTTGATTTTTCTATGAATTCCAAGAGGAAGTAGAAGTAAATTTTAAAGTAAGTTTAAGCTATGACCTCAGATTTCCCACAGCCCATTTGCCTTGAAAGCTCTCAGCAACTTTTCATTCTTAAATTCAGTCCAATGTAAAGTATAATGAGCTTCAAAAAGAAGAAACTCGACCACTTTACCTGCAAACCAGTTTATTGAAATATCCATGTTACTTACAGGCTCATACATTAAACGTTTCTCATCCGAATCCTATTTTAATTCTCGTGGGGGTGTAAATTGTATCATTCCCTCCCCTGGATTCGGAGGGAAAAATAGTCGTTGGTACCCCTTACAATTTTGGAAAAGAAAAAATCGTGATCCTTGTATCCCCCTTTGTGAATGAGATAAGAAATTTTGCAACATCGCAAATGAGCAAGGTTTTCTCTCTCCATCAGTGTCACTTCAGTATGTACTCACATTTCTTCGTTTTTTTTTCGAAATTCCACCGTCCTCGTGAGTGACTTTAACTCGCGACTTGGGGCGAACTTTTTGTTAGTGGGCTAGTGTAACTCAAGATTTTATGAAATCGCGCTAAAGTTATCCCGTTTGAGACTACGAGTATCTTTATCGGGAGGTTTTTAGATCTGCGCTACGTATAAGAATTGAGAATGCCGAAAAATACACGGCGAAATACGGGAGCGCGTTAATTGTGCACACCTTTACTGAAGTTGCGAAAGCGCGCGATTTTAGCAAATTTCAATCAGGTTTGTTATCATTCGTATGAACACAATGTGCTCTAGATTTCATCTGAACATCGTTCATATTGAGTGGCGGGATTAAAAATTAGGTTACCCCTGGTGGGACTCGAACCCACAATCCCCGGTATAGGAGACCGATGCCTTATCCATTAGGCCACAGGGGCGGTTGGGATCGAGGTCAGAAAATTCCCATTATGATCAGTCACAACTTCAATTGGACTGAGTTAAGCAGAAAGGAACCAACCCACATTTTAGAAAAAATTGAGTTATGAGTGGTTTTGAACTCAACCACTGCTCTACCATCTATCGCCAAAAATTCAAAGTTTTTGTTGGAGCAAATTTTGCAGAAATTAAACTTGAAGTTTAACTTTTACATTGAGTCTTATGCAGGAGCTAAACTTTAAGCCTCTTTTTCTCGGTTCAATCCCGATGTGGCTTGGTTCCTTTCTGTTTAACTCCGTCCAATTAGAGGGCTAATCTCGTATTATTATTTTTTTTTTTTTTTTGTATCTTAATTTCGTTACGTTAATAAGGGGAAGGAAGGGGGGTCAGGGGGGCTCTGGTGGGCCCATGAAATTGGATGAAAATCTCAATTCAATTTTTCAATTTATTTATTTTCTTCAGTTTATAATGTACAAAAATAGTTACAATCAACTTTACTCAACCGTGTGTTTAACTCGTGTGGATGAGCCAGTTTTACATATTTGATTTTTTAAATTTTTAAAACAATTACAATGTTTAATACCATAAACAAATTTGTATCAAAATAGGTTACATTTGTTTTGTTCTTTTTAATTTATCTTTCTGGGTTAGATTTAATGGTTGACTAGGCCCTCGTTCTAATTTCATTTGCTTTCACGTACCAGCTCAAAAATTTTTATCACAGAAATGAGTTAGGCACAATTGGATTGCACTTTGCAGTAAGGAACCAGGAGAATTCCAGTGTCGCCATAGTTGCGCAACTTGAATCTTTTATCAGATCTAAGGTAGATTTTTTTTTTCTTTTCATTGCGTTACCACTTCACCCAACGTTTGGCAATTTTTCAGAACTTCGTTGCGTTTAAGAACACACCCCGCGGAATTTAACAAAAAATCTGCTTCTTCAGGAAGATGAGTTTGAAAATCTGATTTTCAGCGTTTCGTGTATTATGGACGGTCCCTTACTAATACAGGACATTATTCTGTCGTCTTATTGACGGCGGCTCCAATTAGCGCATGCATATTCTGTGTCCGTACCCCTTCCCGAAAAGTTTCATTGTGTGTAGCTCATAACCAGGAAGGGGGGGGTTGTACAAGGCTGATTGTACCTGTGATGAATGCCCGGCTCAGCGCCGCAGTGTCGTATTATTTGATCCAGTGTCGTGGCGTGCTTCGCGATCTATCGATTGATCTGCCATTCAAACCTATGGAAAAGGATCGATGAACGGGGTACACCCAAATAACCGATTCTTTACTACGACTTTAAATGGGGATTTATCGATTATCGATCTCCAAGGGCAGTATTTCAGGATGCTCGTGTCATCGCGGAAACAACAGGGATAATTCAGTCGCCAGAGACCGCATGAGAGAATTATTCTTTTCTTTCCTATTCTCCTAATTGAAAGTATAGTCTGCCGTGCTTAGGAAAAACGCCGCATGAGCCTTCAGGAGTTGCCGAATTTCTCCTGGCACATCACTAATTTCCAGGAAAATGTTTGAATATTTGTCTACCAATTCCTCAGATTACTTTGTTTGTAATTTGACCTACAACTTCTGAAACTTTCATGGGAGAATACTTTTAGTTTTCTGTAATATTTGTTTTTAAGTAACTGTCCCTCCAAATTTTCAAATAAATTTTTTCGCAATTTTACTTTCCTGAAGTTCCTGAAAATTTCAAGGAGAAATATTCATAACTTTCCCGCAAAGTAAACATTTTATCGGAGGAAATTTGGCAACTCTCGATTGTTCGTACGGAGTTCTTCCTTAGCAGGGCAGTATTAGGTTTTGACGAGGTTATTAGGCTGTCTTGCCTAACAATAACTCTCATAAAGTAGTGTCTTATTTTAATCTTTTATGTATCTCCACTAGAGAGCCTTGTCGTACTTTTATTTTCCTGGGTATCTAACCCTTTTTGTAGTCACCAACAGTAGTTTGCATAACTTCTTTTGTTATTCTTAGTTAATTCTTTAACAGTAGTTTTCAGTCAGGCTAATTTTTCCCAACTTGGATCCCCACGTTGGTTTTTTCACCCTGCTTTAACAAAGTAGTTTCTTTATTTCCCGATGAAGTGTCAACAGACGGTGCCGGGAACTTTATTAGATAGTTTATGACTTACAATTAGTTAAATTTTAAGACCTTTATTTCAATTGTGAACATATATTTATTTTTTTGTACAATGTAACAAACTTTCTAATAAAGTAATCTTAAAAAAAAAAAAAAAATGACCTAGCATGAAAATGAAAAATACACTTTTCATGTAATTGAAATAAGATCAGTCGATTTTTAATCATCCGGATGATTTCTAGGAGTCTTTCGGACGATTAGTGGCAATTTGACGATGAACGGAGGCGCCTTTCAATAAAATTTTCCGGCATTGGCGGATCCAGAAAATCGGCAACATTGTCTTCTCTCCATTTAAACCTATGAAAATGTATCGATTCTTGGAGGGGCTTGGTGCTCCGACAAGAATCGATTATTTAGCATAGGTTTAAATGGAGACAATTCGGTGTTGCCAAATTGCTGGATCCGCCTCTGTTTACCGGTCAGAAGCTTCTGAGCCCGTTGTCTCGAAACTTCACTTTTGCACTCACTGCTCTCTTCGCTATCACTGCAGACTGGTTCGAGTTAGAGTCCCTTTATACTGAGAGTCAAGACAATTCGGCTCATGGATGTCACAGACGGGAATAAAGATTACAGAAATTGGACGTTTTTCGGAATCTTTGATCGGCCCATTCTCAAATGCCTTTCTCTGTTCCTCCTCTCGTTCCGTTTGTTCCTTGCCGAACCCGTAAATCCCTGGTCCATTCCGGATTATGATCTTTGCAATCGGTGAAAATGTAATCTTTATTCCCGTTTGTGACACTCAGAGTCCCTTTATACTGAGAGTCAAGACAATTCGGCTCATGGATGTCACAGACGGGAATAAAGATTACAGAAATTGAACGTTTTTCGGAATCTTTGATCGGCCCATTCTCAAATGCCTTTCTCTGTTCCTCCTCTCGTTCCGTTTGTTCCTTGCCGAACCCGTAATTCCCTGGTCCATTCTAGATTATAATCTTTGCAATCGGTGAAAATGTAATCTTTATTCCCGTTTGTGACACTCAGAGTCCCTTTATACTGAGAGTCAAGACAACACCCCCTCATGGAGTCACAAGCGGGAATAAAGATTACAGAAATTGAACGTTTTTCGTAATCTTTGATGATCGGCCCATTCTCAAATGCCTTTCTCTGTTCCTCCTCTCATTCCGTTTGTTCCTTGCCGAACCCGTAATTCCCTGGTCCATTCCGGATTATAATCTTTGCAATCGGTGAAAATGTAATCTTTATTCCCGTTTGTGACACTGTGGAGGCCTAAAATACGGGAACCAATCAGAAATGGATTCAAATTGTCTTGACTCTCAGTATAAAGGGACTCTAGTTCGAGTTACCCACCCACAGCTCGCTCCCTTTCTTACGCATCTGATTTTGTTGACTCTGAATGGTTTCACCATAGAGGCAAGCCTGGGAACCATGTCGTACAGTGTCGTGGCGTGATTTGCGATACATCGATTCGCCCACCATATAAACCTGTGAAGAGGGATCGATTTACAAGATGTGGGCAACGAACACCTTAATAATCGATTATTTACCATAGCTTCAGTGGGGAAATATCTGTGGTCGATCATTCACACTTCGCCAGTGGTGTACGTACGCGGGCTGGGAATGTTGCGCAACATTTTGGCAGAGGCCAAGCAACGTTGCAAGTCCGTCGTCTAATTATCGCCGAAGAGTCGTATGTTGAGCCTTGAGCAGATACATCGGACTAGAGTCCCTTTATACTGAGAGTCAAGACAATGCGACTCCATTTCTGATTGGTTGACCGGATTTTAGGCCTTCACAGTGTCACAAACGGGAATAAAGATTACATTTTCACCGATTGCAAAGATCATAATCTGGAATGGACCGAGGAATTTCGGGTTCGCCAAGGAACAAACGGAATGAGAGAAGGAACGGAGAAAGGAATTTAAGAATGAGCCGATCAAAGATTACGAAAAACGTTCAATTTGTGTAATCTTTATTCCCGTTTGTGACTCCATGAGGGGTGTTGTCTTGACTCTATAAAGGGACTCTACATCGGACTTGTTATCCGGCCCGACTGACTCCAGCGCCACCCTCGCCAGGCATAATTTCATGGCATTTTCCCCTCAAAGGCGGATCTAACAGGCTTGCCAGGGTGTCTACTATTCCAGAAATATTACTGATTTTTTAAGATTCTTAAGAATAGCACGCGCAGAAGAAGAATGAAAAGTGTTGATCAGTGGCGTGGCGTGCTTTGCGATATATCGATTGATTTTCCATTTAAACCTATGGAAAAAGATCGATTATCAGGGCGTTCACAGCGAACACCTTAGTAATCGATTCTTTACCATAGCCTCAAATGGCGATATATCGATAATCGATCCTTCACGCCACGCCACTGGTGTTGATCGAAGTCAAGGCGTTTTTGCTATGGACGGCAGAATTCGTAGTCTCCCGCACGAAGGAACGTAACTCCATTTCAAGGTTGCCAAATTGGGTCAACAATCAATTTATTTTACAAAAATATACCTGTGCAATTTTATCCAAACGTTCCTTGATTTTTGCATGAAATATGAGGAAAAATCAGCGCCATTTTAAGGTAGAAATGCTCAAGATTCTCCTGTTTATTGTGCAATGGAGATGTTGCATGTGTGAGAAATTTGCGATTTGACTGTTGATTCTTATGTTAAAGTTCGCGAGAAACACGATGGTGCCACTGGTTTTCTCTGAAATCATCTCCCAAGCTCAAAAAAAGCTCTCAAGTTGAGACCAAAATGGAGGGGATATCCCACCCTACCCTAAGAGTCCACGTCTACATCAAGACAAACTCTCCATGCAAAGACAGGGAGTAAATACATTGGCAGAGTTACCGTGATTTCAGTTTTGGAGTCCCCTAATAAAGTGGCAG